ACTACGTACCATCTAACAACGAGACTACTAGTGGTTACAAGTATTTTGTATTATCAGCAGACAAACATTCGCAACAATAGCAGCCAACCTCCTCAATATCCATCGATAAGGAGATTGGAACGACAGTTGCAATAGTATCGCGGATATCAGCAACAAAGGCGCCATAGAGAATACAAAGACATAAAAAAAGAGACAACAAGCACAAGAACTAGACCAAGGACACGATGGGCCTCTTTACAACGCTGGCATCCGCCACCGGAGCCAACAACAGCAACAGCGAAGGAGACCTGGCCGTCCGGCAGACCGATGGAGCCACCGCCACCTCGTCGGCGACCATTCCRACCGTTGTTCARCTCTATTCCGGCCAACAAATAATTCTGATGGAGGACACTCCCTCCGTATCGGGGTACACCTCGCTGACCTACCAGGCCGTTCAGGTGGGGGCCTCCCGCGACGACGCCGTCGCCGCGGAGCTGAAACACCGCCACGCCAACCCGGACCTGGGTGTGTGGAACTGCCGCGTCGGCCTCGGAACCAACGAGAACAGCGGAAAGGGCGGAAACAGTAACAGTGGCAGCGACCACGATCCGCTGGTGGATTCGCTCCTGGCCAAGCTGGCACAGACTTCTTCTTCCTCCTCCTCGTCGTCGACGCCGCCGCCACCGCCGGTGTACTGCCTGACGGTCGACTTGTCGGACGAGACGACCGTGGAACCGACCCTGAGCGCCCTCCAGGCGGCCCTGGTGAGGCACCTGATCGAGCACCCGCCCCCTGCCGAGACCAAATCCGAAGCGGTCCGTACCACCAGCCTGTACGACCTTCAGACGGTCCAGTTCGGCCTGGCACCGGACGAACCGCAGGCCGAGCGGAGCATCGAGGAGGAGGCCCGCAACGCTAGGGTCGGTCTCATGGTGTGCGCCGTCGTCTCCTCGTCGGACGCAAGGACGGCCGACGAGTCCTCGGAAGCCGCCTACAAAAAGAAGCAGGCCCGGGCCCTGGTCGTCTACCACCTCCGGAAGTTTGCCTGCTCGATCCACGCGGCCCTGTGCTTCGTGGAACGCCCCGGGGAGCGGAAGGACTCGTCACCGAACACCGATGCTTCCGACGAGAAAACCGGAGAGGACGCGGCCACCGGAAGCGGGAGCAGCGAGAGCAACGCACAGCGGTCCGTCTCGTACGACAAGCTCTCGCAGTTGTGGCGAGACATGGCCAACGGAATCCAGGTGTGGAACGCCGAGGCGGCCACATCCTCCGCGGTGCCCGCCCCGGAATCCGAGTCTGCCGCTGCCGCCGCCGCCCTCTACGGCCCCGGCCGGCAGCAGGAGGACCTCATCGAGAGCGTCCTGCTGCGAAACGCCAACTACCCCGGCCACTGGGACGCGGCCAAGGACAGCCTGTGGGTGGCCCTGCCGTCGGAACCACACGGGGGCCAAGCCGCCGAGGGCGCCGGTGCCCCCGCAGCGGGGGACGACGGGTGGCTGACGCAGCTCCGAGACTCGATCGCCTCGGCCCTGCCGGTGGCCTCCGCCGAGCAGACCGACAAGAACAAAGCAGCGGCGGGGAAGGACGGCGGCGCGGACAAACCGAAGGAAAAGGACGCGGCCGTCTCGAGCTTTTTCGAGTCGCTCCTCAAGGATTCGTAGGAGCAAAGCGATGCGATGTGATGCGATGCGATGCGGCTTGTCTCTGGCGGATCGTAGAACGCCGCGGTACTCTGCTATGCTGTAGCCTAGGTCAAAGCATTGCAGCCCCAACAGGAATATCAGCATGGCAAGTCCTACAAGCATTATTAGTGCGATAGTATCTCCCACGTATTCTACAGAAAAACAAATGGGCGCTTGGAGCTACGATTTTGAAAYTCGAATAGCCACAACCATCCGCTTGGAACCATTCTATTACTACTAGAAATTGTTTATCCTATCGTTTCTCAGAGTAATACTTTATTTCTTTTGTTTGATATGTTCAATGTATTAACCAAGTCGGGTAGTCTCACAAGGATTGGTGCAACCAATTGGCAACGGTGTTCGTTGTCACGCACGTCTTCAGAGGTAAACGTTCTCACCAAAGGAAGGATGGTCGTCCCAACTGCTTTCGATGATCGTCTCGAGCGCCAAATTGCCCCTCTCGTTTTGAAGCACTGCTCAGTTTTTTGTAAGATGTGGGACTAGGTGAAAGGGTACTTTCTGGTACGGTACGTACTGTACGGTAGAAAAAACTAAAAACTGCATGTTGAACGAACCCTCCCAAGCAGTCTTTACAGTAGTCGAATGAGTCAACCAAACAATCATTCCTTGTTCAATCACGAACACCCAAAAAGACCCTCTCTCATACCCATTTTCCACCACCCATCAAAATCAAGGCATGATAAACAGATGAGCTGTTCGATCCAGCCCGTCTCGGGTAGTTTTCTTTCCCCCTTCTTCTGCGCAGCGACGGACCCAAACCCCGCCAAACAAACAGCGAATCCTCCTCGTTTGATGTCAAGTGCAACAAGTACTCGTACTCGTTCTCCCGCTTCAACAAAGTACGATACTTCCCGGGGCACACTTTTGAGTTCCCGAACGAACCAACCACGACAAAATGAGCCGCAACAGCTCGCAAAACCAGGTGATCCTCACCACTGCGGTCTCTCTGACACTGGTGGCCCTCGGAACCTTCTGGTATCGGCGGCAAGGAACCGATGATAGCGCCGGGGCAAACCCTGATCCCGAGAGAGAGGGCCGAAAGCAAGAACGGCAAGGGCAACATCCCAGAGTAGTGAGAAGAACGCAACGCAACGCAGCAGCGATCGAATACGACGACAACGAAGAAAAAAACGAGGAACGTGGGCGGCCGGCGGACGGAATCGATGCCACCGCGAGCGGTGGTGCCGCAAAACCCCAGCGAGCATCCTTCGACGCACCCGTGCTCGAGATCCAAACCCGGCCCATTGACACCATCCCAGAGGACGAAAAAGAAGAGGGAAAAGGCAACTACCGCCGGGTACTGGCACCAAACACGATCACGATCGCTCACGGCTCCGTCACCGGGACGTGTTCGAAACTCGCAACGGATTTGCTGGCCTGCCTGCGGGAGAAAAACCTGGACCACGATCGGACGATTCAGATGGGGAGCCTCGAAGAATGGGACTGGTGGGACGAGCTGCTGAACAGCGAGGAAGACGAGAACGCTGCCAAGAAATCAAAAAAGAAAAACGCGGTGGAACCGAACCCACCGGTGCTCCTGGTGCTCTTGCCGACGCACCACGGGGGTTCGTGGCCTCACACCGCGACGTGTCTGGAATCGGCCCTCCAGGACCTGAAAAACGACTGGAGGATCGAAAAACGCCCCCTCAAGAACAAGCTACAGGTCGCCGTCATGGGCATGGGATGTTCGGATTACGGGGACGACACGATGGGAAAACCCGCAAAAGAAGCCTTCATTGGGTTCAGGACACTGGGAGCTAAGGTTTTTGGAAAACAGGTCCGGGTGGGAGACGATGCCACGGGCAACCAGGACCGCGTGCTGCAAGCATGGATCTACCACGACATTCTACCGAAACTGATCGTGGACGATGAAGAGGACGAAGCAGAAGACGAGCGCAACGAAGAACCAGAGGTTACCGACATGGAAGACCTGGGCACGATAATGGAATCGTCGGAGAACGACAACGAAGGAGAGGTCAAATCCTCCGAGCCCAGAGAGATGGTAACGAGCACGCAAGCAAAGTCCCTAAAGAAAGAAGGGTACAAACTGATCGGTACGCACAGCGCCGTCAAGTTGTGCCGCTGGACGAAGCACCAATTGAGAGGACGGGGTGGCTGCTACAAACACACTTTCTACGGCATCACTTCGTATCAATGCATGGAAGCAACCCCAAGTTTGGCGTGCGCCAACAAATGCGTCTTTTGCTGGAGGCACCACAAAAACCCCGTCGGAAAGGAGTGGCGGTGGAAGACCGACGATCCGAACTTTATCGTGGACGAAGCCGTCAAGACGCACGTCAAAATGATCAAGGAGACGAGGGGAATCCCCGGTGTGAATGTCCAGCGGTGGCAAGAAGCCCACACCGTGAGGCATTGCGCCCTTTCTCTCGTTGGCGAACCGGTTATGTATCCTCGAATCAACGAACTGCTAGAAGATTTGCACAACAGGGAAATTAGCACCTTTTTGGTTACAAATGGACAGCACCCAAAAGCCATCGAAAGCTTGATCCCCATCACGCAACTCTACGTGAGCGTAGATGCACCAACACCGGAGAGCTTGATTGAAATCGACAGACCTCTCTTCTCGGATGCATGGGAACGCCTCCAGGAGGCTCTCACTTTGTTGAAACACAAGGGACAGCGGACGGTCGCGCGACTAACCGTCGTGAAGGGATGGAACTCGGACGAAGTAGAAGGATACGCGAAATTGATTGCCCTCGGAAAGGTGTCACTCGTCGAGGTCAAGGGTGTTACCTTTTGTGGAAAATCGGACGCATCGAATCTCAACATGTCGAACACGCCATGGCACCACGAAGTCGTAGATCTAGTCAAGAACCTCAAGGTCGAACTCGATAAGCTCCGGCTCGAGGGACAAGACGTGCCCGAGTACGATTTGGCATGCGAGCACAAGCATTCGGTGAGTGTTTTGCTCGCGCGTGTGGATCAGTTCGCCGAGACGGCTGCCGATGGCAGACGCATGTGGAAAACTTGGATCAATTATCCCAAATTTCACGAGCTGGCCAGAAAACACAAGGAGGACCCTACGTTCACCTACGCCGTAGAAGACTACACGGCCGAGACCCCCGCTTGGGCATTGTTTGGTTCCGAAGAAGAAGGCTTCGATCCCGTCGAGCTTCGACACAGACGAAAAAAGAAATACCCAAAATATAGGCAATTCGACGAAAGGGGAGTTCCAACCCACGACGACAATAACGAGAAGCTAAGCGACGAGGAATACCTTCGACTGAATAGCATGATGGACGAAAAGATCAAGCAGATAGGTTGTGGATCGACCGTTACGGCACTGAAGGGAGGAGAAAAAATGATTCAAGATGCTAGCCTCATGTTCCGCGGTCTAGTTATTGTCAAGTAATGTTTTCAGCCCAACTGTACTTGCTCAGCTAAAGGTACCAAGGACAGAATAAGACTCTATAGAATTTATATTTGCAACTAGCAGAATTATGTCAATAGCAACCCCTTTTTACACTCGGATTTTAGTCCCGGCGATCTCACAAGGATCGTTGTGCCACATTTCCAGTAGTTGTTCGAAGTACGCAGGAGAAGACACCTTCACATTTGGATTCGGTAAAAATTCACGAAGGATCCAGTTGGCAGATTCTGATGCTTGCTTTTGCAACAATCCCCGCAGGTCTTTATATTGATCTTCACAAATGTTGATTCTTTTGGAACGCAATTCATTTTCGTAGTCTCCCGAGACATATTGCTCTCMTGGTCTCACGTGAATCATGGGCTTCTCTAGAGGGTTTTCCAGGCCGAGAAATTCTGTCAGATCGCGCAAGAAAGTAGGCATCAAGTCTTTGTTCTTCAGCTGGTTGATATCGTACAAAAACACCTTCCGCGAATCTTCGATCTTCGACAGGTGTTGCGAGAAATTGGCTCTATTGGTACACAAACCCTGATTTAATTTTCGACATTTACCAACAAGTTTTTGCGGAGGGAGCATCGGAAATCTGTTTTGGATACGGAAATTATAGAACGATTCAAACCATCGAATTGGATTTCGCACACCAACGATGAATTTTGTCTCGGGGAAGAAGGATCTGTAATTTTTTAGAGCAAAATCTACTTCCAGATCTCGAGGACATTTGATGCCCATAAGAAGATTAGGTTGGTATTTCGAATGAAGATCTTTAAGAAGAGGCACATGCTGATTCCATCCTAATTCACATCGTTCGTCATCAAAAATAAAAACCGATTCCGTCTGATTTTTAAGGTAGAGCATGAGTGTCGAAGTCCCGGTTTTTGGAAAACCTACAATGGAAAAATCGAGTAACCAATTGACATTCTTCGTTATGTTCCAACCTTGTATGTATTCTTCCAGACGAGGTTTCGTGTATTCCGGTGATATTCCAGCATTGTTATCAATGGTGGTGACAGAGGGGAAGTCTCCAATAGAATGATTCGGATCTTGAACATCGATCAATTTCAACAAGCTTACATACACCAAGCACACGCATTCAATCATCAGAAAGAGGCACTGCGAAGACACTCTTATYCCTCCTCGAACTTTTTTCTTCCTTCCATTCATTGCAATGTTTTCACTCCCTACGTAGTTGCTCCGCTTTATTCAGAGTCGTCCGTGGACGAAACCTTTGTCCCAGGGATGGGCACTTCCCAGACGATGGTCTATGCTGCGTGTTGAACTCTTCTAGGCTCATCGCATCGCCAGAAGTGAATGAGAATCATAAGGCTACATTGTTGTATTCAACATTCCTTAAGTATTTTAAGCGTATCATCATGGTCACAATCATGTGGTATTAAAAGCGGGACTTACTGTATCATCCAGTCACGAGAAGTGTACCTTTGTATGATATGTTGATAGTTTACTATAAGGTATGTACGTACGTATGTACCGGTGGCAATAGAGGTCACGGGTCACGGAGCCACAGTTGCGAGTAAATTTTCCGTGAGTTCCTCAAAAATATTTAATGTGATATCCTTTTCAACGAAGTTGTCACCTAGACGAAAAAAGGGTCCAACGAAGAAAATTGATCGATTTTAGTCAGTTAAAAAGAAATACTTAGGTGTCGCGAGCAGGGTGCTTGACGAATTTCATCTCAACCCTCATCACAATATCATGTTTTTCAGCTTTTTTTGGACACCGTCTTGGGAAAATGATGGCTTTGAATGGGCTCCGTTAGACGGAAAGCCTCCTTCTGGCAGACACACTCAAACCATTGACATTAGGATAGGTAATATTCTCTCCCTGAGAGTCATAGCGAACAACCAAAACTCCTATCGACGGAAACATTGTATCTTGTCCTAACGAGCATCGAGGATCAGGAGTTTCTAGGCTTGCACTGTCCAAGCTTCCAAATCGTAGTTCGCATAAACGTACCAACGGAAGTCCTGATAGCCAAGTAGCACAAACGTGTGCAATATTATGATGAGGAAATTCAATCAACAAAAATGCTGTTTCCTGTGGCTGATTGCATCCCTTCTCCTGCCAGATCTCGTAGATTGTATGAACGGCTCTATCACAGACAGCGACAAAGGTTTGCAACGACGAAAGGCCCAAAGCTATCAATTAAGTAGAGCGTACAGTCATCACCAAGGTTGTGTCGATGATATGTATAGTAGTGACCTTGACGGCGATATGAAGCTTTCCGAAGACGAGTATGTGCTTTTTATCTCGAAACGAAGTCGAGGAGAGATCGGTGCGGACGGATATACTGAACTCCCATTCTCTCTTATTTCCACATTTATTTACGGATCTTGTTTCTGCTCCTACATGTCACACGCACCTTTTTGCTGCGTGGGCGGAGCCGCTAGGATCGATTTGGATTCATCGCAGTCTAAATTCATCGAAGACAATCTCATCACAATCTGCAGAACAGTCGACGAGGCAATCAAGAACGAGATCGGCACCTTCGGACCATCCCCAACGATTGAGCCTTCTTTCAAACCATCAGATGTAACACAATCTCCAACATCTGCACCGTCAGTAGCCCCATCGGCAGCTCCATCGGCAGCCCCTACTGAAGCCCAGACATCTGAAGCTCCAACAATCGCATCCACCGGAAATTTAACAGAATTTCCKTCCCCAGCTCCATCAATTTTTATTGACACGCCTCGTAAGTAACACACATTGCAGGGACGATTGCGATTCATCTTGGTGCTAGATTTGGAAATAGGAGGGCATATATTATCTCATTATTGAATTCTCTCCTGTATGTATAGCACCTGAGCCCGATGCTTTAGCTTGCGTGAACTTCCAGTACGGAATCAGAAATGACGAAGGATTGACTTCGGCTGATATTGAGAACGAAATTGGTAACAGTTACAAATCTGACCTCATTGTAGCAACTCGTTTTGTGACCATTCAAGCCTTGAATGAAACTTTCCCAGAGGATGCAGAAGAACGGGCTCTTCGAAAAGCATCGACCGATCGATCTCCATCAAAAACACATAAAAATCGCTTGACAATCGTAAATCTTGGTAGATTTGGACTGGATGAATATTACAGCCCACAAGGGGAGCGCATTAGTAGTATTCTTGCAGTGAAAGACGAAGGGAAAAAGTTTAGAAGACGAACTGCATATCTTCCAGTTACCACGGAAAATCGAATAAGTAATATGGATAGTCGGCGGCTTGTTTTCTACACCGACTCTAACCCGCCCGTTATCAGTTCTATCTTTGATAACTCCCATTGTCCGGAGTTGCGGATCGATGGAATCGTTTGCTCCATAGTGGATACAAAAGTTTGTGTGACACTGGAAGAAGGAGACGATGAAGATGATGTAAAAGAGGCGCTGCTCGATGGCATCGAAAAGTCATTCGACGACGGTAGTTTCGCAAGCGCAATCCCTTAGGGAAAGCCAGCTATACAGAGAATAGGAAAGTGTGGTATGGATTCATAAGACTCGACGGAACGGAGTCTGTGTATAACTCATAATTCGAGACTGGATGACCGTTCTAGTACACGTAAATTGTAAAATAGTAAAGTGGAAGAAAGTGATAGATTGATCTCGTCTTCAAGTCAAAATACTGATTGAAAAGAAGATGACTTAGAATTATCAAATAATATCTTTTGATTGTAACCAAGGATCAAATGCTGATGGAAAGATTCTGATAACTTTTCAAAAAAGCAGTTTGGTTCGAATAGTATAAATAATCGATGAAAGTAGTTTGCAACAATGGGAATGACTTTTTTCAGCAGAGAATGGATGTCTGTGCTACCAGACACTTAGTGAGACAACTCTCAGCCTTATTCGTTGCACACAGATTGGAATGTTTTACTGGGGATAATATTATTTCCAGTATTTGCGAATGCTATGAAAGGTCATGCTGCATTTGATCTGCCAGTGACCGTTTTCTGCTTGTTCAATACAAAATGAATATTTTGTGTTGGCTTCGATTTCTATGCTCGTTCAGTTCTCGATAAAATGGAAACACTTCTTAGGACGACTTCCTTTGCACAAAGGAGCTTTGGTTGGGTTGTGTGCGTTGAGTAAATGAATGTGATTGATCCTCGTTCTTGCCTCGAAACGGACTCTTCTCAGCATTTTTCTTTCCCGACCACAAGGGTTGGCTGCTGTAGTAGCTCGTAGAAGCTCCCAATAAAGAGGCCTCGCCCTGCGACAGTGCCATCTGTTCAGCAACAGTAAACCGCTGAGGTTTTCCATTGTTTGTGAGTCCAGAGACCGCCGAAGCCATTGTGACAATTGAAACGAATCGAAATGATACCATTTTTTCTTGTTTTGTTGCTTTTCGATTCAGCTGTAGTTCAGAGTTATTTGTATTCTAATGGTTGCTCGTGATGATTTGTGCACAAGATGGTTTGTCTTCGTGTTTTGTATGATCTACGAAAGAACTTCCTTTGCATCGAAAAGAAGACTGCTAGTCATAGTCGTAACCATAAATATCGAATCAGATGGCCTCGTTCTAAATTCCTTCGTCCAAGATGCGAATTCGCTGACAATCACACGGTAAAAACAAGACTAATCTCTACTCGAACGCTAAAAGATTAAACGATCCACTGCATGTTTCATGACACTTTTTGACAACCCGTGCCAGAGCACCAGAAAGAATTCATTCAGCCACGACTGACGTGGTAGCGCGGATTGGGACGCGCATTGATCCATGCGCGAAACACTCCCTCCACGACTGGAAGTTTGGGGGGTCTGACATGCGGTCCAAAGAAAAATGGAAATGCCATCACCATCGATCTCAAACCCAAACAAAAAATCCTGCTCAGAAAATCGAAAATCATTGTCATCTTTGTGTTCGAATTTGCTTTTCGATCGGCCAAATCAAACTCAGCAGAAAAGGGTGCAGATATTCAACCGCATCTACATTTGGAAACAGATCCTTTTGTTGATAACAKAAATCGAAGTTCCACCAATTCACTTTCATCCCACCCACGAGATTAATTTATCGAATTCTTTGCCATGGCGAAGATCAGGAAAGCCAACGAATCACAGGAAGACGGCAAGCCTCGGAAAAAATTCAAGAAAGAATCGCCTCACAAGAAAAAAGATAGGAAACAAGGCAAAGAACAAGGCAAAGATGGCAAGACCGACTCGCCCGCTGAATCTACAGAAAAATGGAGCAAAAGCAAAAAGAAGAGAATGAGAAAAATACTGGGGAAGCTCAAGAAGGAGCAAGCCGAGGGCAAAACCAGCCAAAGTGCACCGAGCGCAACAAGCTCGACCGATGCGTCTTCGACAAATTCTCTAGCAGCATCGGCGACAACAGAGACGGGCACAAAAAAGAAGAATTCTATCCAAGAAGCCTTCAAGGCTCGTTTGGCAGGATCTCGCTTTCGAATCCTAAACGAAGAATTGTATACAACTACGTCCCAAAAATCCTACGACAAATTCAAAGAAAATCCGGAACTCTTTGAGCAGTACCACGAAGGATTCCGACACCAGGTGGAATCGTGGCCCGAAAATCCCGTCGACGTCATGGTGAGATCGCTAACATCAACCTATCACAAAAATGCTAAGCATCAAACAACAGGACCCTGCGTTGTCGCAGATTTCGGGTGTGGGGATGCCCAGCTTGCCAAGGATCTGCTAGCTGTGAAGAAAAAAATTAAGCAGAAGGGTAAAAATATAAGAGAGGAAAACTCGTTTGAGGTCCACTCCTTTGATCTGGTATCGCCGAACGAGTTGGTGACGGCGTGCGACATGGCAGATGTGCCACTGAAGGACAAGTCGGTCGATGTGTGTGTGTTTTGTCTGTCCCTCATGGGGACAAACCTCGCAGATTTCATTCGAGAAGCGCACCGCGTCTTGAAAGACAGTGGTCGAGTCAAAATCGCAGAAGTTCGTTCTAGAATCGAGTACAGTCATGGTCGAAAAGGAAAGAAAAACAGTAGCAACAACAAAGAGTCTTCGTCGTCCTCTGGTAACAAAGACGCCGACGTGACTTCCAAAGAGAAAACAGAAGGAACGCTAGAAGAGTTTACGGACGTTCTAAAAAAGCTAGGTTTTCAATGCGTTCGAACCGATCGTAGCAATACAATGTTCTTGCTTTTAGATTTGAAAAAGAATGGGAAGAAACCCGACAAGGATCTCGAATTTTCTGCAAAACCGTGTATTTACAAGAGAAGATAAAGGTCAAGGAGAATATTTTTAATGATGCCTTCTTGTAACCCCGACGTCTCTTAAAACAAATTGTTTCGCATTGACCACTTCTTCATTTCAGTGAAAACGTTGGATCTTGTATATTGAGTTAAGCTAAAGGAATGATTTAATTCGTGTGATTAGTGATACAGTATTGTATGAGGGTTCAGCGTTGGTAGCCATAATTATTGTACAGGGAAGAAAATTTCGTTGCAGAATAAGTCGTTTCGAATGGGTTGTTGTTGTGTTCTTTTGATAGTAATAAGGAAATAGGAATCGTGATCAAATTCTGGTGCGTGATCGAGATAAGGAATGGTGCGTACAGTAGTGGCGTCTTCTCTATTCAAAACATCCATCTTGATCGTAATATATGTTTGTGTTCCATGAAGATTGCTGGGACCGGTCGGCTTCCAATTCGTCTTCAATGTGTTCGGTTTCCTCCCAGCACTTTTCTAAAAAGGACCGCGCGGGGGAGGATACTGCGCTCTCTCGCTTGCTTTCGTCTTTCATTAGCTTGACAACTAATTCCGCCGTGGGTCGTCCAAAAAAGACCTGGTGTCCAATGGGCAACCACGCGAAGCTGAAGTATTCGTTGACCAGTATGAGTTGGCCGTCCATCCATTGGCTGTCTTTGTATCCCTCCGATGCTACCTGTCCCTGCCCACCAAATCGCTGAAGGTATTTGCATCCCCATTGTTTCGCGGCGGATTCTCCCAGTTCGATTGGAGTCAAATCTTGGTTTTGGGATTGTTGATTATGCAGCAAGGGTTCGCTGCCCGTTTGTCTGTTGTGATTGTTTCTTCTATTAGAAAGGGTAGACTCAGTAGGAAATTGTGGTGCAAGGTCGACCCGAAAGGTCTCGGCACCTCGTGGAACGTGTTTGGCTCCCGAGGTAACCTTGTGCGCAACGAGGGTATCTCCGTGGTAGGTAACATTGATCATTTCATATCCTTGCTCCTCGCCGTATTTTCCAACCCAGAGGCCCTCCAATTGAAATTGGGGTAGGGAAGATCGAGCGTCCATTGCCTTTTCGTGGAATCGCTGGGCGGCGATTACGTCACCTGCCTGCAAGGCTAGTTCCTGCCGTTCCAGGGAAACCGTGTAGACAAACTCGGCATCGACTTGTTGGGTCTTCATGATGGCTCGCTCCAGGTCGTCGACTCGTCCGATGTCCCCGCTTCGTCGTGCTTCCTGCAATTCGAGGCGCATGGCCAACACCTGGTGCCGCAGTCGGTGCAAGTCGTCGCCCGTGACAAACTTCGTAGAATCGCTGCTTCGTTCGTTTCTGACGCGGTTGTGGTGGTCCTTGCCGTTTCCCGAATCTTCGCCACCGCTACCATCCCGTCGCTCCGATCGAAAATCGTCAAAGAAATTCCCCCCCGCTGCAATCAACTCGAGGTGTGTCGTGCTTGCTCTCTGGTTCGAGACACTCCTGCTTCTGCTGTTCGTTGTAACTGGTGCACTGAACCCGGTTGATTCCTGACCAAGGAATGTCGCCAGGACAACAACAATCCACAAGTTTCTGCCTTGAATCATCTTTGCTGTAATTTAATTGCAATTGGTCCTGTGGGTGAGGAGAATGGGTTGAACGGAAGTTTTCGGTGCTTTAGAAAATACTTCCGGAGTGGGAAGGATTAACTTATGTGTCCTACAAAAGCAATGAAAAAAAGCCGGGGTACTTTTTGTTCACTGGTGGTTGTGTCGCGTGAGTTGTTTGAGTGCCGGATGTGCTCCCGTTTGGAACGCTTTTTCTCAGAATAGAAGACGTTCGGTTAGAGTTAGTCAGACGTTCTTTTTCTGTGTTGGCTGGAGAAGATACGATACGAGGCCCGATTAAATAATGATGGCTTTCAGGTACACACTACCACTGCAACTTATCCACCTAATTAAAAAGAATTGAGCGAGCACGGAGGGAGAAGAAAACAGCTTTTTGGTCGAATGTATGGAGGAAGGAGGAAGATGTGGTCGCTGATCACCGAGCATCCATGAAACGTGTTACGAAGTCTGACTAAGGAAATATTTGTTTTGGACCTTGTCCCCTTACCTATCACAGTTGTAGCGTGCTCGTGCGTTAAAACTTTGAAAATGCACGTGATTTCCTTTGGCTGGATGCAAAAATGAAATCGGAAGGCGATGAACATGAAGACATGAACTCTGCTTACGTGGTCCACATTGATTAGGTTCAAATCATTGTTCTTCAATATTCTTATTTATTTTTACCGAGACTGAACTGAAAAATAGTTGATGAGAAATGACGTCTTCGAGCGTGTCCCGCCTGTCCTGAGTCGAACTGGTCAAAACGATTTGAACCAAAGACGACTCGATGGATCCAACTCAATGAATCCAGATGAGTTTATTTTGGGGTAGAGTGCCAGACATTTAGGGGGGTTTTACTGTGCAATCAGATCGTGCACCTCTTTATGTCCTTAACCAGCGCGCGACTAAATCCATATTGAGATGTGCGACTGGTATGTCCAACTCAGATACGTCATCCATTAGGCGAACCAATGAGAGTTACGTGTGCAGAATTTTATGAGAAAATCGTGTCAGATGCATGTCAAAGACTTGAATGCTCTTAACGAAACCCTGTTTTTTTTTCGAAACATGAAAATCGTTTTTTGTTCTTGTTGACATCATCAATTGTGTGTCAAGAGAAGTTCAGGATTTTGTTGGTCACCCACGTTCCGACCCCTGATTCCGAATACAAAGCTACGGTGCAGTACATTAGCAGGCCACCCTTGAAAGTGACCGAACATTTTGATCGGACGAGATAAAAAAACCGTCTGGTGAAAGAAGAGAATTTTGAAGAAAGAAACACAGTTACAGCCATTGTCACAATTTTCGAAAGAACGACCATTGAAATACAAGCATTGTTTGATTTACGACATACACTGCACCCTTAGAGTCGTACACTTTTCAACGAGAACCTCTTTCTTGCGCTTTGCACAATTTGGCTGAATTTCCGTTTCAATTTTCTTTTGACCAAAAACACAAACTTTAATCATGAAATCCTTCCTTCAACTCGGCCAGCCACTTGTTCTCTTTTTGGTGGCATCTTCTAATGCGTTTAGYCTGGTGACACGCACCGGTCCATCAGCTCTGTCATCCTCAAGTTCKTCTTCGTTGCATGTTTCCTCTTACTCGTCCGCCGAGGACACGCCACCAGAAGATGACGGTCGTGCAAGCGGGGAGAGCAAGGAGGAGAAACCAAGACACATTGAATTCGYTGATCTGGGGATCGCGGAACAGTCGTCCGAACGAAAACGAAGAATACAACAGGAAGAGGAGAACAATCAACGATTTGTCAAATACGGAGATGATCTATGGAACATGCGCGAGGTCATGGACAAGCTTTCGAGGAAACTTTTGAAATCCATAAATACTGGCGACCGAGAGAAAGAAGAAGAGATCAGAGCAGAGTTACGGCAGGTCGAGGGTCAAGATCCGGATTTGGTGTACAAAGTCGAATTAGAAAAACTCCAAAAGGCACGGAGAGAAGGTCGAGACGAAGACGCAATGCGACACAGCATTATTGCATCTGCCGCTAGGAGCATTCTGCCGCAATACAACCTCGAGGGACTATGGGTTGGAAAGTGAGTCTTAGAGGTAACACGGATGACGCTGATGACGATGCACAAATGCCAACGGTATGACTCTCACAGTTTCTCATCGTTTTTCTTCTTTCATTATCATCTGGGCACTGTCGAAATGCAATTATCATAATCTATGCTAATTAGATACGGGCAGCACGGATACGAAATGGTCAATGTGACGTATCAAGGAGATCTGCTGGTTGCTTACAAAGTTACTGGAGACAAAAATGTCCCCCGCGGAGAAATTACATTCCAGGCCGATTTGGACCCCTTGCATCGAGGAGCGAATGTCGACTCCTCTGGCGACCCATCGACTCCAACGGTCGAACAGTTGCAACCCATCATCCTTACAGACAAGGCTGCCAGAAAATGGGGCACATCCCAGCTTCCGCGCCACAAAGGACTCGGGCAAGTGGCAGAGGCCGGATTCAAAAAGAATCAATGGATGGAAGGGCAGCTCATCATCATTGGGCAAGAGTATTTTTCATTCGCATGGGTTCCCATCGAGCAACAAATTTTCTTCGGTCGCCCATCTCCCGAGCTGGCGCTCAAGATGCTACGGGAGGCTGGGGGGACCGGCATTGCCCCCGTCAAGTCATGGGAAACACCGCCCACGATGGATGCCGACGTGACGGTAATGAAAGATTACATACATAGCTGCTTAGAGAAAACCGCAGAAAGCGAGGACGATTTTTTGAGTGGTGATCCGTTCAGCTGTATATTCGTTGACGGCGACACCGAGGAATGCTACTTGCAGTAGTAAGAGATGTAAAAAGCCAATACGATGGAAATGAAGAATGAATGTGACCTTTAGACATCATCATGATCAGCACCTGATGTTATTTTTTATTGATCGAACTTCAAAAACTGGGGGTCCTTTTCATGCTGTATGGTCGGTGCAATATAAAATAGCAACACGACCTAGGTTTCTTTTCAATAGATAATACGAAGTTCTGTACTACGTCTAGTCATCGTAGTACTGATGGTTTCAGCCAATCATAACTACAATCTTCCTTCTTTCTTTCCTCAATTTATCAATCAGATCTGAACCCCTTCACATTCTTGCCTCACTGCGAAGTCATAAAAGGCAGTTCTTCGTCAAGATGTATTTATCTTGTTCCTCCACCGTTCCTATTGTGCTGGATGCTGGATACGTACTTGTYGAAGTAGTAAAGTACGTACGACGAAGTACGGTACTTGAACCTTTGACATGCAAGAAATGGCTCTACCGTATTTTCGGTAGTTTCAGCGAAATCAAAAATGCCAAAAAGGGGGGGGGAGAATTTTTAAAAGTTCAACCCATATCTAATCTCCTACCCCTAGTTCGAGGTACCGTACGTACGCTATGTACCATTTGATTTGAATGCCATACGATTCTTTTACCGGTACGAGTACGAATCGATTCGACACCAAAAACACTAGACTATCCYACAGATGCATCCACAACGACTCTGACGGGACCAGCAAGCACAACCTAACTGTATTATCAAAACAGACATCCTCACCCGTCGGGAGCTAAGAAATCACAATCGAAAATGGACTTGCTAGGCGAGTACGATTCGAATTCTGAAGACGAAAATGCAACCGGCAAGACCACTGCGACGCAGCAAAAAGCCCAGCGTGCCGACCGTCGGTTTTTGCGGGCAGCTCCGTCGATTTCGATCATGACCCGGCGAAAACACGGGCACGAACTGATCGTCCACAACGATCCCAGCAACCGGGACGTCTTGATCACCGAACCAGTCCAGGGACCGCAGGTCGAAGATCCAAGCAGAGCACAGAAGAATCAATTGGCGCGGTTCGACCTGGAGAAGAATGCCGTTATCGACGAGGCGTCCTTTGCAAAACAAAGAAAGCAATTTCAGCGAACGGGACAGGCACTGGGTCCMGACGAGAAAACAACGGTGGTGCGAACCACGCTGGGGTATAATTCCGATCGATTGCGGCTGTTCGAGGAACAAGAACGCGAACGACAAAAACGGCAGCGGGAGCTCTACGGCAGCGACGACGACACCGGTGGCGGCAACGGGGAGGGGAAGAAGAAAAGCAAAAAGAAAGCAAAAGAACCTCTTGTGTACGGCTCCGATGATGAGGCTGTTTACGGGGTGTGGGCGCCTCCCTCAAAAGAAGAGCGGTGGCACGCGGACAATGCACTCACCGATATCCAGAARGGCGGCATCGAATCGCTGGCACCCGAGCAGATCAGCGAGCGCGAATACATCAAGGAACGAGACCGATTGCTRGGAGAGAAGGAAGAAGAAAGGGAGGAAATATCCGGCTTTGAACGGCTCATGGAACGAAAAATGGCGCACCTCTTGCCGCCGAAAACCGCCGGAGACGATCGTCCGATGGAACCCACGAAAACAACGTTTCACGGCGAGTCCGAGACCGATTACAAGGGGCGGTCGTGGATGGCCCCGCCCACGGGGATGGCATCGATCCTGTCCTTGTCGCGGACCGTCGAGGAAGAAATGGACGACCACAAGTGTTTCGTTCCGAAGAAGTGCGTCCATCGCTATACGGGGCACAACAAGGGCGTTCAGAGGATACGGCTGTTTCCAAAGACGGGCCACCTGTTGCTGAGCGCCGGCCTCGACGGGAAGTGCAAGGTGTGGTCCGTTGGGGAACCGGGCCAGAGGCGGGTTCTCAGAACCTACGAGGGCCACAAGGCGGCGGTCCGGGACGTTCAGTTCAACCACGACGGGAGCAGGTTTGTCTCGGCCTCCTTCGATCGGTTCTTGCGGCTCTGGGACACGGAGAGCGGAAGAGTCCTCCAGACCTTTGGCAACAAGAAGGTTCCGTACTGTGTGGAATTCTATCCGAAGGACGACAATTTTTTCGTAGTGGGAACGAGCGACAACAAGATCGTAACCTACGATTGCACGACCGCGGAGATCACCCAGGAATACAACCACCACCTGGCACCCGTGAACGCCGTTGCCTTTGTGGAGGAGGACAACGGTAACGTCAAGATGATATCCTCCAGCGACGACAAAAAGGTGCTGGTATGGGAATGGGACATYGGAGTCCCGATCAAGTACGTTTCGGATCCCACCATGCATTCCATGCCGTGTCTGGTCCTGCATCCCTCGCACCAGTACCTCGTCGGACAATCCCTCGACAACAACATAGTTTGCTTCCAGGTGGGCCAAAAGTTCAAGCTGTCCAAGAAGAAGAAGTTCAGCGGGCACCAGGTCGCYGGCTACGCGTGCGAGCCCTCGTTCAGTCCCGACGGCCGGTTCCTCGTGAGCGGCGACGGGAAGGGGAAGATGTTCGTTTGGGACTGGAAGATGCAGAAAATCCTGCAGAAATTCCGGGCCCACGAAAGTGGACCGACCATTGCCTGCGTGTGGCACCCGATCAATCCCTCGATGGTGTTTACGTGCGGATGGGACGGCGTCATCAAGATGTGGCAGTAAAAAGCCGGCGTTCTTGGTTCGAAAAACCCCACTGGTTGGCCCGTGCCTGCGGCTGGTTCACGGGGGGAGAAGATTCGACAATAAAACACTTCGTAATCATCTTTCTTTCTTTTTTTTTCGTTTTACATCCTAGTCGTTGCCCCGGTATTTATCTGGATGCCTTACTATAACAGTACTAATAGAATTTTACAGCACCATGTGCTGCTTTGGTTTTAAAGCAACCAGTCTGGTTGATTGCTATGATTATTTCAATTTCTCTGAAGAGTTTTTTCGACAGAACTCATACGAACTGCTTGTGTTGGAGTGGTATTTCTGTATTTCAATGCTGGCCCATAACCTATTTCGATCTTCGAAAAATCCGAATTTTCAAAAACTCGTTCCTCCCTGATTGCCCAAAACAACAGACAGCATACCGTACTCAAACAACAACCGGCAAACTACAAACGACAAACGACAAACAAGCAACAGCAAGTTTTGGCAAGGAAGCGGCCAACCCAGCAACCAGCGCAATCAAACACCAGCCCGGACGATCGCAATGAAAYGGGTGTGGACGGGTCCCCAGTGGGCCAGCCGGATCGCGGGGTCTTGGCAGACTTCCGGAGACACGTTTTTTTACGCATCAGCATCGGCTGTTGCTGTAGCTCCCCGGAGGCGTTGGTTTGGCGCAAGCCCAAGTGGACCGGGMCCGRGAACTCCGYKGTTGGYGGGAAAGCAACGATCGGTGTCYCCGAGAGGCGGGAGGGGGGCCTTTCGGGCAGCACCGGCGTTTCTCCGCGGCTCCTGTTCCTGCCGTTGCAACGACGGTATGGGAGCCCGACGGTTGTCCACCGAGGCAGGTGTTGGCATGGCAAGAACCGCAGGGTTTGGAAAGGGCAGCAACCACAGCAATAGTAACAACAACAGCAACAACAACTCAACCACCGAAGACGATCCGTGCACGAAGATCTACAACACGATGACTGGATCYCTGGAATCTCTCCCTCCGAGCACGGATCCGAGTCAGCTGGGGCTGGGCTGGTACACCTGCGGTCCCACGACGTACGCCCCGGCCCACCTGGGCCACGCCCGGACGTACGTTTGCCTGGACATTCTCCGGCGGGTCGTGGTGGCAAGCGCAAATTCCTACACGAACGACGGGAATGGATCGGAGGGAGGCAAGACGACGCCGGAACCCCTCTTCGTCCTCAACATTACCGACGTGGACGACAAGACGCTCGCGGCCGCGCAAGACTCCGGGGAGGATCCCCTGCTGCTCGCTCGGAGGTACGAGCGGGAGTTCTGGAGGGACTGGGACGCCCTCAACTGCCTTCGCCCGCACGTCGTGACCCGCGTTACGGAGCACGTCGACTCGGACATTGTTCCCTTCATCGAGCGCCTGGTGGAGAAGGGAATGGCCTACGAACTCCGGGGCACCGGCAACGAAGAGGACGACGGAGGGGTCTATTTCGATGTGCGAGCCTACAACGAGAAACTGGGCCACCTGACCAGGTACGGGAAGCTCGCACCACCCGCTGCATCGCACGGGGTAGAGGACATTTTCCGCAACAACGCAACAGGCGGCGGCGGTGAACCCGCCCCGCCAGAGGTCCCCCCCAACCAGAAACGAGACCCGAGGGACTTTGTTCTTTGGAAAACACGCAAAAGGGGGCGGGAAGCCCTTTCCTGGTCCTCGCCGTGGGGAGACGGAAGGCCCGGCTGGCATATCGAGTGCAGCGCGATGATCGAATCCGTCCAGGAAAAATTCCGAGACTCGCACCGGTTCCTTGTCCACGCGGGCGGAATCGACCTGAAGTTCCCCCACCACACCAACGAGATCGCCCAGTCCGAGGCCTACCTGGGGGTTGGCAAATGGATCCCACACTGGATCCACACCGGCCACCTCCACATCGACGGGCTCAAAATGTCCAAGTCGCTCAAGAATTTCGTCAGCATCGAAGATTTCCTGAACGGCAGGGTTTCCAGTGTGCACATCGACGGCGACGGCCACGACGACAGTTCTCCTGCTGTAGAAGATGAGAGGGGGGAAAGCGGTGCCCCCCGGAGCACCTTCGAGAGTCCTTCGGACGATTTCCGGTTGTGGTGCCTGGGTCTCTCGGGTTCGTACCGCGGCCCGGCCACCTTTTCGATGGCGAGAATCGGGGAGGCCCGCTCGGTGAGGCACAAGATCGTGCGCTTTCTCCTCGATGGGGAGACATGGGTACGYGACTCAGAAGACGACCCAGACCGGTTCTCCCGGTCGTCCAAGAAATGGAGCGACGACGCGTGCGCTTTTTTCGGGGCCACCGATCGGGCGAAGAAGCGAGGCCTATCGGCCCTGGAAAACGACCTGAACGGGTCCGCCTTTCTATCCGAGCTTCTGGCGATCGCGGACGAGGGAACAAAGTACATGCAGAGAGGGGACGYGCGGCCCGCCGAGCCYCTCGTGTCGGCGCTTCGGGAGGTCCGCACCCTCCTGCGGCTGGTTGGCTTTACGGAGACAACGACCGAGGCCGGTGTTCGAACGGAAGCCGCCGGCGATCGCTCCGGCCGCGTGTGTGGGGAGGCCCTCGCCGATTGCCTCGTCCGGTATCGTTCCGCGGTGCGTGCGATCGCCCTCGGGGACCTCTCCTCGTCGGGAAGGAAGCAGCTCCTTGCTCTCTCGGACGAGCTCCGGGATTCGGTTCTTCCGGAATTGGGGGTCCGGGTGATCGACGGCAACCGCCGGGACGAGACGGGCGACGGGTGGAAGTTCTGTTTGCCCCGGACACCGTCGAGCGATCGAACAGAGGGCATCCCAGCGAAGGATGGAAAACCAAGTAGTAGTAGCAGCAGGCGCAGTGAGAGCTCGGACCTAGGGTCGATACCGATCGGAGAGTTTTTCAAGACCGGGCAGTACGAAGGAAACTTTCTTGCGTATACCGAGGATGGTATTCCTACTCACAATGCAGATGGATCGGAAGTGTCGAAACGGTTGCTCAAGAAACTACTGAAAAAACGAGAAAAACACCGATCGCGACTCGAGAAACAAAACAGACAAAACTAGGACCGTCTTTAGACTCAGCCACGCATGAGTTGTGAACAGTTCATTTTCTTCCAATCAAAACATTAATTTTTAGCATCGTCGCCCGTATATTTTTGAATTGTAGGAAGTAGGAACGATCCGATTGCCATTTGCAATGGATGAATAAACATTAGGGGAGCACAAAACGACGCCAGGTTAGGATTACCCTGGAATATCGTATTGATCAGCGGAAGACCGAAAGCCAGGGTCTTCTGGGAGGAACAAAACATGCCGGCAATCGTCTCTCCTTTTGAAAACCCAAGGAACGGAAGAGAGAAGAACTTGAAAAATGCTCCGAGAGTCACGATGTGCAAGGTTGGAAGGAGTGCCAACAACACCAACGAATGTTTCAGCTGAATGCCCAAGCCGTCGGAGAAAGCATTGCAAAAGGCATTCCAAACGATTCCCAACAGCACTGTTTCCTGGAGGCGCTTGAACTTTTTAGAATGGGTCTTGTAAAAAGCCTTCGCTTGGCCGTTGGTCCTGAGAAGCTGGCCGATTGTCACGGGCAACAGCACCTTTTTGCAGAGTTTCAGCACCATTTGTCCAAATGGCAGATGGATCGACGCTCCAAAGAACTTCATGAGCAGCAACGGCGTCAAAAAGATTCCTGCAAGATTGCTGATGACGGCGTTGCATATGGCCGATGCTGCGTTTCCCCCCGCCGTCGATGTCAGCATGATGCACATGTTCACAGTAGTCGGCAAGGTCGTCGTGATGAGTATGCCGTCTGCCAGAGCCGGAGGTATCAAGGTCGGAAAGATGTCCGTAAACAGAAAGCGCAGCGGCACACCGATGMAAAACGGCCAAAAGCCAAAAAGCAAAAGGTTCACGAGACCATTCAGTTTGACGTTCGATATGGCCTTGGCCAAATCCGAAGTTTGCAAGGAAAATCCCGAAAGCAAAAATATCAGTGCGACTCCATAATTTCCAATCAAAACTTCGGGCCGAAGAATGCCGCCGTTTTTCCCGAGTGCCGGCAATGCTTTTGCCAACGAAACAGCTACGAACATTCCCACCAGAAAGTAATTTTTGTTGCAGTATTGGATGATTTGTGATACTTTGTTCGGCTTTTTCTCCAGTGCACCATCGTCACCACCAGCCCTCAAGGCGAGGGTGTCAAACGACTTGCAAATATCACAGGTTCCGTTCGAGCGAACATGGGGCCGCACACTCGTTGTCGATTGAATGATTTTTTCCTGTCGCGAAGCAGCAAGCTTTGGGTGGCGAAGCAAGGATTCGGTGTGGAAAGCTCCTGCAAGAGTCACGAACAAGGTCGACAGAATCACCAGCAATTGGCTCCGGCGAGTGCAAGAAATTCCAAACGGCTTCATTGTTGTGTGATAATGAATATGGTGCAGTATGTTTCCGACGATGCTGTACAGCTAGCCAAGGCTGTCGTCGAAATATTATGGACGGTACGGTATGCAACTGTACTCCGTCTCTTCAGTTATCACCCTTGCTACCGGTAGATAGCAGTACGAGTTCGAGTTTCACTCGACGTCTCAAAAACGTGTTCGTACCGTAACTTCCACAGTTGTACCGTAGTACATGATCGGATGGAGGGAAWTTTTTTGCTAGACAGATTTTTGATTTTGACACCGATCGGTGATCGGTGGGATATTTGATACGTACGTACGTACATTCCGTATTGTTGTTATCAGAATACGGTAGTATGAGGAGTACGTACATACGTTTGTACGTAGGGTACTTCTAGTTCAGTTGGACTTTCGTTCATTCCCGCATGTTCGAATTCTTCTCGTGATTCCATGACCATCAATAATCATCGAAGTCATCATGAATGTTTTCTGAATATTTCAGTTCCAAAGCTGCKAACAGAAAGCATGATCAACACAAAAATGATTCATCACGTTGGTCATAGCGCTATCTATCAAATGAAGGAACAAATTACCACATAGTCTTTGAAGTTTATGACTTGTAGTGGATAAGTAACGATAGAAGATCCTACTCGTTGATTCTTTCAAAAATCCAAGAAGAACGAAGCTCTACGAATTGGCAAACAATATTTCTGAATGCCACCATATTGTACCTTGAGGGGGAAAAAGCAACGCGGTAGATTAGAATAGTCAAAGGAAATACGACCTGGAACGTCAGCCAAGATGACTTCTGCGCGAGCACGCTTCACACCCTGGATGTGTACATTTTTTGCCCTTCTCTTACCAATATTTCAGTCACTTCTGCTGCATACCAAGACGCTCGCTTTTTCGCCATCGTTACCGGTGTCAGTCGGGTCTTCTAAATGTCGCGGAAGACAATATAAAGAATGGTCTTGTCAAAGAGCGACTGCTTCGAACGAATCTAAAGTAAATGTGAGAAATTCTACAGAAAAAAAAGAAGAGATCGCAACAACATCGCTTCCAATTCGCTACAACCCCTCTCTTCTGCGATTCCGATGTCGAATCTCGTACGATGGAACTAGTTTTTCTGGCTTTCAGCTGCAAGGAGGGAGAGTAGGATCAGGGGGAAAACAAACCTATTTGAGTTCGAGAACCGAGAATTCAAACAAAAAGAAAACGAAAAAGGGCAAAGGTAAAAGCAAAAGCAAAAACAACCCGAGGACGATTCAGGGGGAACTCGAACGAGTCTTATCGACCCGTTTTCAGCGGGTGGTGAAGGTAATAGGAGCAGGGAGAACGGATGGTGGGGTTCACGCTCGGGGCCAAGCCATTCACTTTGATTTATACCAAAACGAAACACTCGGAAAACCAACGAATCGCAGCTCGGCCGATGGTTTCTCCTTCGAACGCGACCTAGAATATACAATGAACCGCATGCTCCCCGTGGATATCCGAGCGTGGAACCTCGAGCGGGCAAGTCCCGAAGAAGTGGCCGAAACTGGTAGCAACTTCACACTTCCTGGAGTCTACAACTGGAATGCTATGCGATCTTCGACTTCGAAATTGTACTCGTATCGGATCTGCGTGGGAGATGCTATGGACCCATCCGAGCGTTTTCATCGCTGGCAATTGCCGTGGCGCGGGTTGGACGCTGCACGACTCCAACGCATCCTCAAGAAATTTGAAGGCCAGCACGATTTTGTTTGCTTTGCGGGGGCACTAGAACAGCAACAAAAGAAGACCGGGATCGCTTTGGGTACGATTAGAACGATCCACGAGATTCGGCTGGTCAAAGAGGTGGATATCGATCGAAATCGATTCGACATCAATCTCAGCGACATGGGTGGGGATCCCTCCGAGCACTATTACCGCATTGATATTTATTTGGATGGGGCTCTGTACAAAATGGTACGAAACATCGTTGGAACGGCAATTGATGTCTGCAGGGAATCAGTGAGCGAGGAAGTACTTTCTGACCTGTTGGACCGACCAAAAGAATTAAAGTATTCGAGAAAGAACAACCCCTGCGTGCCCGCACCACCAAATGGCTTGACCCTGGAGCGAGTCTTCTATTCCGACCATGAACATTTCTGAGAACACGAGTGTACACGAAATTGAAAAAATAAATTAATAGTGATGTACTAGACGCCGCGAAGACAAGTCGTCAGTAGCAGTCTTAGTAAGACGGAATTATAGAACTTGGTTATAAAAAGTAGGGAACCAAATGTGCTCGTTCTTCTCCTCGAGGCCCGTGAACACTATTCGTAGTTTCGCGAAAGAATTTAAATCGTTGCGAAATCGATCCTGGATAACCCTCGTGCTCACTGCTAGTCGTCATCTGTTGTTGAGCATTGTTCCCGTCGTCTTCGTCGCAGTTTTCGTTTGTGCTGCTGCCGTACTCGTTGGAGCTATCGTTGCCGCCAACTTCTAATATGGCGGCTACATTTCCGCACCTATAACAGTAGTTCGGTGCACTCCAGACGGTAACCAGCCGCTTATCGAAATGGTATTTTCGTCCCTCCATTACTAGCTGATGTGCCCGCGCTAAGAACTCSAGATTGTTGACTTCGTGGAATTCGTCGGTGACACGCTTCCCAAACAGATACCCAGCCCCGCGAGCCGACAGCTGCCAGGCTCCTGCAATGTCTTCCGGATCGCTCCACACCAAATCGGTAAAGGCACCTTCGTGGGGAATTTCTTGGTTCCGRTCGATGGCCCGCACCTGATCGAGCGTCCGAACATCTGGACTCAGCCCGCCGTGCACGCAAAAGACCTTTTCGTCGATCAATGCGGCGAGACCGAAGCAATCAAAACACTGCACACAGTGTCGCCATGCACTAGCATTTCCGTACTTCCGCAAGCATTCGTCGTAAAAGCCGTAGATTCGCGTGATTTGCCGCGACTGATTTCGAAAGGACATTAGAACACCAATGCATCAGCCAACATACATAGTCACATCACATGCCATGGCCCCGATGCACAGGATACTATTCGGTACACGATGTGCAGCCAAAAAAAATAGCCTCGAAATCGTGAAACTTACCTCGTGGTTCCCTCTCAAAAGCGTGATGTGAGCTGGAAATTTGAGCTTCAGACAGAGCAATAGACTCAGAGTTTCTACCGAATTGTGCCCCCGATCCACGAAATCCCCCAAGAATATGTACGATGTTTCCGGCGGCCAGCCCCCAACGCCTTCGAAGATATTCAGCAAGTCGAAGAATTGTCCGTGTAAATCTCCTACGATTGTCACTGGACTTGCAACAGGCTGGACATTTGATTCTTCCACGAGCAATTCACCGACGAGTTGGCAGAGCTGCCGGAGTTGTCGCTCCGAGACGGTTTCTCCCTGCTTGAGAGTATCGATACATGCGTCGACGTCGAGTCCCATGTTTTCTTATTTATTTCCTGCTCCCTCTTGTCTCCTTTCGCCTTGTTTTGCCCCACAGCAATAATTATTTGAGGTTCTCCCTTCCTTTAATGTAGTTCGCTACCGCTGCTCGACGTCTCGAAAATGATGGCGTCGTTTGGGACCGTACATAAAACGATCGGACCTGTCCTGTCGTTGGACGAATTTTTGTTGTTGTGTTGAGGAGGGAAAGTAGAAGTACCAGCACTCGTACTCGTACTAATCTAACACTGAGCTACGCGAAGTGTCGTCGTTCGTGAGTTCTTTTCCGAACAAGTTGAGCGAGTCGAGTCGGGATGGTTTTTGAGAAAGAGATATTGGCGTAATTTTGGACTAGTTTGACTAAAACTGCATCTTCGGGTGTAGGGACAGACTTCTGTTCGGTTCCACCATCCAAAATGAACCGTAATCGAGGCATCAAAATACTTAGTCCGTGTCGTGTCGTCCTAGTCGAGAGGAACTGAACAAAGCAACTTCTGTGCTGCTGTCTCGTGACATCCATGTACCGGTACTTGAAACTTCGTTCATAATTTTTGAAATCCACTATGATAATGATAAGGATACGATAAAACAACACTCCTCAGAAGAGGAAAAATAGGTTTCACTTTGTAGCTTATTGGCGAGCAGATCTGTCATGCCTTCCGCATTCCGGCGGTCTGGAGGATCCAACAAACGGAGGGTCTTACCCTCCGGAATTGCCGAATCGGCTATACCGAACGGCCCATTGACTTCTTCCCAGTCCTCGAGCGGTACTCAGAACACGACCAGATCATCGATCCGGCCCCTTCTCAGAGGCGTCAAGCCGTGGCAGGGTGGCTCCTACCTGACGTCTGTGGGTTTGAACGACTTGGACAACATTCTGGGGGGAGGGCAAGTTCTCGGAACAAGCATCCTACTTGAAGAAGATCGATTGTGGACGAGAGATCTAGCRATCACATTGGTAAAATACTGGTGTGCTGAGGTATGTTTCTTTTTTGTTTCMGTTTGTCAATAGTTTTGCTGCCTTTTCTCCTTACAGGATGTAATACTGTAGACAGCTTCATGATGCACTGTAAATTATGGCACATGATGTACTGCGTTTACATGTGACAAACCACCCCCTCATATTGATTCTACCGTACCATTCATGCATCCTTCTCTGCTTTTAGGCCATATCGCAAGACCAGCTCTTGCTCGCCCCTACATTTTCGACAAGTATCCTGTTGAAGGACGACGATGACGAGAATGCGTCCTTGTCCTTCTTGTTTGGGGACGATAATTGTTTGGAGGACGGGGATCAGCCCTCCAACCATTCGAGAGAAGAACTTCACGACTTGCTCTCGTCGCTGCCWCGGAATCTCCATTGGGATAAGCAAAAGAAAAAGCAAGAGAAGGCAAAACGAGAGCAAGAGGCATCAAACAACGCTACCGATATCACCAGCACGCTTGGCTCTATGAACCTCGAACCCATTGCGATTCTCGAAGAAGACGAGGAGGACGAAGAAAAAGAAGCCGATGACGGGCTACAAGTTGCCTGGCAGTACAAAACGTCTGTGCAGCAGGAACGTCTAGCGAAATCGAAATCCAACACGGCTACTGCATCTGTCGCAACAAACGTTTTTTCCCATTCSTACGACCTCTCCGCAAGAATGATGGATCAAACTAAATTGGATTTATCARCCTATATTGTCCCTCTGTCTCTGACAACYGGGACCAACGACAGCAGCCGCCAAAATAAGGGCTACAGCTTCTTCTGCGAGCTGGTTCATATGCTGAAAGAACGGATGGCAACGAATAATGAGAAGGCAGTTCGTCTATTGCTCTACCACCCTCCATTGGAATTGCTGCTAATTGCACTGCCTCTCTTCCTCGCACATATTCGGAAGGAGTCATTGCCGGTTGTGATTATGATTTGTACCACGCCTTCGGCGGATGTGAAATCTAGGRTTGGACTATCTCGTGCTTGCGACGTTGTGCTGTCCACGGAGGGTTTTGCCTCGCGAAAAGAATATCCACCTCCGCCCGAGTTTCGCCACTTGCAAGGTGTCCTGAAAATCTCGAAAACTACCCGCAAGCGAATTGAAATGGCCGCAGCGATTTATGGATTCAAGCGAGACCGCCGGAAACTTCACATTCCGCTCTTACACATACCGCCCGAAGACTATGCTGAGGGTGGAGGAAGCGTTACCGGTGGAGTTCGTTCGGGAGCTGGTAGACCAGTAGACAGTAAACCTGGTAAAACAAGCAGTGGTGGAATGGGTTGTTCTTCGAACATGTCGGGATCTCTCCTTGACTTTTAAAATGGTAAGTTTGCCTTTCGTCTCGATAGCGAATAATTTTGYGTGTTTTTCTGTTGTTTTGATGCGTGTGTGTGTAAACAAGAATCGATCACTAGGCGTTGCCCGGGGCTGCTATATGTCATTCTTTCATCGGCAAAACGTCGATGGCGGGGTGGGATCCCATGAGTTCCAACGTACAAAAGTGCGAAGGGTGTCACGGTTTTCGAAGAGAAACAAATACCGACGTTTTAACCCAACTTAGTCAGTCTTTCCAGTGGGCTATGATTGGACCTGTCTGTCGGGACAATTTCATGCAAACTTGAAGTCAAAGCTACGCGATGTTTATACTCACACAATCAATGTTTCCCGTATCGTACGACTAATGTGGCTACAGATTACYATCTAATCCATAAAAAGGAAATTCTCTCTGAAGTTTGAAGGGCTGTATTGAGGCTTGTGGAAGTGATTAATATAGTAGTTTTAAAGACCTCACCATTTTTTAGAGCAGCGTTCTGAACTGATGCAAAATATGCTTTGAATCGTATCGAAAATAGGCAGGGTTGAAGGGAATACATGTTGTACTTTYTTTTCCGTCGTTAGTTACCATGAGATGATAGAATTGTGTTTGTAACGCATCCTAACTATTTTTTATCGAAAACACCTTCGTGTCGCAAATCGCTCTAGTAATATATATACCTTGGAATGAGTTAACGTCATTTCTTTATCATACAATTAGATGTCAATCGTACAATGATCGATGGTTCTATTAGTTTACAGCGTGCATCAYAGAGAGGTTTGAATCGCGTTTTGATTTTTTTAGGATGATCTCAGGTGACGAGCCACGAAGGATTGAACCATAGTGGGATCGAGACCGCACAAGGCCGCCTCAGCCTTGTGTCGAGACATTGTCTCCTGCGCCGCACCAAGAGGCAACAAGTTCACCGGACCCACAAATCCGGTTCTTTCTTTTCCTCCCAATGACTCGTACCACGACTTGCCCTCTTCTCTAACACCTGACGACAGTGTGTCGTAGGCTAGGTTAACGCGTCCGAATTGATTGGTGGCTTCTTCGCATTCTTCCGGTGTACCCTCGAAGCGATCAGGATGAAGTTCGAACGAAAGGTTTCGGTAGGCTTTTCTGATGTCGGATTTAGTGATCTCATCCGCATTTTCCGACAGTCCCAAAGTTTTCCGTGCTTCTGCTTTCGTCATCGCTTGATCGGGGCTCTTGTTCGCCTTTCCCTCGATGACCTCGTCGTAAACAAATTTGTGGAAGCTATCAATCGATTCAACGCTGTATTGAATCTCGTTCCTTGCAATAGTGGAAAACACACGAGAGCCTTCAGCGGCCAAAAACGAGAGCTCTCGGCAATAGACAGAAATCGCCGTTTGCACAATTTCGTCCGACGCTCCCTCATGGAAATCAGTTTCTTGCCGTTTTAGACAGAGTTGGCAGATAGGAACCCAGTCTGGGATGGAACCTTTCTTTGAGGCATCTCTGGCGGCAATCACGTATTCAGTGGTAATCATCTCGATCTCGCCAGAGGACCAAGAGCTGTAGGACTCGGCTTCTTCTTCTTCTTTCTTGAGATCTTTCGCAGCGCTTAGTTGGAGCTCATCGTATTTTTTTTCAAGACGAATGATTGACGCGTTTACATCGAAAGGSGTAGATTTCTTCGAAGAGGACGACAAGCCTCTGCCTTTGGATTTATTCTTCTTCTTTCCCTTTTTCTTCTTCGAACTCGTAGCCCCCATTCCCATCCCCATGCCCGCAAAAAGTGGGCTTGTACAAACATCTGGTCCTTGCGACCGCGATGGGGACGTGGAACTCGTTGTCGTAGGAACAAACGCATTGACAGTGAAGTGGTTGTAAAAAACAATCAAGACCACGGTTGCCTTGACCGCAAAGAAAAAAGTATCGTGCATCGTGCTTCTATTGCCGTAATTTCTGATGGCTAATATTTTGTCGATGATATAGTACGAAGTATGAGATTGTGGTGGGAGAACACAGGAAACATCAAAAACGTGATCGATGATGTGTATTGTTCGTTGTCTGTGTGAGGTGTTTTTGAGTTTCTACCCAAAATTCTTCACAAAAACAACTTTTTAGGGGCGGTCGGGCAAGTGGATGGTCAAGAACCTTCTTTCCTCGCCCTTTCCGAACTCTTACGCACTTGTACAAGATAAGAAGACYCTCGACGTAAGGAGAATACGGTACGACAGTCTGCACAGTCGTGGATTAGAGAAACACGGAACATTTGTACGAGTAAGTTTATTCACTAACTACTCGGGAATCATTATTATTACTTTTACACGAAAAACTGAATCAATCGACGAGGATGCAGTCCCGTCAAGAAAAGACAAATTGTTGCAAGCCTGCCTCGCATTGTTCACCAAAAAAACCTTTGCTTGTGTCATCATCGTGAACCGTTTTGACTCCCACCGATGCATCGAAACGAGTCCGACACGGTACCGGCTCGTACGGTAGATTATTTTTGGTATCATGCAATTCACCGTTTTTCATTCTTGGCTCTTTTAAACCCATACGAGTAATCCTGTTACCAGTCCCATACCTCCTTCGCGTTTTGTGAAGCCTTTACTAGCATCCCCATCCTTTTGCAACTGCGATTGTTGTTGTGGCTGGGTTGGGAATCTGAACAGCGCCGTGGGAATTGCAACGCACTGATACATCAATTAAGTTGTGATTTCTCCCGAGACGTTGATGCTATTCAAGAAATATTTCCTCTTCATCTTGACCATTCAGAGACAAGAACACCTCTGCAAGCCAGAAAAGTTCCGTCATGGTGTCGCCGGCTTTGAAACGAATCAATATTTCGCCGCCATCGAAGAAATACATAGCGTCCCCAAGGGGAAACACTCACGGGAGGAAGCCTTCCAATAGTGACTTTCTTTGTGCAATGTTTTTGCGATACACCAAGTGGATTACGCTGGGGATTCTAGGAATCGCAATGACTAGAATGATATCAATGGACTCTACCGTTACCCCCATTAAAAATGGGAGCACCAGAAATTGGGATTTAGATTCAAACAATCCTGAGATTCCGGGGGGAAAAGCTTCTTCTGGCAACTATCCAGAGTATGTGGAAAATCACTCCTACTCCAACGGTGATCATGGCGATCATCATCATCAATCGCCACTTAACGAGAAAGTAGAAGTCATCAAAGCTATTGATCAATTGCAAGGTACAGCTACTGCGACTATAACCAATAATCATACTTCTGAGAGTCAATCGGGAAAACCCAGTGATTTATTGTCGAAATATAACCCGTTGAACGCTCCCGTAATACTTGATGGATGGAATCGAACGGTGCAGGTTCATTTGATAGTCGATGTTACTGGCGGTGAGGATATCAATCCAGCCTCCAAGCTGTTGCTATCTGCTGTACAGCGATCGAAATATACGCAACTGAAAGCTGTTACATTCGTGCGACCCTCTATCGAAACGATCGACTTTTTCTCGCGGAAGCCTGGCCTTCCCTTGCTCTTCTTGGTGGATTGGGGTTCGATGGATCGAGACTGCCATCGATTACAGTTGACGCTGGAAAATATTAGAGAACAGGAGAAAAATCATTCGAAGAGAAAACGAGAAAAAGAACAGCCATACTTTTTATTGATCGACTCAAGTGGCAGCACACGGCGAACGGGATGCAGCTACTTATTCGTGAGCAACAGCGATGATCGTAGGGACAGTGAAACTGCCATTTCGTACGCGCGCGCAAACGACAACTCACGAATCCGTTTGGCAAAGCGAAGCATTGTCCAGAATCGATTTTATGACAGGAGGAACAACAAAGTCCATCTGGGAGATGTATCGCCAAATCAATGGGACGGCGCTCCATCGGATTACAGTAAACCTATTTTGCATAGTCCATTCGCTCTGCGAGAGTCCTTTGTAATGAGCATACAGAATATTACCAAGGGGAAGCGGGTGTCGATGAATGACTCAAAGCGGACTGTGGACGTTGGATTTTTTTGGAAATCTGGAGACTACTCCCATTATGGCTTTTATCGTCGCGACATTGGAAAAGTCGTGAAGACCTTGCACCATTCCTCTATCAATAAAGAGGCTGGCACGCGTATGGAGAACCTAGTGCAAATCTCGTACACTGATGAAAAAGGAATGGAAGCTGGGAACGTTCAGTATAAATATACGATGGAGCTTTTGAGATGTAAGATAGTGGTGATTGCCCAAAGGGATGAATGGGAAGATCATTTTCGATTGATGGAATCTCTTGCCAGTGGAGCATTGGTCATGACCGATCGTATGGTTGCTCTTCCTGCGGGGCTGGAAGATAAGGTCAACATCGTGATCTACGACAACCCAAAGATGCTGAAGGATCTCATCAAATATTACACCAAGCCAAAAAACAAAAACAAGCGGAAACGCATTGCATTAAAGGGATACAACTTAGTCATGGGACGCCATCGATCGTGGCACCGACTAGAAGAACTTCTGTTTGGAAGACCACTGACAAATGTTGATCAGCCGGATGCGCCAGCACCAAAAAAAGGTGCATTGCCTACTTTTAAAGATAGATGAACTAGAAAAGAATGTACTACTACTAAAAAATACCCTAGAGAACCCAAAACCTTTGCTTTTCCAGTGGCTGTTTCAAAGCTCCGTTCGCTTATGTTTCATATGTATAACCTACTCGCTAGCTTGGAGTTCGAATGCTTCCAGTAGCCATTCCATGCAGTTTATTGAAAATAGTTTCACCGTCATCACGGATGCCGGAGTGCTGGTAATCATTGGTAATGYACACCTTGCATTTCTCGAGAGGTCCGCCACGAGCTGCTACCTTCATACTACAATCGAAATCTACGTACATATCATCGTAATAAACAGCTGCGGCAGAGCGTGTTCTGCCATCCTTCAGAACAGCCCTCATTTGCGATGCGTTGTACAAAGGTCCCCAGTCTTTCTTCGTAGCCAAAGCATGGGCTAGTGCGGTACATCCCAGACCTCCGCACTCGCTGTAATCTTCTGTCATCCAAGGGAAGACCATTTCTCCAAAGAACAAAACGGGAAGATCGCTGTCCTCATTGCTTGTCACAGCGTAATCGTACTCGGCTCCGGATGATCTATCATTTAGCTTAGTTTGGTAAGCACGATCGGCACTCCAATTTGTGGCACAATCAACAGTATCATCCTCAACTTGTTCTTTGGCGAGGCGACTCATGTTGTTTCTGTCGGCATAAATACTTTCATGAAGCCAAAAATAAATGGGGTATTCATCGAAAGGTTGCTCGTTGTCCACTGCTTTCAAAAACCCACGAGAAAATTCAATGCTGTCGTCTTTTCCCGCGATTGGATGTAAGAAGGCCGAAGATAGAAGGTTGTGCATGGAAGCGAAGCTCGAGGGGGTGCCCCCAAGCATCATTCCCAGTTGTAGAAAGCGGCGTGCAGTCAGTTTTCCTCCCGATGGCAATCGCGGAGTTGATCCTTCCTTTTCTAGTTGTAGTAATTTCCGAACAATTGTTTTTACCACATCGACGTCCCCGGGGTACATATCGTAGTACAAAAGGTTTCGTTCTTTAACTTTTTTCCAAAGGGAGGTGTAAACATCGGTGGCACTGTCTGCCAACATGGGAGCAATTCCTCCGGTAAGAAGAGCAATTTTCGGTGGATATTGAATCTGAGAAAGATATGTCATGGTACAAAAGCCACCAAACGATTGACCAAGACTACATCCCCATGGATTTGGGCGCGATGCAGAACTCTCATCGCCAATCGCCTCATCGCCGACATCTTCTTCCTCGTCGTCTACGGATGGCGTGTACATAAGCACATCCTTGACCAATTCAGCGTCCCGCACGATATTGTCTGCACGGAATTGCGTGATGAACGCAATAGCTTCTTCCAATCCGCTCTTAAACATCTTGAACGCTTCAGGATCAGAATTTTCAAGTCGATYCATGGTCTCGGTTTGACAAACAAAGTCTGTAGCACCAACCTCAGTTTTCTCATCCATAGCGAACAAATTGGGGAAGCGCCGTTCTAAGCTTTGTTTTGTCAATGGGGATGACTTTCCTGTACCCCGTTGATCTAGCAAAACCACCTTAGAATATCGATCAAGGGCCGCAGAGCCCCAAGAGCCCCCACCCTTYGCAAAACTCAGGGCCGTAACCGGCGACGGTGCTCCGAAACCTGGGCCTCCCTGTAGATAAAGGAGCATGTCTTTGGCGGAATCCATTGCACATCGTTTCACATAGGCAGCAGCTCTTTGCTTTGGCGTCAATGTCGGAAAGACATTTTCATACCATAATCGTGTTTGGTCGTCCTTGACTTCTTCCACAACTGTGAAAGCGACGTCAATGAAATCGGTCGCTGCCTTCGGCATTGCCATCCTAAAAGCCGGATCGTCTGTTTTTTCATTATCTTTTTCTGGATGAACTATAGGGACCGACATACGGTGCTCCGTGACGACAATTTGACGATCCTTCCCACATGCATGCAGTGCACCGGGGGACACGATTCGGTGGTTTTCTCGTTGTGCCTTCATGGCTTCTTCCAATCGCCGCCTTGCTTTTCCAGCTGCGTTGCTCTTTTTTTCAGGTGCTTTCTTTTTCTTCGATCCCAATCCGTTCTTCGTTGGGGATTCGTTGTTGTGCAACCAACCTGTTCGGAACTTTGGCTTCGATTCCGATTCTTTTATTGACTTTGAAATCGCTTCCACTTGCTCTGCGGTGTTCCAGAAATCAGGATTCTTTGGCGGGTTGTGGTTCTAAAATAGCAGGTTCGAGATGAGATACAARTTATTCTAGTTAATACGACACAGCAATGGAAACAAGGAAATCTCCATCGATCACTCCATCTTGGTTGTTCGGCATTCGAATTGCATACGTACCCAGCCTGTTTTGCCTTCGCGTGGTTTTGGGCCGTTTCCGTTGACTTTATCCTCACCGTAGTCGCTGTTGCCTCCAGATGCCGCACTTAGCAACAACCTATTCGTTTGAATGAGTCGCTTGTTGGTAGCAGTAGAGAGTGCCGACCAAGCCCTGGCTGTAGTGACGAGATTCCCTGTGTGCTGCAGGGATTTGCTGCAACAAAGCAGGAGCATACAAGTGCTTGCTGCCGCGAGAAAGACGTTTCGCTTGAAAACGATTTTGGAGGACCGAAACGTCGAGAATGAAACCAAGACAAACAATTGAAAGAACATCGTTTTGCTGTCCTCTCGATCGTTGCAGTTTGTACATGGAGGAGGAGATGGATTCTATGAAAATCTTCTCGATGATACGAGTACTCGATTCTCCTTCGAACTCAGTTTTACCGATCCTGACTTCGAAATCCTACTATTCCTGATCATGTCTGAAATTTTACTGCATTGTACAGTACGGTACGGTACCACCATCACTACTACCGGATGTCTTGCTGTTGTGCGTCAGCCGCTTSGAGGCTTGCCTCTCGAATCAAGTTAGTCAAGAACTATGTTGGTTTACATTCAGAGCATACTGTTTTTAGCTCAATCAGTCAGTCTTCAGGATTGGGTGATCCTGTTAGATCTGCAACACCAGGGGGGGGGGGGTCATTCCCTCCCCAGGGACATAGACTAGGACCTGCCCCGTCCCTGTTTGTTTTGAAGCAGGGCCATGGCTTGTTACTACTACTACTACTACTACTACTAGGAGTAATGCTGAAAATCAATCACCAGCAGTGTTCTGGCATATACTCTGCTGATTCCCTACTAGATGTGGAGATTAACTCACTCATCATGGTGCATGTACCAAAAATGTAACCAGAAAATGTACTAGTACTATGTTGAGGTCCKTGTTGTTATTATCATGGGAAAAGTTTTGCACTGCAGTACAGTCTCCTCCAGCAGCTTTCTCATCCTGCTGTACACTCAAAGTCCCTACTAGATGTGGAGATTAAGTCCTCACTCATCATGTACCAAAAATGAAACCAGAAAATGTACTCTGTTGAGGTCTGTGATATTGTCGTGGGAAAAGTTTTGTACTTCGCAGTCTCGAGCTTACAGTATCATGGAGGAGCCATTGATACGATAGTTCAGAGGAGCTGCTGTTAAGATACAAGTTGCTGATACAGAGGAGGATACTGTGATTCCTACTGTATTTTATGCATGAGTTTGTACTTAGTTCCCAATTAATTTTCTTTTTTGTGGAAGTACTCGTACTTAATACAAGTTTACATGTTGAGATGCGTTTGCCTGGTTACAAGTGCACGCATGCACATTGTGCACTTTTTTGTAACCAGACTACTAGTAGTACTGCAGAGAAAAGAAGGGTCTTTATAGGGATGGGCTTGGTTCAAGCACTGGTTGCAAAGACTCAGTCCCTGCTCATGTAACCACCAGCTTGAGGTGTGCATACTTAGGCAAAAAATAACTTGTGTTTGTTAGTGTTAGTTTTTTGTACCAGTGCAGTAACCAAGAAGCACATGTGGTTACAAATAATTTTGGTGTTGCTCAATGATTACTACTAGTAGTAGAAAAAGATCACAGATAACAATTGTTACTAATACTATTACAGAGGAGGAGATTTTGAGAAGGGACAACAATRCCCCCACTGCCCTCTTGACTACATCATTTTTGGCTCTGTTGATGGGGTCATTAGGTAGGTCCCTGAACCTTTCTGAAACATAAACCTCTTTGCTCATGGTAAGCTCACCTTGAAGTTCTGATTGAGCCAGTAGCACAACTCTACCTTCATCCTTCTACACTCCTCTCAAAACCAATCCTCGTCTATTCTTCAAACTTWAATCCTGTTTTAGGATCCTTTTGAAGTTCTTAAATTTCAGCACAAAACAGGTGAAACAAAAATTCCCCTCAGGGAACCAGCTTTGATTCCTTCCACTTTTTGATCACAGAATCTCTTTGGCTACACCTTAATCAACTGGTCTTTCTCTCTCTGGAAGGAGGACTCCAACACATGAAGTTTGTTGTACAGCATCAGGATAGCAAAGGACTTGTCCTCAATGCTGAATATGTCACTAAGCAAATCCCTTGCCCCATTCTTATTTCCATTAAAATAGGTATTCCTGTTCTTTAGTATGGATGCCAAGATTCTTGTCACAAAATAGTAAAAATYGGGATTGTTTGCACTTCTATATGCCATGTAGAGTGGGTTTAAAATCTTCCTCCCTTTCTCTCTTTGGGATCCCCATCAGAAATGCCCACCATTCCTGGAAACCTGTCATAGTACTCTCAAAATAATGTCACACTGCAAGCTTGCAATGTTGTGCCATATTTTTCACTCTTTCATTGCTGATGCCCACCAGCCTAATGGTACTGGGTTCTCTCTTTGCTGACTTGTACCAGTACTACCCACTACTGTATGGTGGTTCTAGTGCCTTATCCTAAGCATCTATTTTTATAAAAAAGGCTCCAATCAAGATTGGGTGATTCATTGTTTCAACTGAATTCAGATCTGATTAATTTTTTTGCTAACAGTGCCATTGTTGGACTGCCACCTGATGCCAAATCTTTCCTATTCAATCCAATTCTGTTTGACAAAATTTGTTGTTGGATTCACACTGAATCAAGATCCAGTCAGATGGAATCAATATTAGATGGCAGTCCAGTCTGATGAATTCACTATTTCATTGCAGTCTGGTCCAACAAAAATAACATCACATTACAGTCCAGCAGTCTGACATAATCCATATTACATTGCACCAGTCCAGTTGTCTGACAAAATCAATATTACATTGTAGTCTGGTCTGACAAAATCAACATTAAATTTCAGTCCAGTTGGGCAAAACTGATATTACATTGTGGTCTGGTCTGATGCAATGATATTACATTGCAGTCTGGTCCAACAAAATCAATATTCCATTTCCATCCAATCCAACAAAGTTGATATTACATTCCTTGTGGTCTGGTCAGACAAAATTAACACTATATTTTATCCAGTCCATCAAAGTTCCATCCAAGTCCATTTGACATTCAATTTTCAAACAATTGTGGCTAACCATTGACCAATCAACAATTTCTGGAATTCAACCCTAGTAGTCTGTATGGTATTTTATTGCAGAACAACTCGATCCTACTCTATCTGGCATTCTATTTCAATTGAAGTTCAATCATACTCTGTTCCGCATTGTTCCATTTAATGATGCAATTCCCACTCCACTCCTCACACCCAATGTGATTCTAAGAAAGCCTTCCAACATGTCATCCATACCATCTATCCTTGTGTCAAAAATATGGTTCAGGGTATGATTCTTGGTGCTTTGATCCACCAGAAGGCAATGAAAGTACACAAGAATACTTCAATCCTGGAGTCAATGGATGTACAGRAGGAATCTGTTTCTAACAACAAGTCAAGCACTCATTTTGCTGAAATGGACTTGTCATTTGCTGGACTGGACTGGTCATTCAAATACTTTTCCATTATAGACTTAAGGGCTGTAAAGTGTTTTGATGCATCATCATAATGCATTTTAACTTCTTACAGATGGGGTCTTTTGCATCTCTCCTGTCCATTTTCAGTGTGCCTGAAACATACACAGCTGAGGAGAAGGGAATGATCAGATAAGGGTGCTTTGTTCCACAATATTTCAAGCCATTCCTCTGTGCAGGCAAGGTTCTTCTTCTTGCAGAGTTTGTTGCTGAACTCCTTGGGATAGTACTAGTAGCACATAGTATAGTTATGCAAGTTAGTACTACTAGTAGTATTACGTCACAGTAGGTTCTTTATCTGGCAAGAAAGGATGAATCATACCACTACTACTACTACTACTACTACTACTACTACTACTACTACTACTACTACTACTACTACTACTACCACTACTACTACTACTACTACTACTACTACTACTACTACTACTACTACTACTACTACTACTACTACTACTACTACTACTACTACTACTACTACTACTACNCTACTACTACTACTACTACTACTACTACTACTACTACTACTACTACTACTACTACTACTACTACTACTACTACTACTACTACTACTATGTGCAACAAGAAGACACCCTGTTCTTCTCTTCAAGTGCTGCCGCTGCTGGGAGTACTGGTGCTAGTAGGCTCTGATGACGACATGCTGGGCTGGTGATCCCCAGCAGTTTGAAATAATTAATTAAACGTACAGGACCTGGGTGAATTGAGTTATTTTCAAATGTCAGAGAAATTTTCAAGCGTGAAGTGACATCAGCACTTGCTAAACCACTTAGCCATAATCAAGCTCTGCTCTACTAAGTTATCTTGTCGTCTGGTCGTCACCAACAACTGCCCAGAACTCAGAGTGAGGACGAGGGTTGAGAACAAACGTACGGTACGGTAGGTACCGTACGATACTCGTACCTTTTGGTCGCCCCAGAACCAGTCAATACTTTCAGACAGATACGAAGTACAGAACAAAAATCCAAAAAAATTGTCCTTCTGACAACTGAAGCAGTTAAACACCTGTATACGTATCGTTCAAGGCAGGAAAACACTTTAAAGATGGTACGGTACGGTGCGGCGCGGTATGGTTGCAACCAATCCGCAGGAGTCACAATCTCGTTGCGGTCGAGTTTGAATACCAGTAGTATCGGATCAATATTGAAGACAAAATGCTATCGTAGTCAAAGTGACAACGACGAGTCTGTCAAAAAACCAAGGTACGAACTCAAACACATCGGTAGGGCTAGAAGTCCGATTTATGATTCAAAAACGTGTCTCGTGACTTTTTGACGAAATGATGGTGATTCGAAAGGAGGTCAATGAATGCCATGACATAGCACTGGGTTCTGATACACCGTGATCGTGAACGCACGCTTGAACGTGCATAAAACTTAGGAGACCAGCCTATTCAATATCAATCATCGTCGTTGTCGTCGGACACAAAGAGGAAGCAACAGAAGCACAACACTGTGCTGGACAAGGATGATGTTCCGATTTAGGAAGTGCCGTCTGAAGCTTTGATCGACGCCGATTATTCTTGGTTGTGACAATGTAACTCGATCTAGGGCACCTGAAATGAAAATTATGCTTGGATACTTTCTTGAGTCAAAAATGACATCCAAAACGGATTTGAGAGTTTCTATCATTGGTTTTCATTTGGGGGGTTCTGGTTTTAGTTGGTTGCTTCTTGGGGTGGTTGCATCGTCAAAGCACGCCCACTCGCTGGGATAGTGATTTATAAGACCGGAATGAGTCAGAGTCCAACGGTTGTTTTCCACTTGATTGTCGGTCGTTTATTCTTTGATTTCCTTCTAAAACTGTTCAACTAACAGAACAGAGCACATTTTTCATTCTACTTGCCTCTACTCTGGTGCAGATGGTTGGTGCTTGTGAAATCATGCAGACGTGATAGATAGGGAAGACCTAACTGAGAACAGAATGATTTGGGGAATGCGTTTGCTGTGGAAAAAAATTGAAAATGATAAATAGAATATAATAGAGAATRGAATTACAGTACTTGGTGACTCAATGTTCTAGGATTGCATCTGTAAGGCAATCGTACGCGTCCCACATCAATCGTTTCTTCCAACAAACCCTTTTTATCCGAAAGATGCAATTCGTTCTGTCAAAGAGGTTACTACAATACCAACAAGCATGAGAAAGGATGCAACAACCACAGGGTTATCACCGCTGTTCCATTTTGCATCTTTCAATATTGGAAGCGCGGGTTCTTTTTGCCGACCAGCCTTCCTTTCTGATTTGTTGTCGATAAGCCAGTCGGTGAACAACCACCTCTCGAAGGCTCTGTCTCGTGTTGGAGATGGCTTCGAGGAAGTTGACCGGRTTTCCGTTATCTTTCCTTCGTCATCCGAAGCTAAAGTTGCTGTTTGTAAGGTTGGGACGTCGACAGAATCAGCTTCAGACGAAATTTCTGAAGACATTAAATTGGGAGACGAGGACTGAGACACTGAATCGGATGTGACTGACGATTCTTTGAGTTCGTCTAGATATTCTTTGAGTTCTCCACGACTTTTGGAAATGGCTAGTTTGGTTCTTGAAACTGGAACTACCTGATTCTCCCAGACCCAGTAAAGTGCAACACATAAGACTAAAATGAATCCCATCCCTACCAAGGTTTCTGTTTGCGGAAGAACAGCTTCGTATACTCCCGATGGCTGTTCCCCGGCAGTAGACATCCCTACGGATCCATCCAAGGATCCTGCACAGCGTGTCAAAATGGTGGGTCGGCAGGCAGCATTCTCAACGGTAGAAGCATCAACAGGAAAGGCCGATGGACGTCTATTGCTGCAACGTGTTGCGAAAACTGTAGATTGTTGCCGGATATATGGCGCCATGAAGGCTAATTGAGAATGCTTCATCGTTCTTGTCTGAAAGGAACCTCTTCGATRTTTGATTGGAATTGGTTTTGCGTATGCCTTGTGGGAGATCAAAGGAAGACCTTTTTTCCTTGTATTGTGGTCGATTTATGTTTACCATGGCTCTGTGCSTACACCTTTCCCCGTCAACAGCAGTCTTCCTGTTCTCGTGTTGTCGTTTGATTCTGAGATACAGTATACATCGTGAAAATGTAAACGATGAGAAACTTCGTCAGCAACTTTTGATTCAGTATTACAGTACGGTAGAAGTAGTTCGTACGGATTAATAAATAATACCAGTACGTACGAACGGTAGTACGGTACAGTCCCAAAAAATTATTGGGACTTCGTTTCGAATTTTCAATCATGGATGATGACGTCACGTTGGTAGCGTTTTCATTCATTATGATAATGTATTTACTTACGCTTAGACCATATGGACATGATGAGTGACGATGACGGTGATGGTACCTGGTATGCTCAAACGAACGGCACGAGTTTCGTACAAACTTCTACGTCCTGTTTTACGGTACTACATACATGTCACCACATACGGATGTGACGAGTACGGAACTTCAATTTCCCATTTCCATCATTCAAAATCGATCATCACACAACCATCCAGATTTCTATGCATACTGGTACAGCTGAAGTCAACATACGCTATTATCATTACTCGGCCAATCATCAACAACTCGAAGAATAAGATGGCGAGACTTTCATTATCATCAGTGGCGGTTCTATTTGCTCTTGCTGCGTGCTCCTTCCGACGAGCAAATAGTTTTACTGGGAACACGTTGTTGACAACAGAGAACACGGCCAATAATCACGCACTTTATGCCAAAAAGCCAGCGAAGAAAAACAAATCAAAGAAGAAAGGCACTGGCAATAGTGGAGGCGGGGGATTTGGAAAAGTTCAAATCGAATCTACGACCAACAAAGTTAGAAGCGTATCTGGACATGCCGGAAGTGGAGAAAAACCGTTGAGACAGGCTGCCAATACGTTTGACGCCATTCGAAAAGATCACGGAAAAGAGGCTACCAATGATGTCTATTGCTACAGCCCCCTTGACGACGAAGAGACATTCTGGTATGTAGGAAAGGTTGCTGCTCGACCGGGGGTTTCTGGCAAAATGGCCGTTTTGTCTCAAAAACGMCTCATTCTGGAGTACTCGAAACGAGAGCTGAGACCCCAAAATTTGGGTGGAAAGTACGCATCTGCGTTGGAGTTGTGGCTGGCTCCCGGAGATAGTGAGATGGATGCCGTCCAAAACAAAGTTAGCTTAACGAAAGTTGAAGGAACTACAAAAGATCTTTCTTCTGATTTTTCTGTCAAGGATGTTGGCTATAACCCAGAAATTTACGTTGGCGACGAGGTAGAAAAAGGAGGACTCAGAATCAAGAGAGATCCTTCGACAGGAAAGCCTACAAAACCGGTTTTTGAAGTGAATGAATCGATGTAAATATAAACCAAATCTACTCATCTTGCCTTTCAAATTCATTTTGACGAACCACCGAACCAAAAAGAATCAATACTCAATGTGCGGTGTGATCGCCCTTCATCCACATGCAAGATCTATGAAACAAGGATGAGTGGAGTATCAAGTCCGAAAACCTAATTGAACCTCTAATCGAATTGAGTAATTATAACACCGCTGTCAAGTTGTTTTTGCGATGCTCCCTCTGGACTGCGATGAAAGCAATATTTACCATCAGATTCAATAAAATTTATCAAAGTGGGCGACGTCGGCTGTGCTTTTCGGTTTATTCACTGCCAAAAATAATAATTTGAGATTGGCGGATAACGATGAAAGAATAAAATTTTCAATCGCGGTGCACAAGTTGAAAGAAAAAAGGAAGTCTAATATGTTTTCTTTTGAACTAATGTGAAATCTAGGGAAAAAATATTGACTACTCATACTAAACGTTTCAAAAGCCTGCGCATCTAACCGGTATGATCTTGCGGTGTTATTCAAATGAAATTTTGTAGCCACTCCATTGTTCGGTTGAAATCCCTCAATCATGTCATCTCCCCTGCTTCTGCTCCCGTTGTAACACGAGGTTTTGGGGTTTTGATTGCTCGTGGTGTATATATAGATTTAACTACTTGGCTCGACTAAACTTGGTGTTTCTCTGGCTGATCTATCCCCCCTTGTTTGCTTGAATCTTCAAAGTCTAGATGTAGGTACGTAGGAGGAGGAGAGGAAGAGTACGTGATCGACGACGACCCAAAAGTAGCTATAGTATGACCCGATGACCCAATGGTGCTCTTCCTAGTAGCAGGCCACAAATATTCCCCAGGTGCTTCAGCCATGTCAGATGAACGCTTTCTTTCCTTTGGCTTGGAGAATTGTTGTACCCTACCAAGTAGTGACATCGATCGTTGTGTGGGCACGTACAACTCGTAGTTTGCAGTTAGTATAGGCGAACTTGTGTGATGCGATGATTGGGTTGTAGAAAGCGACGAGGTCGGAGACGATGTCCTATTGCTTTGTTGAACATTCATTTCGCTTACCGATACAGTGGAACTTATGGCAGATTTTCCCAACAATGATTTTAGATCTACCAAGGATCGACCCTTCATAGAACAGATTGTACTCTTCATGCCATTCAATAGATGCGCAGCGCCGTGTACCCCTCTACTACCTGGACTCAAATGTGCGAATGAAGAGTTGCCGAAAGAAGAATCTTTTAGCATAGAATTTCCTGAATGAGATACTGTGCGTACTTTTGCAACCTTGCTAACTTCGTCCGTTTGTTCTTTTTCTTTCTTTTTTGTCTGTTCGTATCTTTTTGGGAGGGGCATAGTGTAGAAATTTGGCTCGGTTTGAACATCAGCAGGCTACCCGTGAAGTAGAAAACATGCAAGACAAAGAAAGACATAACCATCATTTGTTAGAACTATAATTTGAAGTAAATTATTCCTATTTTTACGATAACGCACCTGCTTGTGCCCAGTCCCTTTGATTTTCTGTCTTTGCATTCGTAAGCACAGTTGAGGGCGTCCTCTTAAGAACAATTCATGATAATATGCTCCAGCGTCAGCGCCTTGCGTTAGTCTCCGAAATCCGTACAAATTCAGCTAAGTAATCCATGGAGCAACAAAGATTAGAATGTGTTAGTTATGGGATATAAATGCCATCACGTAATGAAGAATTTCTTGATAGAGGATACAAAAATATGGTAGAGGAGCGTACCTGTCGCTGAAAAGATGTCAGTTTGGTTTGGCGGAAGTATCTGTAGAAATTTCGTAGTTCAAATAATATCGTCGGATGTATGAGTTTACCAGAGCTTCAGTGACTGTACGAACAAAGTAACCAACAGTTGAGCAAAAAAGCAATAGAAATAGTCTTACTTTGGCATGATTTGAGCTGTAAATTCTGCTGGCTTTCGTACCAAAAAGGCTCTTCCGTGAGGAAGCCAGCTTACTATGGAAGGATCATCGTCATTATCCAACATCAAATGCAACTTTTCTGGAAAAGGCTGGGTTACTCCACCTGTCTTCTTTCGAACTACGCCTATTGTATCTGGGACGTTCGAATAATCGTGATAGATGTGCGGAACTCCTTTCTTGCCGGGGAGTGAAAGAAGCGAATTCTGAGTAGTAGCAACGCTCATCGATGATCTACTAATTGTGCCAGTGAAAGCAGGATTGCTTCCTGATAATTGTAGAGGAGGTGGATCTCCCGGGTGTTTTCTCTGAAGGTTCGTGTCCGATAAGGATTCACACGTTTGCTTTTCCCAAGGAGATTTGAGAGCACCGGAAGGTGGTGTGACCTTATTTCTCCCATTCCAATTGGTATCTCTTCTTGCATCTATCACAGCTAAAGCACCATGTCTATGGTAATCATTTAGTTGCGAGATTATCGTAGAAGTCGTTGTTGGGTTCGTATTTGTCTTGCTGATAAAGCGTTCTGTCCAATTCCCTGAGCCTTCAGATTCATTCTGCTTGTTTTGTGACGCATTCCTGCGTGAATTTTCATGTCTTTCAATAGACATAGCCACTGACGATAGATGATCTTCGTATCCTTTCAATTTATTCAAGACTCCATCGCAACCACTTCTTCTAACCACATTCTTCACTCTCCCATTCCACTCGCAACTGGTCTCCATAGTCTTCTTGTTTCCACCATCAATTTGACCAATGACATAGAACAGTCAGTATCGATTGCTTTGATATGCTTCTATCATAAGCGAAGAAAAGGAAAATACAAGTCCGGTATTTTGAATACCGATTACTTTGCAGACTGTGATTCATTGGACAATGAAGCTTTCGGAAATAAAGACATTTCTACTAGTAGTGCATTTGCTCCCTTCCTCAGTGGAAGTACCGTGATTGAGTGAGAGTCAAAAGAATAGGGAGAAAAAAGAGTCCAATGAGAACGAAGATATTGGATTTTAAGAGCTCCGACAGAATTAATCACAGATATTAATCAAAAACCATCATTCTGACAGCAATTCCCATCAAGGAAGAGAACCGCGCTATCAAAAGTACATAACAAGACTTGACACCCTGCTTCGCAACATGAATCCGATGAATTTTGAATAGCCAAAAAATAAGACCGATACAATTCGTTGGCTCTTTCAAATACTCTCTGTAATGCGTCTGAATGCGTCGAATTTTAAAAAATACTACCGGTACTAATGCTTTCGTCAACTCGGTACACTCTACCTAGTAGAGCTATTAAAGGCACCTGGTCCCGTACTGGCAAGTTATTGGCAATTCCCGTTCAAATGCTAGTAGAAATTTTTAGCTAATTTTTTGCAGGTAAATCCCGACCATCAGTGAAATAAAAACTGTTAAAATTGTCATTCAACTTCTGAAAAAATTCTGGCASAGATAATGGATGAGGGCTGCGCCAGGATTTATTCAGCAACTGAACCCATTTCACCCATTGTTGGTGCTTTGCCTGATTTTTTCAGATTTTGAATTCCATTATTTTAAAACTGAGCTCCTCCGCATCCTCACCAGCAGTGTCCTCCTCTGTAATCTGTAGTATCATCATACTCTGTGTCATCATAAATGGTATCAGTGTACTCCTCCATACTATCAGCGGCTTGTAGCAGCTTAGGGCTCCTCCATACCGTACTAGTATGAGCGTACTCTGTATCACCAGCATACTCTGCATCAGTCGTGTACTCCTCCTCTCTATCAGCTTCTTCTTCTTCTTGTCTGTATCAGTGTCTTCTCATCTGTATCAGCGTCTTCTTGTCTGTATCAGCATCTTCTCGTCTGTATCAGTGTCTTCTCTGTATCAGTGTAATCTGCTGAACCAGTGTACTTCCTCTGTATCAGCAACTTGTGCTACTATCAGCAGTGAATCACCATGTGCTCTGTAGCTATCAGTGTACTACTTCCTCCACTTCAGTGACTTGTATCAGTAAATCACCATGYACTCCGTATCAGTACCTCATAAATTGATTGATTCTTGCTTTTTTGGAAGAACCAATGTTAAAMATGATGTCTTGTACTAGTAGTAGTACAAAATCACCCAGTCATTCCTCATTGATAACACTGATTGACTTGAAGAAATAGCAGTCCTTTGAATTTCTGCAAAAGAAGCTGCCCTTATGGTGACATACCCCACTTCTTCTGTGATGAAGATCATCACGTCCATGATGAATATGCTCTCCTCCTGCCAGCACCACTGGCTGGTCAGTAGACATAGTATTAGCTTGGCACTAACCTCTTCCTCCTCCTGCTTTTTCTGTGATATTTCCTGATCTCTACCTCTCTTGGCTGCAGTGAAWTTTTTGCAGCCTGATTCACTCTAACACCAACTTAATACTACTTTTTGCAAAGAATATGAATATTGCAAGGACACGTGCAAAGTTCTGCTTGGCCCAGACATTGACTCCAGCTGTTGCAGCAGCAGTACTAGTAGTAGTACTAGCAGTACTATCATTCAGTGCTGCTTGATGACACCAAGCAGCAGGTGCCATTGGAACTCTTTGAGATGATGTGATGATTGCTTAATGGAGCTTCTTCCTAGTAGCGGAACTTGGCCTTGCTTGCAATTGACTACTTTTAATATCATTGATTTCATTTGCTATAGAAAAAAGCAGCTCAGGGAACATAGTAGCATGATTCCACTGCAGCAACTAGTACTAGTAGGTTCTTTTTATGCCAACACCTCCTCTTCCTTAGCTGTTGGCACTACCACCAAGCTCATCTGGACCTACTAGTACTGCGAGCTCATTGAAGTGTACTTGGTTGGCCTCCCACAATCTCATTCTTACTACTAAATTCTTTACCAATGCTACTAGTACTAGTAGGGTTGAGTATTGAGTACTGTAATAGTGCTAGTACTAGACTACTACAAGTAGTAGTGGTAGTGGTAGGATGCCACAATTTAGGTGCCCAAGAGTTTTAATTTCTGAAAAGAGCACAGAAACCCAAATCTGGGTTGAGGCCTCCATATTTATTGAAAGGAAAAGTTATAAGAAGATACTATGTCTACTACTAGTAGCATTACTTTCAATGTCCCAAAGTGAGTGTCTATTGTTGTAAACTTTGTCAGGTGGTGTCTTTACTTTTCTTTTATTACAACAATGTTGGGAGTTGGGTTTAAGCAATTGCTGCATGGAATGTGTACAATTGTTAGTGCTAGTAGAGACTGGAAATGTCCCTGTAATTTTTGAAACTCAATATCATAGTATTAAACCTTTTGAACTACTGAAGGAGACACTGTTTTCTTGTGTGACAATAGTATCAAGAACCTCTTTTGAACAAGAATGAGTTGTATATAATACATTTCCAATAGCCTCCTCATAAGTGCTTCACTCATACTAGCAACAATAGCTATCTAGTTGCACTCTCTTTGGTTTGTTCTTGTCCCTTGGGGCAACCAGGAGTAGGAGTTTTGCTTCTTGCAATGCAATGGTTCGTCTGGTGTTCCTAGGGCCTCTTCTACTCCGTCATGGCTTTTAAAACCATTATGCGTAAGTGTTGAGTTCTGAGATGGTGGATGATCACAACAGGATGACAGTAGCATAACACTGACTCTAGTACCTTGGATCTTATCTTGGCTAACTTTGGTTTCATATCAACATAGGATGCATTACATCATCATCCTTGACAGAGATATTGCGTCGTAGCAAGCAGGATAAGAATGGTAGCGATTGAAATGGTGTTCTTTGGCTGATTATTCGACATTCTTGACCGGCGGCAAAGCTTTTTGTTCGTAGCGTTTTGATCGGGCAAAGCAATGATTTTGTAATTACGATATCATCTTGTATTTAGATGCATCGTAGTCCCGAAACCATTCTACAAAGGATGCGATTCCGTCTTCGACCGTCGTTGTTGGATTGTAACCCAGTAGGTACCTTGCTTTTGTAATGTCCGCATACGTCTTGGGAACATCTCCCTTTTGCATGCCCACAGAATCGATCTGAGCCTTGCGTCCCACGTGCTCTTCGACTATCCGTACGAAATCTGCAAGAACGACGGGGCTGCCGTTCCCCAAATTCACAAGCTCTGGCTGTCCTGTATTCACAAATAGGGCGTGAATAATCCCTTGTACTATGTCCCCGACGTAGGTAAAGTCACGCTGCGATTTTCCATGGTTGAAAACACGAATAGTTTGGTTACTTGAAATTCTATCAGTGAAAATCCAGGGCGCCATGTCGGGTCTGGTGTTTCGAATCGTGACACAACGACAGCAAACCAAGGATGGAAGTGTTCCAATCAATGCAAAAAATGTCTAGATTAGAAATCAAAGAAGCCAAAGGATGTTCCTCCTACTCGAGTTGACTACTTACCGACCAAAAGGCCCATAAACTGTGAAAAAACGCAAACCAATACTGGAAACGTTGTGCAGATTGTAGTAGGTGTGAGCGATGAGTTCGTCGCTTCGTTTTGTAGCAGCATACAAAGAAGCGGGATCTTCGACCCGGTCTGTCTCTCGAAAGGGGATTTCGACATTATTTCCATAAACACTAGACGACGACGCATAGACGAGCGGTTCTTCTTTGATGCCCAATTCTACCATTACTTCCAATATATTCACGGTACAGTCAACATTGTTCCTTGTATATTCCAGGGGGTGATCGAGACTATAACGAACGCCAGCCTGTGCCGCCAAGTGAATGAAACGAGTGATGTTGTGTTCTTTTATTGTGGATTTGAGTTTTGCAACGTCGCAAACATCACCGCGGACAAATGCTATGTCTCTTTTCTTCAATTCGTTGATTCGCACCTCCTTCAACGGTACCGAGTAATAAGGATTGACATTGTCGTATCCGATCGGTGTCATCCCCAATCTTTTCAATTCAATTGCTGTGTGCATTCCAATAAAACCCGCAGCACCGGTGACCATGACAGAAAATTTGGGGCCATTGGGTCCTTTCAGTTCTTCTATCCGTCCTTTTGTCATGCGATGCGACGACTTTTTGTATTTATCCTGCGGGTGAGAAACACCTTTAAAGTCTCTTGACCTGATACCGCGGCTACTGTCTAGAACTGTCGACCGTAATGTCGGGTTAAACGCCGTATAACAGTAAAAGTTCATAGTCGTACTTAAAAACAGAAGGCAGCCGCAGTAAACCGGCAGGGTGATCTTTTGAAAACAACGCCTTTTCCCGTTGGGTTTAGTATCTGTTGAACTTGCATTCATGTTTCTGATTCGTTCAGCTGGGACAAGGACCTGCATCCAGACACTGCCTTTCGGAGTTGTGGGAAATGACAACGTTGTGGCCTCACAACCTTCCTTTGGTAGTTCGCAWTTTATTCCATTCGGGGGTTTGTGTTCGCCTAGATTTTCTGGCGAGTAWGGTCTTGCAATTCCGTTGTTGACGGAGTACGAAATACTTGTACGTAATAGTACGTAATAGTAGTGGTTGTATCTTGGAAAATTCCGCGAACGGAATCTGTACGATTGTGCGGCATGCAGACGTACAACAGACGTACCCGCACTTCGAATCATTTTTTCCCTTCATTTTCTGTCGCGTCATTTTTTTTTATGCGAGCTACTCGAAGTAGAGTATCAGCAGGGTGTGATCTGGTACGAGTAACCAACGAAGTTCACATCAAGAATACGTCTCTCTCTCCACACGGAAAAAAATTGCAACAGTGCCAGTAGTAATTTGTACCAGTGGAGAATCTCAAATACTGTCTTTATTATTGTATCTTATTTGCTGGTCACATAAATACATGTTGAATATGCACTACACGTACTACATCCGTTTGGGCATGCATTCAATAGTAAAGGGAAAAACCAATATCGCTGTTGTAGGATGCGAGATTCATCTCTGACAACTGAAGAAATTTGTTTAAAACACAAGGGCAACGATTTGCAAGGTGCAAAAGAATTCAGGCTTCAATCCCTATTCAGCACGAATGTATTTGAAAGCAAACGATAGCGGCCTTTAAGACCGTCACTTTTGCGAGAACTTTGTACTGGCTTAGTTTTCCTTGATGTCAGGTTGCAATAACCTCCTTCTACGAAGGAATGTATTGACGCAGAGCAAAGTTAACATATAAATGTTGGTGCTGGCGTCTTCTTGAAGACTGCAAACACAGCTCTTCTAGTGGCCTTTAATTGGTTTTGTGCACCAGACTTCGACCGAATATTATTTTTTCATCTCTTCGTTAAGGATCAAATCAGTAGACGGGATTTCACGACATCTTGGTGTTCGTTGTGTTTCCGAGGATGATGCGTGTTAGTTTCTTCATCCTCTGCGTCTTCTTCTTTCGCAAGTATTTGCGACTACCCCACGATTTTCTTCGGATCACAGTAGATTCAGAAACGGTGTTCATTAGCATCGGAACGCCACTTGCAAGTTTTGCTCGAACGCAGTATGTCGTCCCTTCTATGTCATTGAGTTCATTCCGAGAGCGAGGCAACCCACCCGACGCCATACTCCACGAGGCTGGGGCCTTGAAAAGTGATATGGACGACATCCTTTGTAAAAGCTCGGATCGAGAGTAGATATTCGAGTCAATTAGATCCAATAAAGATCGCGGGGGCATTCTATTCCTAAACACCGGAAGTCCGAACCAAAAGGGTTAGAACATACGACCAATTGCGCAAAAAACTCCTCCATACTCAATCAACGGACATACTTCTGTCTCCTCACATCGCTACTTACATTATTGTAATGCAATCCTCCAGAACTTCTTGCAAGGATACATGCTGTTGTTCACTAAGTTGCTCGTCTTCTTCGACCTTTGTCTTGAGTCTTGACGGCATGCTCTTGATCGCCATGAAGATCGACGATGTATCCTCAGGATCAGCATTCAAAAGTTCTTGCTTCAGCAATGGATGTGTAATGATTGCCATCGCAAAATACATCGGCATGAGTGGATGTCCGGATAAAAAAGCATCCACCAATCGCCCCGCAGTCTCTGGATCGTGTATATCATGGGTGAACCACGTTATCATCCAGGGTAGACAGACTGTTGACAGTTCTACGTTAGCCATCTGTAGCGAGTAATGTACGGATGGGTCTACTCGCTCCACCAGAGGCGGTAGAAGGACGTTTAAGAACCAATTGATATTGGAAAAATTCTCCCGCATGGCATCCCTTAGGTGACTGTGACTGATTCTTTGTAGTATCTGTGAGGTGATATCCACTTGATAATCCATGTTATGAAGAACGACACCTGCAATATCATGCAACCCCTGATAGTAATGCAGCGAAGAATTGCCTTGTCTTATTGTGTTCTCTAACACTTGTGCCAATCGTTCGCTCGCGCACGGCGGAACAATTGGATTTGCGTCTGAGGTTCCAAGGTGGTATCGGAATATCACCGATCTACCTGCATCTCTACGAATCAAGTCTACATTGGCCTCTATCTCTGATTTCTTTTCTTCTTCAATTATCAAGCAACTAGTAGAAGTAGTAGCAGTAGTTGATGGACTCCATAATGCACTTTCATTTCGTGATCTTACAGATGACGGTGATTCGCTGTATGTCGAAGAAAGTTCTAATTCTGGAATATAATCTTCCTCTGTCAAACCTACGAGCTTCGGCCATGCCTTTTGCCGGTATCCAGCTAAATGCAATACATTAGATTTCCACATGATTGTATGTGCTGAGTGAGTGATCTAAATGCACAGTGAATTCAGAAAAAAGCGAATGCATTGCAGTTGACTCGCTCATGCCACGCCATGCGCAGAACAACGAAGCTCATAGAACTTACCTCGAAGCAATCCACCTTCGGAAAGAGCGAGCTCTCGTAACTCCCACAAGTCCACAGGACGTTTCGTTCCTAAACATCTATCAATACAATCGGTCTTGTTCCGGCATTCCAACTCTTCACGTGGATTTTTTTCGATGATTGCTGTGTCGTGCTGAATGCCAAAAGATATTAACACGGATTCGATATATGCGAAGATGGATAAATAAATTAGTTCCAAACATTCAGAAGCTGCGGATGTATCGACCATCATTTTACTTTCACCGTAGCTTTACTTTGAAGCTTTCGACTCCAGTCTACCCTCAGTTAGACAAAGCAATATCTTCTGCAACTAGCTGCTCTTGATTGCTGTTTCTGTGGTTAGACGAAAAGAATACTCGAGTATTGTATCCGATACCATGTGTCATACCATAATGCAGTACGAAGTACCATATGAGAAGCATGAAGTACAGAATACTCGCGATTACTTCGAAGTATTATGGTTTCCCTGTTGACATGGTTCCCACCACGACGAACAAGTTTTTTTGAATGTAACGCATACCACCTATCGTGTAACMAGAGGTCCGGCACGCGCGCCAGCTTTTTGAAAGCGCTGATTGGCATATTCAAATTTCTTTGAAGTTTCTTGAGTATGGCCCCTTCGAAAAATCAAATTTTCAGAAAAATGTGTGTTGGTCATAAGACTGACTCAATCACACATCAGTCATCCTTGCAATTCATTGCTGTATCGCACGTACTACGGAGGGGACGGGTAGTACGTACAGTACAGTATGTTACATACGGTACGGTCTTTTGTCTTCTAACAGGTTCGTGGTTCGTGGTTCGTGTTAGTAGTGCGTGAGTGGTGCGGAATGMAAAATCATCACAGAATTCCTCGGCGGAAATTAGTATTGAGAAACATGGATTCACCAACGACGCCCCCAATACAGAAACAGCGACCAGCCGCTTAGAGACACGAATACTATTACTTTGAAAAAGGGTTGTACAGCGTCAACGATGCATATTTCGATGATATTATTGATTCTTGGGGTGTGGGCCAGTGATGCGTACCAACCAAAGCTCCCTCCACAAAAAAAAGCGACGACCAGCTGTGTCTGTTCTGAACTCGACAACACGCGTCGATCCACAATTTTAGCCTTTCCTACATTCGCGATGATGGCGGGAACATTTGCAGCTCCATCCCCAGCTGTAGCTCTTGATGTGGATAGTTTTATGGCGAAGGAGCTTACTACCACAAAGGTAACACCAAAAATGTCGGATGACGAGGCGCTGTGCAAATTTGGCGCTCCATCCACCCAAACGGGAAACGCATGTCTGCGAGCAGGCCTTTCAACGAAACGACCCACGGGGGTCGACGCCTTTGGAAAAGTGGACCGTAAGTTTCACGAAACGCCAAAGTAAAATGAAATAGTGACTAGACGAGAATCATTTGAGAATGCTTTCTAATTTTTTGTTYCTGTGATGCATTTGATGCTTGTTGAAACCTATCGCTAGGTGGCGAATTTGTCCGATGCAAACCGAAATATGTGGACGATCCAGATAGGAAGGGAATGCTGATTAATGTTTGGGATTGCCAATAATCGGACCTCTTGAAATCAATAACTTCGACCAATTCTTACTAACGACTGGTTTCCTTACGAAATAAAGCATGCGATGGATGGCTTTGTCTCTGATGAAAAAAATCGTCGACGGTTTATCAGAAAGGATTGCTTCCTCATTTCTCTGTGCATGACAAATGCCTTCTTTAACCGCACTCTTTGCCTTGGCCATTGATATTCGTGTCGAATGTTCCACCAGTTCAACAATCAATATCTTTGTTTTGGGAACCAAGGGAGCGAATCAGCCCTGCGTAGATCTCAATTCCCTCTAAGAAATTTTCTTCAAGTATGTATTCATCGTGTTCGTGCAGCATGATTTCTGTATTCCGCATCGGGGAAAAGCCGAGGGCWCGGATTCCCAAAGCTCTCAGAAAACGTGAATCAGTGGCCGCCGGAAAGACCTGCGGCGAGACCTCGCATCCCATTTCATGGAGCGCATCACAGAAAGCTGCATACCATGGGTTCAAGCGGGGATCGGTGTCGGTCGTTGCATGAGACATTCCATTTTCGTAGTCGTCACTCACAGAACTCCAAGTGACCTCGCTACCTTCCTCGGGTGCCCTGCTACACTCCTGACACCAAACGTCCAACATATCTTTTATTTGTTTGGGTTCCATTTTGGGAGAAATCCGTATATCTAATGAGCACGAGGCCGATGATGGTACTACATTGTAGGCGTATGTGTTGCCCACAGCCACACCTGCTTGTAGCGTGGTTATATTCAAACTAGTGACATCACCCAGCGTTTTCTTTTTCGCTATGACTGCATGTGTGCAATTCTCGTCGTGTTTCCTATCCAGTCGGTCGAGCTGACCTTTCCGAAAGGCCAGTGCTTTTTGTGAGAGTTCCAGGAGCTGTTCTACTGCCGTGTTCTCGATGAATCTCGATCCGTGTCCGGTCCTCCCGGTGGCGGTGACCTTCACCCACCATGGCAAGCGTTCTCCGTAAAACACATCAAATATATTTGTTGTGGACGCAAGCCCCTCATCGAGTGCTAATGCAATCCCAGGCATCTGATTCTTGTACAAGTCACTGTCCAAAAAGGCAGCCATACCGGACCCACCAATMTCCTCGTCCGGAACGAACGTGAGATATATATCTCGTTCTGGTTTCCAGCCCGGATTTGTAGCGTGGATGGCACGAATGGCCTCGATGTATTGCATACACACAGACTTCATGTCTTGAGTCCCTCGACCGTAAATCTTTCCATCCGAACTGCGAATAGCTCCGAAGGGAGGCACCGTCCATGCCTCGACATCTGCTGGGACGACATCGTAGTGACTGTTCAAGAGTAATATGGGCAAGGTAGGATCCTTTCCAGGCCAGCGAGCCACTACCACGGGAGAATGATCGGGAGATTCCGGTAGAAAATGGATRTCTTGCAAAAGGCCTGCTCGCATCGTGCCGTTGGTTTCCCCATTGTGTTCAGGGATTGATTCTAGTTGGGTTCGCAGAAATTCAGCACATTCGACGTAGGCTCCGGTCGACGGGCCCGTGGCCGATACGGTCTCGAACCGCAAGAATTCTTGGAATCTTTTGATGGCAGCTTCTGGTTCGATCATGGTGATCTTGGTGATCGTGTTCAATACTTTTCTCTAGAGTGTTCTTTCGTGATTTAAACAGTGTTCCAAATCTCGAAAATTATTTTTTGATGACAGAGGAAGAAAATACCAGAAGTAAAGTACCCTCTACTTGTACGTACTGATATCCATCACCATCACCCGTCCATCATGTCAGGCACACATAATTCCAGAGCACGGCAGAACAATGTGCATGTATTTCCATATGTTTTAGGGGTGACCCCCAATCTCTRAAGTGAAATTGTAGAAAAATGCACGAACCACCTGTTGATCATAATTTATCGTCGATGTTAATAGTCGATGGCGCGCTCTGATAACACACAGTGCTACAGTGAAAATACGTACGAGTACGTACGGGTACCTGGTACTGTACCCTGCGATACGGCTCGCACGAAGACAAAAAACAACCAGGATATTAGACACGAACGATCACGGCATGATCTCATGTCTCCTTWACCAAACTGCACAGTAACCAACATTGGATACAGCAACACACCCTCAATCCGAAAAAGTGTTTCTTCGGTATATGATAAGTTCATTGTAAAGTGATAAAAACGAAAAACCAACGAAAATTACAATCTACTGTACTTCCAGCGAGAGWTACTTCTTCCATACTGAGGCACGGGATTATTGTTTGTTTGTGATCGCATTGGTCCATTTGATCTGATCTGAATTGTTTGGATCGAATTGAATTTATTCGAATTCAATTGATATAGAGACAGAACAGGCTGAGAAAGGCACAAGACTGGCAAACTGGCTCCGAAGAAAGGTGGTAGCTCCGACCAAAACCAAAAAATGAACCGTGAAGTGTCACACTACGTTGTGACTGCCCATCCTCCTAACGGAGTGCTGCACACCGTCAAGTGCAATTTCTTGGCTGAAACCTCGGAGGTAAGCAAACAAAATACGAGTCTTCCTTTGTTTCTTAATTTAATACATTGCAATGTACTGCACCATTTTGCACGGCGTCATTTATCTCATGAATTGGATCGATCTTTTCAAAATGTATCTAGGATGTTATCATTGGCAAGTCCCGTTCCTTGGAGGTTCGGCAGCTTCGAAAGTCGATCAAGTCGAATGTTGCAGAAGCCATGGTTGGTAGCAACAATAGCGCTTCTTCCTTCCCGATAATGCTGACCGTCCCAATAAATGGACGGATCACCTCCTTGACGGCGATACAATTGGATTCCAAACCGACGTCTTTATTATTTGTCACCACAGATCAACACCAGTATGCTGTAATCGGATACGATCCCCATCTGACACCCTATTTCGTTCGCACGTACGCCTCGGGATCCCTTAAGGACGAATGGAACCAGCTTGGTCAACAGTCTGAGTGCGGACCCCTGGTCACGATCGATCCTTATTCCAGATGCATCATCCTTCACGTTTATGATGGTCTTGTAACCGTTTTTCCCATTCGAAACACTACGGTCACAGCAGCAGGGGGAGGAAGGGCTGGGCGGGACGAAAAGTTTCTGGGACCAGTTTTTCATGCGCGTCTTGAGGAACGCACCGTCTTGTCCATGGCGGTGTTGCACCATGCGGATCCGATCGAAACCCCACCCCATCTGTGCATCTTGCATCAAGATTCGAGGGGCAATCAGCACATCACGACCCACGTTGTCGACTTGCACAATTCACAGGTTTTAAACCAGGCATCCCACTCGCTAATGGCTCAGCAGCAGGAGCAACGCCAGTCATCATCTTCAGCGTTACAGCCATCCAAATCTCCACGCAACAACAAGAGAATGGGCATCCCTGCCAACGCATGCGAATGGCTGAAAAAATCACGGCTCGACGGTGGATCCTCGCTTTTGATCCCAGTCCCACCGCGACAGGCCATAGCTGCAACGGCAGCCAGTGCCGCGGCTTTGGGTGCCGGAAACAACCGGAACAAGACCAATGCGGCATCTGGCGGGGTAGTGGTTCTAGGACAGCGGCAGATTACGTATTGCGCGAGAAACCACTATAAAGTTTTGCCAATCCCACCTGCCCTGATTCTCAGCTGGGACACACTGCCTCCTGACGCTAGTGGAATGCCTCGATTCCTGTTGGGGGACGAATACGGCAATATGCATATGTTAACTCTCATAACCGCTGGGGCCGCAGCTGCTGCGAAGGGTATTATTAACACTGGAAGCAATGAGAACAGTAATAAGATCGTAGCTTTGCAGCTGGACACACTTGGATCGTGCACGCTGACAAATTGCTTGCAGTACTTGGACCATGGTCTAGTCTTTTGCGGAAGCACATTAGGGGACTCACAATTGATTCAAATTCACGATACGCCTATCCCAGTTGAGGATGAAGAAAGTATGATTACCGATGCCGATGACACCAGGCCTTCGGAGCTGGGAAACACTACATTTTTGAGTGCAGTTGAAGATTATACGCACTTGGGTCCTATTGTCGACTTTGACCTAGTCCCCATGGCCGGAAGTGGAGGAGGTTCTTCGGGTAATTTTAATAACTCAACCTCAATGCACGGGCAAGTGGGTCAGTCCCAGGTCGTCACGGCTTCAGGGTCATGCAAGTCAGGTTCGCTGCGAGTGATTCGCAATGGCATCGGCATGAAGGAATACGCGAATGTGGAATTGTCAGGTATTCAAAGCATGTGGAATTTGCGAGGGTCTTTTGGAGATGATCAAGACACGTACTTGGTTCAATCGTTTGTGGGGGAGACGCGCGTTTTAGGGGTTGTTTCGAACGATGAAGATCCCGAATTCGACGACGATGGCATGATGGATACTACTGACGACGAAAAGTTGGGCGATGCTAACGGGATAGAGAAAATGCAAGACGACGACGAATACGACGACGAAGTAGGTGGCACACTAGCAGAAGTTGTCTTACCGGGATTGGATTCCAATGCATCGACTCTTCATGTCAGCAACATTGTTGGAAACTTCTTTTTGCAGGTCACCGATACTCAGATTCGATTGGTGTCATCAGATGGCGAAGTTTTGGATACTTTTCAGCCTGAATTAAATATTACCGTAGCTGCAGGAAACGAATCAGGCCAAACTTTGATTGCTCTTGCGGGCGGAAAAGTTTTATATTTCGAGGTGAAAGAAAGCAAATTAATCCTACGTTCTTCGAAGCAAATGGACAGGGAAGTTAGCTGCTTAAATATCAATCCTTTTTTGCCAAAAGACACAACCCCGGGATCCATGGATATTTCGGTTGGCCACGAGAAGAAAACGAGTTCAATTTGTAGTCGACATGCTCATCCCGCGACAATATGTGCGGTCGGCCTTTGGGACGATTTCACTGTTCGTCTTCTGGCGCTCGGAGACGATGCTTTGATCGAAGTTTTACAGATTCATTTGAGTAATGAGGACGAGATAGGAGATATGACCGAGGGTAACGTACAGGGCAAACGACGCAATCGYAACAATATGATGGCCAGATCACTATGTTTGATAACTTTGGACTTTTCTTCAAGTGGATCAACTTCTCCGTCGTCGCATACCGGTAGTGCATCATCATCGAATATTGGCTCCGCTCAAGGGGTAAATATGCTTCTAGTAGGATTGGGGGATGGTACTTTGGTTTCGTTTGCAGTCATTGAGGACGGTCGTGTTCGAGTTCAATCAAAGAAAGAAGTGAGCTTAGGCACCCAACGTATCAATCTCATCCCCCTTCAAAATGAGCGAGGTGGAAACTGTGTTCTTGCTACTGGTGACAGGCCGACAGTGATTTATCTTGCAGGTATGGGTGGGGTCTCCGAAAGAGCAAACTATAACCCAAAATTGTGCTATTCTAATGTAAATCTTAGCCCCGTCGACGAAGGAGAGTCCAGTGACATGAATAGACCTCATGCTCATGAATCAATTGCTGTCAACGTCGCAGCTCCATTCTCGAGCCCTTTACTTTTTGATGACACCGGCAACGAACATTACAGCCTGAGCATAGCTGACGATTCCAATCTCCGAATGGGCGTCATCGATGATATCCAAAAGCTTCACGTCACAACCTATCGATTAGGAATGTCACCTCGCCGAATTGTGCGTTGCCCCGAAGGAAGAATGTTTGCGGTTGGTTGCATCGAATCTGGAATTAAGGAATTAGGCATTGAAGGTGGACAAATGACAATGGGGAACTGTATAAGATTTTTGGATGATTCAACATTTGACGATATCCATCGGATCGATCTGGAACCAACGGAAATGGTTCTATCCATGGTTTCGGCTTCCCTTCACATTCATCAGCCCTCTCTCGGAAATATGTCACCATTAGGAAGTGCTGGAAAAACAGAATCTWGCGATGGATCGTCKTTTCAACTAAAATCATATTTGGTAGTAGGCACTGCATACGTGCTTCATGACGAAGACGAGCCAACGAAGGGGCGTATTTTGATTTATTCTTGCAACGCCGAAGACATCCCAGTAGAAGACTCGACAAATCGATCAGTAAGACTGATCTCTGAGGCTCAGGTTCGAGGAGGTGTTTACTCAATTAGTCAATTTTATGATGGAACATTTTTAGCTGCGGTCAACTCAAAGACACAGATCTATAAAATGGTCAGCGACGGAATTGGTGTAGTCAAACTGAACCCAGTGGGAGTTGGTCACCACGGACAAATTCTTAGTTTGTTTGTKTCCAGCCGGGCTCCGAAGGGATCGGCCAATTCTCCGCTAGCTTCAGACGAGGTTTCAATAGAAAAGGGCAGCAATTATCAAAAAGAAAAGTTGGCGATTGTTGGGGATTTGATGCGCTCAATCTCTCTCGTCCAGTACTATCCCCAGTATGAAACACTGGAGGAGGTAGCCCGAGATTTTAATGCTAACTGGACATCTGCTGTTACAATGTTGACTGACGATGTCTACCTTGGAAGTGAAAATTGGAATAATTTGTTTGTTTTGCGCCGGAATACAAAGGCACAAAGCGAGGAAGCGCGCTGCCGGTTAGATACAATTGGTGAATTCCATCTTGGAGAAATGTGCAACAAGTTTATGAGAGGTAGTCTTGTGATGCCTAACAGCTCTACCGACATGTCCAAGGCTAATAGTGGTCGGAGTCGTCGTCGGGCTTTAGCATCGCCGAAGAAGACTTTGAAAGATAATCATAAAGGTTCTTCTTCTGGGATACGCCCAAAGCGGCCTGCAGTGGCGATTGGYAGCCAAACCCTTTTTGGCACCGTTGATGGAACTCTTGGCGTGATTCTTGGATTGGATAATGCGACTGCATCGTTCTTTTCATGTTTGGAAAAATCAATGGAACGCGTCATCATGCCAATAGGAAACTTTAGTCACCATCAATTTCGAGCTTTCAAAGCGGAACAGCGACAGCATCCTCGCCATGGTTTTGTCGACGGCGACCTCGTGGAATCGTTCCTTGATTTTGATTTGAGCACAATGGAAAAGGTTGTGCAGCAAATGAACAAGGATGGCTCCTGGACAAGTTCAAACTCGAGAACACACATTTCGGGAAACAGTGGCGATGATGGAATTGATGATGACGATAATGAAAATCCACAACTTTGCGTCGACGATGTCTTGGCTGTCATAGAAGAAATGGCGATGCTTCATTAAATATTGTATCTGACGTCATCAGGATTCTGATATTATGTAGCAACGATAACATCACCCTTTATACCACTGGATCGAGAATTACTTTAACCATTGGGTTCTGCTGAAGTTTTCCGCAGTCTGTTGTGTATCTTCTCGTCATTTCTGACTGAAAAGATCGAATTTTTCCTAATCACTAGTTCAAATTATTCCCTACCTTCAACCTCGAACGATTTTAGTATTCTACAAGCAAAGTACGTAGTCCACAGTCACCGGTTTAGAAAAATCAAACSTAAGTAATTATTCACGGTGGATACCAAAAAAGTCTCCATAAAAAGTCAATTAAGCCAATTTGGGCATGAAGGATCCAAGAACATTTTCATACAAATCGGCTTTCTTCGACCAACGCTTCTCCTATTTTTCGCATACATGGAAATAAAATTTTGGTGGACGAACAGTTCGGTAAAAAAATCAGATGGAAATGTTAGAGGGGAAAAGCCAGTCTGACCAACGGAAGCCAAATTCCAAGCCTTATAAGATCACGTACCGTTGAGTTGGCATCGATACTCCAAAGTTTTCCCTTGCATACGCAGAGTTGTAGCAGCTGATGAGTTCCATCACTAATGGCGAATTCAAACTTGTAGAATAAAACACCATCCGTCTGTCTTTCGGTTGCCGAGACGAGCTTCGCATTGCGCTTTGCGGCAAGCGAATCTCCTACAGTCTGGACTTCTCCAAGAGCATTGATGGATGTTGTGGTAGACTTGACGGGAGTAGAGGAAATTTTGATGTTTTCCGTAGGACTGACCAAATCTTGCCACTTGAGATCGTAGGCACCGACCTCTCCGTCGAATTTATTCCACCCAGAAGGGGCCATCATTTTAATGCTGCGTGGGCCATCTTGGAAAGGTTCTAGCAAACCACCCATTCGAGTTACGACTCGGGGAGTTTCCTCATCAATTACTGCATTGGCAGGAAGCAGCGGAAGAACACCTGGGAGCACTATTGTTGCTACTCCCCCAACCAACGCCTCAAAACTCTGTCGACGAGACACTTCTGGAGAGAAAGCGTGAGCTCCGGATAGCACTGCTAATACTGCTACAATTGAAGATCTTTTTRTCATCATGGTTGTCGTGATTTTTGTCTTTGATTCTATTGTATTGTGATATGCACTTGATGCAACTAGAAATTTCACTATGATTCGAAATTAACGTTGTCTTCCAGAAGCGGTACGTCTCTATTCTCACAGACAACGATTACCTGTTACGAACCGTTGTCAGCGTGAAGTGAGTCGGTTTAGATTGCTCCATTGCTTTTGGGATCTAAACGTCAGTAGGAAAGCCAATCATTGATGATATTGGCAAGAGCAAGGCATTTTGATGAGGTGTCGTGCACTGCTGTTGTATTATTAGTCGAATTAATCGAATTCTGCCACGAGTCAATTGAGTCGACCGCGAGGCTTAATTAGCTCCCTTATTATGAATGTGTTGCGAACGAAAGTACATTTTTATTTTTCAGGAACCATGTCGATTTCAATTTTTTAGAAAAAAATTAGATTCCCAGGCCCCCCTCCTGGTACTGAAAATTGTGATCAGTTTTGATCACAAGAAAATGTGATCAGAAAAAACAAATTTGTGATCAGTTTTTTGCGATCAATCTTGATCAAGAAATTCAGATCACATTTTTTGGTGATCAAAACCGATCACATAATGGAAAAAAGGGGACTGGAGAATTTAATTTTTTCCAAAAACATCAAAATCGACATGGTTCCAGTCATTTTAAATGGTTCATTCCCGCATACATATCTGCATATGTATGCAGGAATGTTTTCAGTGGTACCTTAGACGCGGCTKGCTCTYTGAAATAACATATTTTCCGCCCATTTTGGGAATTTGGAACCCCTTAAATTGGCACACAATTTTTACWAGATTCCAGTTCATGGCGCCAATAAGAGTCAATTCCAATTTTCATGAAACCAGCTCCAAAACTACAATCAGAACAGAATCATGCAAAACACCAGCAACAAAAACAGTCTTGCAATAGATACATACGGATGTATAGGAATGTACTTCGTATATGAACRCAAATGTACAAATACAAGCTAAGTGTACCATTTGTATCTAGTAGGTACCACCATAGGGTACCACTCCTATCTATGTATCATATRATCCACCATACTGAGGAATCTAAGAAGTCTAAGATATGAGCTAGTACTATGATGTTGTGGATCCAGGAGAACATTGGATCCAAAAGAACAATGATGTGAGCCAGTTTCCAATAGATATACTACTACAGTGCTGGACAAGAATACTCTGCAGGTCAGACCATGTCTCTTGACTAAGACAGGCAAACCAAAGGGCAATAAGAGGGAGATCACTGCAACAATTGGACTGGCATTAGTCTTGACTTGGTTCAGAACTTGTGGATCAGCAGCAAGGGCATTATCTATGGTCTTTGGTCTCACTTGAACACCTCTCAAGTATAAATGGTTGAAGAAGTATTCCTGGCAAGTCCTTCTTCATGCACTGCAAAAAGCACCCAAATGCTATTAATAGGCTTCCCTGTGATGAAGAAGTGGAGGCCTGTGTGGCAGTGAAAGAGGGTCTGGGGTGGGGCTGATGGCCTCAAYGTTAAGGTTCAGCACTCAAACAACTGGACTATTCAAAGCATGTACTTTGACTCCTGGGTTGCTGATACTTACATTAATAGTGTCCTTGTGTTTTCCCCAGATGGAAGAATCCAGATGGCCACATGTAATTGCCCTGGGACTTGGTACAACAGTACAATGGCAGAGTATGGCATATATGGCAAGACAGAATCCACATATAACATGACTGGGGGAGACTTGTTGTTGATCCTGCATTTAAGGTCAAAGGAGATGATGATCTCATCAGGAGCCAACAGAATGACCCTACCACACCAGCTGGTGAAAATACCACCATGAGGGAGAACACAAGAGAGAATGCCCGAGATGTAGTAATTRACAGGGAAGTGGTAGCTGTCTGGCAGTTGTCTGAATGGGGCATGAGAATGACCCAGGGGCAATTCCCAAGGATGAAGGAGAGGCTTACACTGGAAGATCTGGGCAATAGGAAGGTCATTCTTCGCCTCTTGTTGCTGTTGTTGTATAATTATCAATGCAGCACTGTGGATATCAATCAGATCCTCAACACATTCATGAGTGAAACCAGTGGATTTGAATCCTTTCTTGAAGGGTTGAGGGAATCCTACTATGCCAAGAGACAGATGGTTTACTTTTCATATTCAACGTCCCCTTCTGGGGATGCTAATGATGCAATCCAATTCTACCTTTGATTTTGATGGCGTTGATTGTCAATTGTTGATTGACAATTGCTGGGGAGGGGGGGGGGGTCCATTCCCATGGTCAAGATGATTGTTGTTTAGTTTGGTTTAGTTTAGTTTGGTTTAGTTCTTTGTTAATCAATTATAAATAGTATTTGTGATTACAGTTATTATGAAGGATGAGCTAAACAAGATCTTCAGGGATCAACCCACACGTCGCGTTATGAAGGAGGAATCCATGTGATACAATGTGTTATTTTTGTTATACCAGTTTTCTTGCAAACCTTCCCACAAACACCAGGATTGTTAACAGGAGGGGAACTCATTGCACATGGTAATGCAAACATACATCAATGGATAGTATAGTCATATGGATAGACACACTCCATGTGCAACGCGTTCCCCTCTGTTACCAGTGGTGCTGGATTTTTGTGGGAAGGTACTCAAGAAAACTACGAAATAACATGGTGTATCGTGTGGAAAGCTTCTGGAATAACACAGTGTATTGCCTGGAAACATTGTCTGGAAACATATAGAATCAGTATACTGCAGTATTAGTAGTAGTATCCAGTACTCATAAATCAAAAAGTGGGGAGAAGCAAACAGTAATTAGCAATGAGGAGGGGGGGAATCAGCAATCAGCAAAGAACTAGTTTAGTAATATTGATCATAAATAGTAAATAACCATGGGATTGATATTCCAAATTGTCATCTGAGGAAGAGGAGGAAGACAAGAAGGGCAAGGAGTTGTTGTTCTTTTGTCTAATCTTCTTCTTCCTCTTCCTCTTGTGAAATTGAAGATAAGCACTGGCAATGTCAGCAATCATTTCCTTGATTTCTGTCATGCTTTGCTGATTCAGTTACATGGACTGCTGGGCTTGTYGCTGTTGCATTGACATCTAGAACATGGCTTGGAACTAAGTTTTGCTACTGATGCTGCTTCTTGAGGATCTTGAGTAGGRTCTCTTTTCTGGAGAGTGAGGCTGCGGGGTGCTTTGAGGAACAGCATTRATTGTGGATTCAGTCACTTGGGTTGCTTGAGTCAATAACCTGGCTGAGCTGAGTTGGCACTATCTGAGTTGGGGTTTCTGTTGAGGAGTGACCACCATTTTGTCTTGAGTGAGCTGAGTTCAGTAAGTTGAGAAGGCTGATGAAGTGGAGGAGGACTGTTGGTGTTGTTCTCCCAACTGTTCTCCAAAGTGGTGTCATCCTCACTAATTTCATGTCCTTCCACCAAATCAAATTCATCCTCTCCATCTCCACATGCAGCCTTGACACCAGTCAAGTGCTTCATCTCCTTTGCAAGCTTGATGGCAGGAGTTTTGTTTGGGTTCCTGGTAGGAATTCCTTTCCTGTAGAGAAAGGACCACTTCCTATAGATGGTTTGCTGGTCTCTTCCAGTACTGCAGTTTTGTTCATGGCGATGAACAACTTGGTCCCATTGGTATGATCCAATAGGAAGGATGTCCGTCAATATTGTAAGCATGCACATGGTCTCCTTCATGGTGTGGTTAGTGGAGCCATGGGTCCTTCCTCCTCTTTGTTGTACAATCCAGCCTGCAGCTGCTGGAGCTGGAGCAGCTGGTGGTGGTGGACAAGCTGGAGCTGGAGCCATGGTGATTTCTTTTTTTGAGCCATTGGATGAGGCATGCTTATCACATAGTAGTAAGGGATTTGGAGGTCACCCCCCAATCTTCCCTGTCAAGAAGATGTCGCCAGCGCTATTCCCCATATTACTAGTAGCAAGCTCCTGCATCCTCCACAACAGAAGAATCTGGATGCTTGTGTTATTATTAACTAGTAGAGGGTTAGTGCACATGCATGYCAGCAGCCCTCCTCCTCTCCCTCCCATCATGTTCAGTTCTCTTCTTTGGTGATGCATTCTTTGGTTTTCCTTGTCTTTTGTTGAGTGTGTTCTGCATCGTGTTCTTGTTGAGGGGAAGCAAAGATATGTTTTTTCTTTCAAGAAGGAAGATCAAAATTTTCAGTTGAGTTTGGCGCCAAGTGACTGCTGTCTTTAGCAGCGCGCGCTTGCTGACCAGACTGAATATGTTCAGTCAAGGATTCCAATGTTTATGTCAAATACACAGATCCTGGTTGTTGTGGAGCCATGACAACCAGTATCTGTGTATTTGCAATTCTTAAAACAAGCTGACCGGTCAAAGATTACATATTTCTGGGTTTGTGGGAATGAGCCAATAAAATTAAACAACATTAAAMGCAAATGAATGAAAGCAATCTGGCTGTTAGTTTTTCTTTTTAAATATTAATCAAGTTGGGCATTCTTTTTGTTTATGTTGTTTTTGGAAAGAAACAAGACAAGAGGTTGCTTCTTGTAAATAGACCACTGGAACAAGCCCTCCTCTCCCCTCTAGTAAGACCAGCACCAGGTTGTAACAACCACCACCAGCAACAACACACTTTCCACCAAACAAGATCCTCCMTGCTGCTGTAGTAAGAAGCACCAACTTGTGACTAGCACGATTGTCAATTTGGAACTGGTGAGAGGATAATTGTATTCCAATATTACTTATTGTTTGAGTTTGAAGGGTAATTTTTTGCTCTTATTCTTGAGAACATCAAAGTTTAACATTTGCTGTACTACTAGTAGTAGTGTTCTGAAAAGTTAAAGTTCTTCTCACTTTCTTGTAGTCACCTTCTACAGGGACCACCTCTATCATATAGAGTTGGCCAGCTAATGTACGGTCCCAGCCAAGATTACAGGCTATCTAATTACCGTGTAATGACTTGTGGGATTAAAAAATTGGCTTGTACTGCAGTTTACAGTGTGCACGTGCGAGCAAAACTATTTGGAAAACTATTTGGTCGCACGAATGTGGGATTCAAAAATTCAGCACGTGCCGGCTGTAAACTCCAGTACAAGCCAATTTTGAATCCCATGAGTCATAACACAGTAATTAGATGGCCGCTAATCCACGCTTTTTTATAATTTAACCATATAACTGTTTTAGTCTTGAACTGACAGTTTGGGCAATAACTTTTTCTCCAAGCACATGGTTAAAAAGAGAATTCAAAGAGCTTTTGAATGCAGTGGGGGAGTRTGGCATCCAATGAATATTCATCAATATACGCAAATGTATATCTACTAGTATTTMTAATGTACGGTTTAAACCGTCTTTTTTTGCTTGGCCCACACTGTACGATAATTCATCAACCTTCTCAGCATCTACATGTTGAACAAAATATTTGTCAATTTTAATAATTCTACAATCCTGGTACCCATTTTTAGTTTTACAAATACAAATTGGTTGCTCCATTTTTTGTTGTTGCAATTCATCATGACAGGAGATCTTCCAACATCATACAATTTAAGCACTGGATRCATCCTTTTGGAAGATTTGTTCTCACCTGCAACAATACCATCATCTGATAAGGTTTAGTGAGCATCAGTTCTTCTGAAAATCTGGCATGTCTCTGCATTTGTTGAAGCTTTGATTGCAATGATGTGATATGATAAAATGCCATTTAGATTTTTCTGTGTTTCCCTTTCTTTTCAGAAATATAGAAAATATGCCCCCATTGATTGTTGTACACTTGTCTCTACTCCTCACAGAGTGCTACCCACTGGAGCAACTAGATGATRCATCCTCCTTCTCCACAAGAAGTGATTGTTCTAATTTTCCTAGGGTCTTTTCMTCTACTAGTTTTCAAGATTGAACATAGCAATGTCAAATTTTCCCTTTAATGGACACTTGTCTGTATTGGTGTGTGTTGCACAAGTAATACCTCTCAGAGTTTGTCCCAACAGTTTACAACTCTTCAATTTATGATGTGAGCATGCTATTCTTTCTAAAAGATTGTTTTCGACAAGMAGGGGCAGTCTCCTCCCACTGGTTTGAGCTGATTCAAGTCACCTCCAAAGACAATAGGCAGATTTTCATTCAAGTTATATGATGGCTTGTCAGATACTCATTCCAATATTTCCAAGTGTTTGATGCTACCAAATGATATCTCATCTACAATACTAATAAGACATGTCTCATTTTCCCTTGCATCATCATGTGTAACATTGAATTTGTCACAAATCATAGTAAGCCTTTTTGTTGTCCTTTACCTATTGATACTAACTCCTGATGTTTCAGTCATGTGTTTGACACTAAGAGTTCTGTTGGAAAAGTTATTTGCAAAGTATTTTACAGTTCTGCTGAAGAGAATGAATTGCTATTGATTTTCTAGTGCAACCAGTGCATGCTGATCACTAGAAAAACATACCACATCAGTTGCAGTGTTYGACTTTGTCTAGGATAGATTGACTCCATACTAGTGCCTGTGATGACTGTGCCTTTGCCTTTTCCAGGAGAAGTTTCTTCCATAGTGATGTATTTTACAGTCACTACACAGCCATTTTTTGGTCTTCTGCTATTGTGACCTCTTCTTCCTGTGGTCATTTTATACTCAGGTGAATTAGCTTATTTATGTAGCTAGCCACCAGCAGGGCTCAAATTATTTTGGTTCTAGGAAGAAAACATAATGAAGAACATTGTTAGAAGTTCATTCATATAATGTCAGTATTAGTAAACCATAGTTCTAATGCCAAAAAATGATTTCATGATGGAATTACTGGACTATCTATCAAAGGCATCCCTTCAAAAAAGATTATTTCTTTTCTGTTGTTTGTCAATTTTTTCCAATATCAGTACAGCAATTTGGAAAGGCACATATTCGTACACCAGAAGCAACTCCTTTTGTGAAAATTTGTTTGATACTGAACAAAATGATATTGTAAGAATCCTTGGGGAAAACTGTGTCCTTATTGACAATACTGTTTTTGATGAGGAAGCTGTTACAATGTTTTTGAAGTTGACTAGTTTTACTGGTYACGCAGCAAAATGAAAAGAAGAAATTACAGTTATCACAACGTGGAATTTTGAATTTACCTCCATACACGGAATATGATGTTTTGTTGTATTGTACAACTCCCTCGTATTAACGGTTGCGCCTCCATTACCACTCCTCGGAGGGAGATCCCGCCCCTTGGAGCAACTAGGAGCATATATCTCCCTAGATCTATAGCTCTGGCCAGCATAGAGCCTCTCTTAGTTGACAAGCTTAAAGAAATATATTAAGATTTTTTTCCAACCCTCTCTTTTTTTGACCCCTGGGATGGAGTTCAGGATGAATGTTTCTTTTCGACCAGAAGAAAGATATATTTCATCTGTTCTGAGATGATGCATTATTGCCAGAGGGCACTAACTAAAAGCATCATTTACTCACTAATGAAGCCAAGCCTTTTCCCAACGCCGTTGATAAACATAAACCCCTCGGATTTTCCAATAAGCTTCACTTAGAGCTTCTGGTCTGCTCTTGATATATTCGTTGCATGTTTTGAAAGTTTTGGATTCATTTTTGCAGTCCATAAAGAAACGGTTACCAGCTACGCTACCACATAATGCTGTGTTGAGCACAAGGCGCATATTCCTAAACTTTGTTCCCCCACAACTGGTTGAATCTCCTACCGTCACGCAAAGAAAAAAGAAAAAAGGGAAGTGCGTTTGTCAGGAACCGAGAGAACGCACCTCAATTCATCAAAGATCATTGATTGATAAAACAGTTGAAGCACCCTTACCGATCGGAAAATAGCCATAGGGTAAAGACCATTCTTCTGGATTCGGCATGACACGATCCTCCTCAGCTTTCTCGCTAGCCGTTCGGATAGCATCAACAAGATTTTCTGGCACCTTTGTATGAGGCGTAAATACCCATGTTCGAATGTGTCGATAGATGGGATCCCACTCCAATGCAAAGATTCCTCCACCTTTCTCGTTGAGTGGTGCACCCAGAGAACCGCCTTTTGCATCAATCGCGACACATCCTTGGTTCAACCATTGGTGACGATCGTACACATAACAATTCCTTGCTTCTCGATATGTCATATCAGGGATTCCTGTCTTTCTATCTGGAATTCCAATCGACGTGTCCCAAATTCCAGTCATCAAACCCAACGGGACATCATACATGCTGCATCCTTTCGTTGTGTGGAGAGCAGTTTTCGCTTCCGCTTGAAAGTTCACGCCTTCAACGATATCAATTTCTCCATTCACGGGCCAATTCGCTTCATCAGTCAGCCAAAACGCGGGCCATGTTCCACATCCTGCTGGCATGTGACGAACATCAATAATGAATAATCCTCTATTGAATCGTTTCTTACCCTCCAATCGAACGGATTCTCTAGGCCCATCTACTGTCGGTGACGTCTTCAGATACAAAAAGGGTTTCTTCTGATTCTCGTTTGATGTTTGTTCCTCACTTTCACCCTTTATTTTTTGACTCCGAAATAAAGACTCTAACACGTCAACCTCATTTGTAATGTTCGCGATTGAAAGATCCCCTGCTCTCTCTTCGTTAACATAAGAGATATATCCATTCGATCCCACTGAATCTGCTCCTTCGTAAAATGTGTAATACCCGAAAAAGTCATTCCCCTCCTAAAAAACAGTATTAACAGTGGTAGCAACAACAAATACCCGTTAACAATAGTTAAAAAAGGAATTTTGAAGCCAATCAGGAATGTTTAAAAAAAACACGCTTCAAGTTCTTACACTTAGATCGGACCATCACTCACCTGTCGCTCGATCAATTCGTATGGACCCACCGGTTGATTTGGAGGGACAACAAATCCCGCACCTATCAAAAGAGCCGCAAGAACCAAACCAAATGCCAAAATGCACAAACCGGTCATGGAAAAAAATCTAGCTCCAAAGTTTTTCGACGACACCCAATTGATAGATGAATTAGTTTCGTCGTCGGAGACTTGTTTTACCTTGAAGGATCGCTCATTTTCTGACAAAGTTAGTAATGGTGTATCCATATCAACATGCAAGTGTTCATGCAAAATTTTGTCTTCCAACTTGTCGTCGTCATCGTCGATACCAAGGAGTCTCTCAGAAAGCCGATCCGCTGCTATCGATTGACGACGAATGATATTCGGTCCTTTTCCGCTGAGAGTTTTAAAGTGATCAGATCCATCATTTTCACTGCCGTCATCATCAAAGTCCTCTTCTTCCTCTCTGATATTTTTGGACACGAGGGGAGTGTCTTCTTTGGGGATTTCAGAAACACCGAAGTTCTTCATTCCTTACGATTTATTGCAACTCTATTTTGATCCGCTCGACCACAAAACAATTTGTCCAACCGAGGATCTCTGCGGTTTGTCTAACAGAGGATCTCTGCGTATGCAATATTTCCTACAAAAGGGGATATCCTTCTCTCGATTCTCAACGTGATATTGCAATCAATAACAAACTTCTCCTAATCCAATACCGCAGTTTCGGAGACCTAGAGAGGTGCACAGAATTTACCAATAGTGAACCAATCTGAACCCTCAACTGATGATCACTTCGCCTCCTCTTTCAAAAGCTGTTCAATCCTCCTTCACTACGGACCGTGCATTCGTACCGCACCGCACGAGACAGAAATCTGTCAGAGTTCGATGTCAGAAAGTCAGAGGACAGAGGATATTTTTTTCCACTACCGGTAACTAGCAGGTGAGTATGGTACGTAGTCGTGCCAGTACTAAATCCATTCCACAGTTTATATTTTTCGCGCGCTAGCCAGGGTTTTTTGCATTCTTTCGTTCCCTAACCTAGTGCTCTTACTGGTACCGCCGTAGTTCAGTCCCAGGAGAAGAAAAGATTCGGCATGATAATTTCTACTTCACTTTCCCGTACGATGAGTATCGCTTGAGAGCTAAAGCTCTCAAGCGCACAGTACAAAACGCTTCCCACACAAATAACACAGACCTCAACAGAGTACATTTTCTGGTAAGATTTGGGTACACGCGCTGCGCGAGCTCCTCCACAGTTATATCACATACTAGCTCTTACCGTAAGAATCGAATGGTGTCTCACAAAAAATCTAGGTTGTTGACCAACCATCCGATTCAGTGCAAATCGGCACCAGCACAACTAGGAATTGATTACGATGAATATGGTTGCAGCAAAGGTACAAAACTTGGCAAAGAATTTCACTAAACGCTGTAGAGTGATCGTATGTGGTGTTGGAGGCAGAATGGGAGCGATTCGAACAGGATTGGTTTATGCCAACCCTCGATTTGAATTGTGTGGAGTTTGTGATGTAAACATGGAAGCTGCCGACCGGATAGCTTCCAAATATTCGGTAAGTATCTCTCATATCGCTGGAAAGGACCACATCATACGACCGCAAATACAAAGCGCATGACTATGCTAGTGCATTAGCGTAGCAGAAACAATAATCCATACAGCTACAATAATATCATGCATTTCACGTTTTGTTATAGACACGAGCATTCGGGGATTTTGAGGGTTTGTTGGATGAATTTGGTAGTAAAGATTCTACGGCGACATTAGATGGACTTGTAATTTCTACACCAACCCCTACTCACGGAGATTTAATCAAAAATGCAGCAGAGAATGGATTAGGGATGTTTGTCGAGAAACCCATCGCAGAAATTCCACAGGAGATCGAAGAATTGTACCAAGTTTGCGAGCAACACAATGTGCCACTCTGCTGCGGCTTTCAACGGCGGTTTGACGAGAGCTATGCTCGGGCAGCTAAATCTGTGCAGCAGGGGTTGATTGGAAAAGTGTCGAACGCACATATCTTCTTTGGCGACTCTCCCGGTCCTTCGTTCGAGTTTTTGCTCGAGGGAGGAAATATATTCTATGACCTATCTTGCCACGACGTGGATTTCATTCGTTGGGCATTAAACGATGAAATTGAAAGTGTCTACGCTTGTGGAAGTTCGTCTCGGGAAGAGTTGGCCAAGTGCAATATTCAAGACAACGCCACAATGATGATGACAACAACCCGGGGGTGTGTCGTGACCTTGACGATGAGTCGTCGAGCTGCGTATGGCTACGATCAGCGCTGCGAGATGTTTGGAGATTTCGGGAAAGTTAGTATTGGCAACGAATATGAAACGGCAGCAATTGTTTCTGACCAAAATGGGGATCATTTGTCACGACTAAAGAATAGCTTCGACTCGAGATTCCACGACGCCTTCGGCAATGAAATGAACGCATTTGCAGACACACTGATGGAAAAGACGCCATGGATGGTGAAGAAAGAGGACGTTATTAGTGTACAAAAAGTCGCAGCCGCTGCGAAGAAATCACTGGAAACCAACCAAATTATATACGTGGATTAGAGAAAATTCAAGTGGGCGCAGGCTGTTCCTCAAAACCTGGCTCGATGCTTGCGCAGCAAGCTAACGATAGAGTTTGCTGAAGACAACAAGACTTTGTGTCATATTGAACCAATAGACCGGTTTAGCGTTTGACTGTGAAATCATTTGTGAATCCTGGTTGTTGTTTCGTATGGAGCTATGAAGGGTAAAAGGGTAATAGAAGTAGTTGCAAACAGAAGCGTACGGATACGAGTACTCACTCATACGGCATCGTTTCATGATGGGACACAAACTAGACAGGGGGATCCCCAGGGCATTGTACGGTAAATAGGAGGAGTCTTAATGGGCCGTTCCCGTTATTATAGAATTGCTGAACATGCAGACTTAGCACATTTATTACTTTTATAATAACAGGAATCAAAATTTCAACGGATTGACTGAGAGGAAGGCCAGCTTGATCTCATTCTTTTTGGGAATTTGGAATCTTAACAATAGTTGGCGTGCGTGCCACTTGGTACAAAGAAAAACATGACATTTTCAATCCTTTTTAGTAGTGAGAGTAACTTGCACATTTTTGATATCCCCATAGTATCAAAAACATGTGTGTTCCTCGCACTAGTATTAGACACACTATTAGACTAGAGTTTCCTCATAGTAGCAAGAAAGAAGGCCAAATTGGGAGTTGTGGAGACCATTATGATATACTGGTACATTCAGTTGAATAACCAGGAGCAAAACAAAAGTTATCTACAAAAACTGTCTCCAGAAGAGAGAAGGAGGGACAGGAGGATGACTAGGATTGCAATCCGTAGATATGCTCAGCAATCCCCCTTCCACCATCTCTTCCATTCAGGGCTTGATCAAGCTCTCCTCAACTGCTGTGGTGTAGACCACAAGGTCTTCAGAGATCTCATTGAGGTCTTTGCTCCAGTTTATGACAAGTATACCCTCAATGACAACAGCAAGGTTGTAGAGGTTTTTGCTTATTATCCCAGTGGAAAGCCAAAGCAGAAGAGGAGAGAGGCTGACCTCATCTGTGCCATTGGAATGGTGCTCTACTGGTTCAGGACTAGAGGATCTGTTGCAAGATCAATGGACATGGTGTTTGGGTTGACATCCACAGTGATGTACAAGTGGATCAAGTTTACCAGCAGAGTGCTCCTTCTTGTCCTTCACAAACATCCACTTGCCATGGTCAGTGTTCCAAATAAGAAAGATGTGAATGATTATATTTATGCTATTGGAAACAAGTCTCCAAGGCTTGGAGATGAACATGTTTGGGTTGCAGATGATGGAGTCAAAAATGGCATTCAAGCATCCCAAGACTGGTACAAACAAAGAGCATTCTTCAATGCCTGGAAGGAGAACACCTTTGTTAACAATGTGTTTGCCTTTGCGTCTGATGGAATAATCAGGATTGCAGTCTTTGACTGCCCTGGCACCTGGCACAATAGCGCCATCTCTGACCATGGTGTCTACGAAAGGATTGAGGAGGTCCACAACATGTGCAATGGAGCAAAGGTCATGGTGGATTCAGCCTTTGCACTGGAGGAGAAGGAGCATATCCTAATCAAGAGCTCACAGAAGGACCCCAAGAAGGATAACCTTCTTCTTTTGAATTGGGATGCCACATCCTTGAGACAGATGTCAGAATGGGGGATAAGGATGATTCAAGGACAGTTCCCAACAATCTAAGACCCAATGGTCTTGGAAGAGCTTGGAGAGAGGAGGACCATCATGAACCTCCTCATCAACTTGTATAACTTTCAGTGCAATACCATAGGACACAACCAGATCCTTTCAGTCTCCATGAGGACACCGGCAGCAATGAGGTTCCCTACAAAAAAAAACCGTGAACAAGGATTATTCTATGTAGSATGTGAGCTGTTGCCAAATGCAAACAGCTTGTTTTTGGGGTGAATCCCATGGTTGATTGGTTGCTGTGCTTACTAGTTGAAAAGAAGGGAAATTTGTTAGTTAGATGACTCTACACAAATCAAACTGGCAAATCACACTTCTTGCAAATGCAAATTGCAATTGTAATCACAAATTGCACTTGCAAATTGCACTTGCAAATCAATACAGTGACTGGTCATACAACAAACAATCAATTCACACACAACAGCAGGATCCCCCAGCATGGTGAAAAGAGTAATAGTTGGTTTCATTAGGCTGTGTTTAGCGTTAGATTTATTCTGTACTCTTACAATATGGGGAGTATCCAAATTATGAACTGGAGCCAACAACACAATGTACTGGAGTACTACTGGAGCAGCACACAAATCCCTGTGTTGAGTATTATCTGCTTTTGTTCATACCTGCCCTTGAGACAGAGCAATGCAATATTATATAACAAATTATACTGTAATGAAGATAGATTGATCATGAAATCACAACTATTCTTTAATGAAGATAAATATCTTACAATGGATGTGGATGCTGAACCTACAGTTCAATTCATGCGCATGCTAATGAAAACCCTGGTTAGTGGGATTGCACACATGATGCTACATAGGGAGATAGCTGATTCTAATCCTGTATTTGTATACATAAAAACATATACATGAAAACCAAACAAGCAGGAATTGCTAGTACTATCTCCTACTGGATGATAAGAGGAAGCCCCTTGCTGCCATTCCTTGCTAGCACCAGGTAGTGGACCAGAATAATGGTAAGGAGGATAGTAGTAGGGAGGAGCATTGTTGTTGTTGCTCTGCCATGCATTGAACATGGTCATAGCCATTCCAACAGCCTCCTTCCAGAACTCACAATTGTTTTTGTCTCTTTCTTGCTGGCTCTTAAGGTACTACTCATTGAAGGCAGCAGTGTCTGGAACACTGAATTTCTTCTGCTGACATGAGCTCTTCTTGGGAGTAGGAGTGGAATCTATGAGAGATGGTGTCAACATGGAGGTTGACGATGGTGCTACTCCTCAAGCAGCAGTTGATCCTCCAGCAAGAACAGCCAATGCTCCTCTAGCAGCAGTTGACCACRATCCTCCAGCAAAAACAGTCCATGCTTCTTTTCCAGCAAGAACAGGTGATGATCCTCCAGTTGATGCTCCAGAAGGGGGCTCTGAAACCTCCCCAGCCTCACTTGTGATGAAACCTTGCTCCAGATCAAAGTCCTCCTCTCCAGTACCAAGAATTTCCTTTTGACCAATCAAGATATGGGTGTTGCTTGCCACCTTTACTCTGGCATGTTTGGATTTCCTGTTGAGCTCTTAGTACTCCTCTTTGCAACTGCATACTTAGTCCTGATGGATTTCTGGCTTCTGAAGAAGGGCCACATGGACATATTTTGCCTCAATGCCATCCCAATAATCTGACCTAACTGGGAGCTTCTCCAGTATCAATCCCATGAGATCCATAAGCTCATCCTTGGTGGAGTAGTTTGCTACACCTGCCTTATTCATGGTGTTGCCAGCAGTTTTCTCCATCTTAACCAAAGCAGTGTGCGGGATTGGGCAATGAATTGCCTCTTTGTAGCTGCCGGCCTCCTCCTCCAGGTCTCTTATTTGCTGCAACAAAGAGAGGAAATAGAATGTACTGACTAAGATCATTGACCAGGACATGATTTATGTTGTGCCATAGTTAAAAGAGGGTGTGCTTAATGGAGGTGCCTCTCCTTGTTGTTGTTCTTGTTAAGGATAGCTGAATCTTAATTTTGTTGAATTCTGTTTTCAGATTCTGGCAGGCTTTCTGTTGAGTCTTTCAACAGATTCAAAAATTTGATTTGTGAGTTCCATCATWAATTTTGTCCTTTTTGGAACCACTAATTTGACCTGACTCAAAAGTAATAAATTTTGTTATAGAGGTAATAATTTTTTTGTGTGTCAGTCTATCAAAAGTTCCACATTTATCACATAGAGTTGGCAAACCAATGTATGAACCATTTGTACATTTTGGGCCCTTTTTTTGTGTGTGTAATGACTACTTTGACTAAATAAATACATAGCGCAGTACTCATTACTGCTGGTACTTGAATTTTTGAATCCCATCAGTTGTGAGACCAAATAGTTTCATGAGCATGTGCTATTGCCGTACCAGTAGTACAATTCAATTTTTAATCCCATGAGTCATTACACGGCAATTAGATGGCTCAAAATCAGCACACAGTAGAAAAACATATAGAACATTAAATAACTTTGTCTCCAACTGACGCTTAAGTGGTATGGTCATCACATGAATTGAAAGGGAATTTAAAGACAAATATCRCCCTGTTGGGGGTTATAGGGTGTTATTTGTGATTATTTAAATMTATATGTGTATGTATATTAAGGATTGCTAATGTACAAACKGCACGGCTCAAATCTATCCGCCAGCGCTATACAATGATAACGAGAAAGGCCCAATAAGAAAGTGCTGGTTCCCATTGTTAATTTAATCATGCCATCGTTAGCGTGGTAAAATAGTACAAAATCTACTGAGGTACTAATTTGCAACTATTTTGGTGGCACAGACAATTCCTGATTCTTTCTCAGAAAAGGCAAATAATGTAGGGGAGCAACACTCCTCAGTCATAGAGCTCTCCTGTAGAATTTGTACTGAAAAAAGGGTGGCATCATTAAATTAACCATGGGAACCACTTTGTTTTTGCAGCAGTAATCATTTGTTATGATATTCATACTAGTACTACTATCATTTGTGGGTTTTGTAATAGTTTTAGCACTTTTGGAACCGCTAATTTGACCTGACTCAAAAGTAGAAGTACTTTGTAATCAAAAACTGTTACAGATGTAGAGTAATACTAAATTTTCGGTCTGTCAGTCTATCAAAAGTAGCACATTTATTGACGGGAATGACCCATACTCGTACCGGTAGAATCAACCACCGAACGCTTTTTGCTCTGTCATTTTGAACTTTAAATTTTAGAACTGCTTTGCAGCATTTTTTTGACAGAAAAGCATCTGATACGAAGACGTCATATTATTTTCAATCATCACCATTTGAACGTTGTCCTTGTTCAAACAACGGTACTAAGAACAAACATCCTGGTTCCGACCCAACGAACCGAAAAGTACCACTCATCGATATCAAGACAACATGGAGCAGCAATTAGGTCGGCAGCAACAAACACCATGTCGCAAGTACTGCACGCGATTACTGTTTTACACCTTCCTCACTGCAGCGGCTAGCGACTGTGATGGATTCAATGCCCTTTTGTCATCGGAGTGCGCTAGAAGAACTGTCGTCTTCTCACACAACGGGGCACGAGTGCAAGCTTCGCAGATACTACGCCAGCAACATTTGACAAAGCAATCATTGGTCGTTACAAATAATTCATCAAGAAACAATGCCATGTTAAGATTTTCCACTGCAGCAACCTCGGAATCGTCATCAGAGCCTTTGGATTCGAACCAAAATATTGTGGACCGAATTCGATCGCGGATAAGATCCAAACAGGTGCGAAAGAACACAGAAAAATCAACGTCCTATCAATGGACGAAACAGAACTTGGCCATCGCGCTCCCCGCCCTCATGGGCCTTCTTGCAGATCCTCTGTTGAGCATAGTCGATACCGCATTTGTTGGACGCAGTGTTGGAGGAGCCATAGATTTGGCAGCTCTTGGAGTGTGTACGAGTATCTTTCACATGGCATTTACTGTATTTAGAGCATCAACGGTGGCAACGACATCACTGGTAGGAAGTGCTAGCACGCCCGAAGAGAAGAGGCAAACCACCAAGATTTCAATGGGTTTTGCTTTGGCCATGGGCACCCTTGTCTTTCTTTCCTTGCGTTTGGCAGGAGGGCATATGCTGACCGGAATGGCTGTCGCACCAAACTCGGATGTGTTTCGGTCGGCTTGTAGCTATCTGTATACTAGATCATGGGCTGCCCCGGCGGTATTGTTCGTATTGGTGGCCGAGGGTGCATTTCGTGGGAATGGGGACAGCAAGACACCATTGGTTGCCGCGTCGGTAGCAGCCGTTGTAAATCTAATTCTTGATCCACTCCTGATGTTCCCTTTACGCATGGGGATGGCAGGTGCCGCCGCCGCGACAGCAATTTCTCAGATAGCTGCTGCTGCTTTGTACGCCTGGCGCCTATGGAAGCGCCAGCTTTTGCCCCAACCACAAGATAGTTGTGGCAGCATAAAAGCTGGCAAGGTCGTAAAGGRTATTATCGGTGCCAATGCCGCAATGTTGTCAAAGAATTTTTCTATGTTGGTTTTCTACACCGCTGCCACAACCACGGCAACCCGCATCGGCGCTGCGCACGTGGCAACTCATCAGGTTTGTTTGTCACTATTTTGGTTGCTGACAATGTGGTTGGACAGCGGAGGTGTGAGCGCCCAATTGCTTCTTAGCAAGAGCATTGGTGAAGGTGACAGTATTCAAAAAATCAAATCGTTGACGAAGTACATGGTCAAGTTTGCCTTGGTACAAGGACTCGCCTTTTCTACATTTGTGTGTGGCATCGGAAGATACGTTCCAGCAGGATTCACCCAAGATCCCGTGGTATCCCGTTACATAATGCAGTGCATACCCCAACTCTGCCTGCAAATGGTACTCGTATCATTGTGTCTGGTTCTAGAAGGTTTAGCAATCGGAGGGAAGCAGTTTCGTTTCATGGCATCTGGAACAGCTGTTGCCACAGCTGTTGGACTTTGGCAAATGCGCTTCGCGACATCCGTTGTAGATATCTGGTCCGGTGCTGTCAACACTTTTTTCGGGCTTCGCTTGCTAAATGGGATCATCGGAGTAGCTCGAGTCCACATGGGACTCAAAAAGAAAASTACTACCGATTGAGACGATTCCATAGTTGCGAGGATATAGAACCTCAATGGTTGATCCCAATTTCCTGTTAATGTTTAATTACACCTACTAGTGACACATCAAAAGCGAATCCGGATTTTCAACAGGGTTTTCCAAAGCCTTTCCTATTTCAAGGTGGTCACTRGAACGCTGGCTCTTCTTCAATTTCCGTACCTCCATGTCTGAAGGATATCGTGTCAATGGTGTCGATATCCAACTCGGGGTACTCCTCAGCTAGCTTTTGCTTAATGATGTCAATGTGTCTCATTCGGGGGGGCGGTACATCAAGGTAGYCGTGAAGTCTGTATATTTTTTCATCTGCCACAAAGTTATTAGACGCACCAGTAGTCTCGCTGTCGTTGGCTTTGTGATCGGTTTTGAATTTAAGGCACAAATCCATCGACGATCGAGGCATATCACCGAAGTTTCTATCCAAAACATAGGGTGATGTGCCTCGCCTGCTAAAATCCTTCCGAAGGACGTACATGTCACAAACGCCGGAGCTCCAAACCGAGTGAAAGGTCGTCGGGGACCAATTGTAGAGCTGCATCAAAACGAATCGCATGCTCAGTGAATGGGTCACCACAACGATCGCATCGACGTGGTCATATCCTACCCGTTCGTTGGTAGCAAGGATACTTTCGTGCCACCAGGACTTGACACGGTCGTAGACGTCCGCTCCAGATTCGCCCGTTGGGAATCGGTACCAAAAACGTCCAACTTTTAGCTGCTCTTCTCGAAAGGAGTCGACGTCTCGTTTCGGAAAATTCCCGGCTTCTTGTTCTCGGATCCGAGATTCGGGGAGTGTTTGGACCACACGGTGCTCAAAATAGGGTATTGCAGCGGCGGTTGTTTGAAGCGTTCGTTCGAAGGGGCTGACCTGGATCTGGACTCGGTTGATGTGCTTCGATGTTTCTTGTTCGTACGCTTCAAAGAGGGCTTCGATGCGCCTCCCCGCCTCTTTTGATTGCTGGATCCCGGTATCGGTTAGATTGATTTGGTTGTCAGGTTTGGTACGCCACAGAGTGTTATCGGCATTGGCTTCGGATTCGCCGTGCCTCAGCAAAATCACGAGCTCGGGGAGACGCTTGCGCTTTTCTTCCAGACAGCCACAAAAGGATACCCGACATCCCTGGTGCTTGCGTTGTTCCTTCGAATTCTGGTTGCGGTTTTTCCTCTTCTCCAAGACCAACAAGGCTGCCAAACTACCAATCATCGTTCCCACGGCGAGCCACGCGATGGTATTCGTTCTTGYAGCAGAACATGACGCGTTGTTCACCATTTTGGCTCCGACTTCTCGATCCGAGTGCTAGAATCAGAGACGGAAGAAGCAATTAATACGCATAATAGTTTCCGATCGAATCATCGTCGGTGGCAACTGCACGAGTATGATCCCTGGGGAAGGAAGGGAAGAGATGTCAATACTGTAGCCATCGATGCAATCTTTTCGTAGGAGTAAAAAAAATTTCCACTTTCGGGTTCGGTCACTCAAAATGAATCTTGGATCTTGGTTCGGCTGTCACGCAATACGCAAACCCTACGGTACGAGTAGGGGTACGAGCAGTACCGATAGTAGTTACGTGTACCATACGGTGCCGTAAGTATTGTATGCACCTTTCACAATTAGAGTACGAAGTAAGTATTTCATAACGGTAATTTTTTCGAATTTTGATTTATTGGTTCGTGCCTAAAATCATGAACAACGGTTTCTACGAGCACTCGTACGAGTACCAGGACCATGTACGTGCCATACGTACCATGTGCCATCACTCTTCACCCTCGACCATCATCCGAAGAATTCGTCGTCATAGAGCAACTCGGTAGTAAAAGTATCAATTATTCCTCAGAATTACTTGTCAACTCGAGAGTCAAAGCTAAACGACACCTACGGTTTTACTCACCTCATGTCGCACTRAATATTAGCATTATCTACAAACAGCCAAGCATAGGTTATACGAGGCATTCTACTTGGCAACCCAATCACCAGTTTATTGGGAGCGGAAGCGTGACTCGGCATTAAATTCATGCAAACCACCGGCGGGTGCTAGCGACTTTTCTATAGCATGCATGTGTTCAAATATTTCTTGAGCTATGCGTTGATTGCGACCACTGCTCAAGCTTTGAGTTTGGATCGGCGCTCCGCCATTGAAAGCAGTGTGGCCCTCATATCTCCTCTCGTCTCTTTGCAAACATCACCAGATCTTCYGCCGCAGTTGTCTTCGATACTGGTATCCGCATCTATAGAATCAGAGGTGACTGACAAGAACCCATTCTTTCCTCTGAAAGTAGTCAACGATCCGAATACATACTCTGCCCTTTCGTACGCTCCACCAAGCAACGCCAACAGCGAAAGCACCCCCCTTATATTGGTCCTGCACGGAGCCGGAAAAAACGACAAGGACATTCTTCTCGACCTTGCCGATCCATCCGGAGAACATTCCGGCCTCATTCCGAGCTTGATTGCTTCGCACAGAGCACCACCGAATCTTCTAGACAACTTTTGTGTTCTGGCTCCCTATTCGTTCGGGAAACCGAGTTTTTACAACGATTCCCGTGGCAAAATACTGCAATTTGTCGACTGGGCAATACGGAATCAAAACACGGAAGAGCTTCCGTTGCGATTCGATCCAAATCGCATCATTCTTTTCGGCTTCTCCGATGGGGCCACGGTTGCCGTAGAATTGTTGACGACAAAACGATTTGCTGCCGGTGTTATTTGTAGCTACGGCTACAGCGGCAAGACACTCCCCTCTCAGGCCCTGGAAAGATTGTCTGATATTCCTATTTGGGTGTTTCATTCGAAGGACGATGTTATTTTCGATGTCAGAAACAGCGATCGGCTAGTGCAACAACTTGAGAGTGTTAATACTATTACAAAAAATGGTTCCACGGATGGATCCATCCTTAAATATTCCCGCTTCGACAAGGATCCCGAAAATCTTCCTTCGCKTGTCAGGGGACATAGCATGGGAATCACTGCTTCCAGATCTAGTGATCTTTATGACTGGATGATCCAACAAAGACTAGCGTATCCATAGTCTAAAAACTTTTGTTCATGCAGCTTCGGCGACCCCAAACTTGACACCCAAACAGCCGTAGTCGACAGGGAATGAACCAACATTTTACGGCTTGTGGGGCCGTCTAAATTTTTAATCGATTGACTCAGTAGGCTTCCTTCGTCGCTCCTTGTCCATTAACTCCCGCTATTTTGGCAGTGCTGGATGTGGTGTCTGCCAATTCATCATTGGAGCTCGAAAGTGATGATAGAATGATAACCCAAAAGAACGAAACTAGAGCAATGAAGCTTACCCGAAAGTGCTCGGGTATAATCGAAAACGTTAAGCATTGGACGGGTGTCCATAACCCCCAGAACTTAAATAGCAGACCCTTGTTTTTGACGTCGTCCACATAGTGTGCCATCGCCTCTTTGAATGTATTCTTAGCAAGCAAAGCCTTCGAATAGTATGCGATGGGTAGTGTCAAAAGTGGTGTTTGGATACACATGTCGCAAAAGACTTTCTTCAAAACGGTGATTGTTGTTGTTTCGCTCCCAAATAAAAATGGATAGAGATGGTTGTATGTAAATTCCTGGCAGAATCCCTGGTAGATGGCTCCGTACATGAGAAATGCCAGTGTTCTTTGGACGTCCAATTCCTTGCCCGCCGTTTTCTCTGCTTCAACCGATTCTTGAACGGCATCTCCTACTTTTTTGGCGGCGTTGCGAATTTGTCGCTTTTGCGCAAGAATATCGGCTGTGCCAGCCTTGAATCCGGCAACAATAGCACCCGCGGCGTATGGATTGTACTCAAACGCGGCGTTCACCGCCGAGAGAGCGGGCTGGATTGAGAGCGATGACGCAGTGGATAGGTAGCAAAGAAGTAGCGATAAAGTGGGAACTTTCATGGTTTTGGTGATTGGATGAAGTTTTATTCTACTGAATGGAATGAAGTTATCGTAGTAAGGAAAATGCAGCTACGGGTGGTGAGGATTTTTCGAAATTGCAACGAAAACCTTCCGTCCTCGATCTTGCACAGTTTTTCAGTATTGCCGTTCCGACCTGTCAACTCCTCTAGCATTTTTTACTATCCGTCACCCGGTACAATATCGTGCGGTGAACATGAAGGACATGGGTTCCGGGGTGATACCTCTTCCGCAGACACGTCGTCGTCGTTGTCGTCCGTTTTGTTTTTCGTACGGTAGTGGCGCAGTTTTTGGGGCCTGCTGGTCCCGCCTGCTGTTTCGTGCGTGTTCTGCCAAGAAAAGTGACATTATCGTATTGACAGCGAAGGGTTTTTTATTGATGACGTGTAGACAACGCAAACTAAGAATTCCAATACAGKAGTATCGTACCTGCACAATAATTTTTCTTTGCTCCTTAAGGATCAGCTTCGGGTTTTCGTGCGAYAAGACAAACTGCCTTATCTCCTTTGAGTCGAAGTAATCAAATCAAACATTATCTGATCGTGTTTCATCAAGTTTCAACAAACACGGGTTGTATGAATAGTATGGATTGTATCCATAAAGGATAAGTACCAGTACCCAGTACGTATGCTAAAAGTATCACTCTTCGAGGCTCCTTCTCTTGAGTGAGCTCTCTTCTACAAGAACGCATTCCATAGTTCCGGGTACGTACCGTACGTAATGGTACCCAGTACCATACCCTAAAAGTAGATCAGCTGATTATGTTCTGTGCAGTCGTCTTTMATTTTYGTATCCTAATTCCATATTATGAAAATAGCGGAGCTCCGTTCCTGTTCCAATCCTGTAAAATTGTAGCACGATATAGAACGAACCTTTTGAGAGTGTTTGTAGCTATAGGTATTACTACGAGCGGCGGAATTGTTTCTCGTTGGCCAAACGTTTCGTGAAGACTGTCCACTGCCTGGAAAAGGAGAAGCAAGATTTTCGACGATGGGGAAGAACGGAACCATGAACATTGAAAATGAGGAGCCAAGGGAAGTCGTTGCGTCGAGAGCAATGTGCTACTATTCGTTCGATATTTTGATCCATGCTTTGCAAAGACGGAATACTAGCTTGCCTGAGTCCAACCGTGGCAACGAGTTGGCAGCCGAATTCGTAAGCGAGCTACCTGACCCTTCTATCCAGTGCCCATTGTTTGTCACCTGGGAAAAATCCGCTCACAATGGATCCGGTTGGCGATTGCGGGGTTGTATTGGATGCCTCAACCCACGACCGTTGGCAACCGATGTGGGAGAGTATGCATTGATAAGTGCGTTTCGTGATCGACGATTTAATCCCATTTCCCGAGAGGAAGTTCAGTCGCTCCGCGTCTCGGTCAGCCTGCTTGTTGATTACGAAGACTGCGAACACGTATACGATTGGACCATTGGGGTACATGGAATCATGATAAAATTCGCCGTTGATGGTAAACTGTTCAGCGGAACTTTCTTGCCAGAAGTAGCCAAGCAGCAACGCTGGGACCACGCCGAGACGATTTCATCACTAATACGAAAGGCGGGATACACAAAAGCCATCGACCAGAGTCTTTTAGATGGGATTCATTGTAGGAGATACCAATCGTCAAAGTGCCTCGTCACATACGCCGACTACGTGAACGAAAAATGTGGAGGAATTGATCCGGTTTTCACTCCTTTGGGGCAAGAAAAAGAATCGAAACAACCATGGTACAAACACTTTCCAGGGTTATAAGCTAATGCAATGCTTGATCTTTTTATGGCAGCATCAAGTCCAGTATTCTCAGAATATGGGTTTAGAATGACATACATTATCCGCACTAGACTACACTTTTGTCTTGTGTCTCATGTCAATGAGCAAGGCTTATTTTACTGGATACTACAATAGCACAACCATTGCTTCTTTCTAAGGAATATTTCTTTATTTCAAGCATTGACACATTGTCATGTGAATATTTCAAAGAGTGAAATTGATTGCTTATGAGAAGACTTGTGGAATTTTTTKTTGCAAATTGAAAAATTGTTACTCTAAGGACCTAGAGTTCTGCTACCAGAAAACCCTGAAAGAGTGTGTTACAAAAGTTGAATATTAGTGCACACCTTTGAGTTTTGARACTTTCAAATATTCTATTTTGTTAACTTCTTGTTGTTGTAGTACATAACCAACTCTGGAGGGGGGGGCTCCTCCCATAGATAAGTGGTCATCTGAAAAGTGCTACTATTTGCAATTTTCCAACCACACTACTACTAGTGAATAGATAATTATTATTCTATTCAAAATTCAATGCGGTCCTGCTAGAACTTGTCAACAATAATTGCCATCTCAACGATTGGAGTATCAGCATAGGCACCAACAATAGAAACTGAGTATTTTAATCATCAAAACATGAKACTGGTGTAATATGAAGAAGAGATCTATCTTCTACCATATAAAAGGTAGGGGCACCCCTTGCACTTGGGCTGCACTAGCACCATATGGCAATGGTCTGACCCCTACACCACCATATATAGGAGATRTGAGTACAGGTAAGAATTATAACTGTCATTGACGACCAAACCTGTTTGCTACAGTACAAGTACCTAAGGTGCATACATTCAAACTGGATAAATGTGTGAAGTTTCATTAGCATGATGAAAAAACCAACTAAGGGTAATACTAGTATGAAGAACAGGGGTCATCAATTTTAGAGGGGCGTGCAACACCTGTAGAGATGTGTGGTGTATTCCGGCAGTTTTTGAAAAACCCACAGTATGGGAATCATTAAAATCAGGGCCCCAATGGACATTTTCTAGGGGCTCTTCTACTACTACTAGTAGTAGTCTTATAGGAATTTGGAATCTCACCAACAGAAATGACTACTAAGACTGCTGGAAAAGCACGCCTGTCCTTTTTTTGGGTAATAATGAGTCATTCAACGGATTTTTTTGGTACTAATGAGTCATTCAATGGATTTTCATTCTTGGATTCCGGTCTAGATTTAGATGTTCTGTCAAGCGTGAATCCATTGTTGACAAAAAAGTCTAAAAATTTAAAAAATTTGGACTATATGGTCTATTTTTGGTCTGTCTGTATGTCAAAAAGTAGACCATAAATGTGTCAGGAATCGCCCAATATGAGTTTCGACGTTATGCCAACCCCTTTAAAATATGTACCTACGGTATGACCCCTGTGTGCGAATAGGTGCAAAACAAAGCCTAAATCAGTCTTTGCGCGATCTTGTAAGTTGAACCAATAGACAGAAGTGAAGTTTCCATCAAATCAAAATCGGGGATCAATCGAAAACTGAAAACGATGCTTTTGGAGCCGAGAACCATCGTTAAAGTACCACAACTGCGTAATAGAAAGAAGAGAAATCATTGGATTGAACCGGTGGAATTCGCCTGAATCAAAGGATTGCAATGATGAAGCGTGATCAGACCCGCGGAGGAAATCTCTTTGGTGTGATTGCTTGGTGTTTAATATTGTTACACTACGAAAAAGAGCTTCAACACGTAGATGCATTTTATACTGTTGACTACGAAAGCCAATCGAAATGGCSTTCGGTTGCACCCGCTAGATCTSAACTTTCGTCATTAATACGGATAAGGCAAAGCAGGAGAACCAGAAGAAGTCTCTTATTTTCAGGGAAAAATGATTCTACAAATGACGTCAACTTGGGATCCTCGGTTCTATCGTCAACGCCAACTTCACCGTCCCTCAATCCAGTCGAGGTTTGGTGCACAACACACATGAATGTATGGTATGACAAGTCGTTATCACTTAAATGCCCCTTTTTTCGACGGCGAACGACAGACTTTTTGGATGGCCTGGATATGATAATGCGCTTCTTGATCATACGGCACAAATCGTTGCCTTTGATTGGACCTCCCCCGGGATGCCGATCTACAATTGCTACAAGTACRAAACACAAAAACCTTGAGCTGGAGGATTTGGTAGAAATCATTCGTAGTGATTGGAAACCAGACAGACAACACAAGGGTTATTACATTACAGGGCGACTAAATACAACAATATATCGGGATGATTGCTGGTTTGATGGTCCGGATCCAGATATGCCCGTGAGGGGAGTAAGGAAGTATCTCAACGCCGCATCGCAGCTTTTCGACACATCAAAGAGCACTGCGGAGCTCCTGGCAATCGAAATCGGGAATGATGCAGAGAGAAATCATGTACCGAAAACTAAATCGACAATCGTCGCTTATTGGAAATTACAGGGTGTCTTGCACTTGCCATGGCATCCTTCATTGCCAACCTGGACAGGACGAACAGTGTACCACTTGGATGAAGAAAACATGATATACCGTCACGAAGAACATTGGGACATATCCGTGCTGCAGGCATTCACTCAAACGTTGTGGCCTGAAGTTGGAAACGTTTTGTGGGAAACGACAACACCGGATGCGAAATAATTTTTTGAGGCCCAAAACATTATGGGTCAGTAAACAATATCGCCTGAAACGAACTTATGATGCGCTGTAATCTGTAAAAGTAGATAATAACGCAACTGGTAAAATTCAACAGTTTACGGATCGTTGTCAAGCGTTGTGTTTCTTTAGCAATAAATCGATTCGAGGAAGAAAGTTCTGATCGCTAGATATTTGATTGCGAGGGACTGTGTACTAGACTGAAAATTGACATTACTGTAGTGAAAGACTAGCATATCCCATATGCCTCGCCAATCCTGGCTTTGGAGACCAATCCTTAAGTTCCCAACCATTTTTTTTCAACTCGTTCACTCCTGCATCATAGTCACCCCCCGGTACGTTCTCAAGCCGATCCGCAAAGCAAATGGAGCCTTCCAGATTGTTTTCGCGCAATATTTTGCTCGTGAGCCCGAGCAACGAGCTGGGGACACCATCGTTTAGGTATATCATAACCCCTTCGAAAACAAAAATCGTGTGCCATTCCGCTTTTTCGTCCGGACCATCGGGTTCGTCTCCAAGGAGCAAAGCGCGCAAYTTCTGCTCGACATCCAACAGGTCATTGAAATCCGACGGGACGAGGGTCGGCATCGAGCATTCGAATTCCTTAAGCCAGGGGCGGCGCTTGAGTAAGCGCCAGAACAATCTCTCTTTTGCATTCACGACCTCTGGCAGATCAAGCTCGATTACCCGATCCACGGTGGTTCGTTCGATCATCTTGACCCCCCTGGTATCGTATCCTGCTCCCATACAAACGAGCCGAATTTTCTTTGGATTCCCCCCGTTCTGCTGCTGGGCTGCGATCTCGCCGACTCGTCCATCAAGGTACGCCGTTCTCAGTTCGACGTTCGCATGATGCAATCTTGGGTAAAATCTTCGCAACCGAAGGATCTTTCTCCACCCTGACGGTAGCAGGTCGTAGGACAGTTCCTTGTCGTAAACGGGGCTCGAGCGGTCGTTTCCACTCAGAGCTTTCCACCACATACACGCTAGGTTAAGAGAGCTATCCGGCGGTTTGCAACCATCGGTCGAATGCAGAAGAGGGATCAACCGTTTGTGGAGTTTCCAGGCCCGTTGCCAGGTTCCTTTCGAGGCCTCTTTGGATGGTCGGACGCCTAGCTTAGCGGCAATAACCTCTGGAGAGGGAAGCGTTGAGTTTTCGTTCTTGTATTGTTCTCCACGAATCAGCTTTGGTTGAGCTATGGTCTTAAAGGCCGTTGCATTGTTGACAGGACTTTTACTAGCATTATCTCTGGCTTCCAGGTACGTATGCAGCCTCTGCGGCCTCCCCGTTGCCGAGCTCTTAAAGCCTTGCCGAATTTTGTCACGTTGTTCGAATTGCGGTGTCGCGGTTGGAATCGATATTGACGTTGGTATTGTTCCTCTTTGAAGCAGCACAAACGAATGAGTCGTTTTGCTGAAACAGAAAGCAACGAGCAATAGGGAACATACCGATAGCCGCAAAACGATGAATGAAGACGGCATGATTGATGCCTTTTTGAATCTAAGTGATCACCTTTGTGACCGAAGGATTGTTGATTTAATGTTTTCGAGCGTGCTTTCAATTCTAGACTTCTGAAGCCTCTTAGTCCAGTCGAACCATTTGCAGGTACGATGACTAGAAGTGTTACAATGATCTTATTTTTTGTGATGATAGTGAGAACGAGTTCGTATTGGAACCGGACAGATACGTATTGTACTTGGTACCGGTAACAGTAGATTGTACTGGTACGTACGTACGTACGTACGTACCGATACGAGCTTGAATTCGTTTTCGGTTTTCGTACCGGTATTCGTTCCAATCCCCCATTCAGTGTTCTTTATTGTGGATTAGTTAACCTGCGAAATGCATAGGCTCTTTAGTGTACGATAAAAAATACAATAAAGAGTGAGTGGATGAGCTTACTGCTGTCACTCACTATCTACTCGTGATTTACGTGTTATTCTCTCACAGTAGTACTCGTACCTCCACATGGTATATGAGTGCTTAGTACTGTACATACCACAATGCTTGACGCGCCTTCAGGCCATCAGCAGAAAAGATTTTCGTGCAGTAGGGCGCGAAAAATAGCCTCAATGAAAGTGACCCTACCGGTACTCGTACTCGTACTCGTACTCGTACTCGTATGTGATTAGGGAGAACGACAAGAACATAGCATCAACATCAAAAAGACCCTTTGAGAAAGTTTGCGATCGCAACCGAAACCTCGTTAGGAACCTGATACTCGAGACCACACAGCGAAGTGCAGACATACCTCTGTTTTCTTGAAGAAAAAGAAACTAAGCTCAATCTGCAAACAACAATCGCTATGGTTACACRAAATGCAGCGATCGCAGCGCTTTCGTCTACGGCTCTGATCAGTCTGGCGCCAAACGTGCTCCTTTTCCTTTTCCCCCATTTCGCCTCGGGCGAAGGCCGCAGCAGCAAGTTCCTCTCGCTGGGACAGGCCCTTGCCGCAGGCGGGCTGTTGGGAGACGTATTTTTGCACGTCGTGCCGCACTCTGGTGGAAGCCACGATGTCGGSCTCTGGATCTTGCTGGGGTTCTCGCTGTTTTTGTTGACCGACATGCTCTTGCGGTCAATGGGAGGGAAYTCGCACGGCCATCACCACCACGACAAGACCAAATCACCGGAAAGCAAAACCTCGACGGTATTGTTGAATCTAACAGCGGATTCACTCCACAACGTGAGTTGATATTCAACACGAATTGGACGTACGATAGATTACAGTGCTTTCCTGATAAAATGATGAAAGGCGTACCGCGTGYATTGATACCAACCAATTTTTATTGCATCCTAATGTTTTCGAAATCAATCGCGAACAACGRCGTTATGTGCTTTTGTTCGAATCTTAGTTCACAGATGGGCTTGCAATTGGAACCTCGTTCGCCAACTTTACGGGCAACGTCGGAAACGGCAGTGTGTTAAATCTAGTCCAATCGAGAGGTGGTCTAGCCACCCTCTCGATATTGTTCCACGAGATCCCCCACGAACTGGGGGACTTTGCGATTCTRGTCAAGAGCGGATTCTCGAAGCGGGAAGCAATTTTTGCTCAGTTCGGAACGGCGGTGTCGGCGATGCTGGGCTGCGTTGTCGGGCTCGAGGCGGCCGATCTGGCAGGGGACAGTTTGATTTTTATCACGTCCGGTGGTTTTGTCTACCTCGCCACCGTCAAYATTCTGCCTGACATTCTGGACGAAACGGCCTCCCTCCGGTTTCGGTTGACCCAGCTCTTGTTTTTTTCCTTTGGCGTTGCTTTCTTGTACGCGGTGTGTCTCCTCGAAGAAATGAACGGGGAGCACGGTCACAGCCATGGGCACCACGACCACCACGACGAAGCCAGGCACTTGCACGAAGATCATGGACACGGTCACGACCATGGCCATCATCACGGTCATGGTCATGGTCACGGTCACGATCATAATCACCACCATTTCGTTGAATTATAAAGCTTGATACCTATCACCGGGATAATATTACTACAGCAAATATTACATAGTAAGAAAACAGCACACCATTATATAATAACCACCTTTTTTTCGACGTTGCCACGTAGCTCGTGTTGAAAAGACAACGACCCTGCTCCACTAGAATTGTGTTCTATTTCTAGTGTTTGTTGATTCCTGACCCCCGAACAGAAAACAGAATGTCGGTTCACATTTGCAACATTTCAGTTTAATTCTATCGGACCGCCAGCGATTTGTTATTGGCAAAGTAACCTTCCTTCTGTTCTTCGGGCACATTTGCAACATATCAATTTGATTTTATCGGACCACCAACGATTTGTTATTGGCAAAGCGACCTTCCTTCTGTTCTTCGGGAATGGTCAAAATTTATGGGATGATCCATGGTACCAACAGAGAGCAGAAGAAACTTAATCGACTACGGGATCTGGATCGGCTCGTGGAACCGATCTTCCGGGGTTTGTGAATGTGTGTCGAAAGATCAATTGCTTTGCTCGAGTGCATTTTAAAACTACACAATGTCACCCCGGACGGCACGGCACCAGTTGATGTCGATTCCCGAGAGACCGTCCATCACGGAACCCTTACTGTATTGGACCTGCAATGCTACCACGGCGCCAATCACCGCAAGAGCGCTAAGGTATTCTACCMCCCTCMCCTGCCACAACGTCGATGTTTGCAGCGGTCCGTACAAATTTTCGACCGTGTCGTCCAGACCGGACGCGAAGAGTGTGACGATGCGATTGAAAAGTGCCAGGCCCGCAAATACGATGACGCCCTGGTAGCAGATTCGTTCCAGTGTATCACCGAAATTCGGGGGACCACATCCGGTCGTGATAATAAAGTACTCGCTGTATAGAACACCGATCGAAAAGCCCATTCCGACCTCCGCTATTCCGGAGAAAAGGCTGTCTTGTGGTCTATAGTTTGAATTCCGCAAGACGTGCACCGGATGGTTATCATCACCGTTGGTGTTCTTCCATTGTGATCCAAACGCATTGACATTTCTCGAACGATGAACTCCCCGAGAGTCTGATGTCACGTTCGGATTCCTCCCCGAGTGTGTTCCCGGTGCGGCCAGGAACCCCAGCGTATGCGTCGACAGCAGTATCGGAGCAAAAAGGGCGGCGAGACATCGATAGTATTTTCTAGCCGTCATCGTAGAGAGTGCAGATAGACAGCGGTTGAGASTGAAGGTTTTGGTTCCCAGAAATAATGCTTGGAGGGGCTGGTCGGTGCCATTCCAATTGCGCCGATGGCCATCACAGAACGCTGTGATGGCTCGAGGAGACGAGAGATTATTTCGAAGTGGAAACACGATTGATGTATCAATTCATTCCCTAATCTGACGTATGCCAGGACAGGAGAGGACAGTCCAATCACCATTCCATTCCGAGCGGCTCTCTACGGTGCCAAGTACCCCAAGTACGTACTCTCAGCCGTATTCCGTCCTCGAACGTCGAAGAAAAACCAAAAAAACATCAACAGCCGTGTCGAATCGAATGGTACRTACGGTGCTGTAAAAGTGCTCTTACCGGTACGTATTGTACTCTACGGTAGGTACAGAATTCCAAAGAAAGGAAACTCTCGCAGAGAACATAACTTCTTCGCCTGTTTTCATGTGACCCGAAGAGTCACCAATTCCTCTCGGGATACTATCATTGGAGCCTCCACTTCAACACAAGTCTCATATTAGACTCATCGCCGACCGTCGCATTCATGATGACGGCCCATCTGAACTACGTTCGGAATCTKTTTTTCTTGGGGGGATTTATCCTTCCATCGATCTTGGTCCAAGCATTGGTTGCCTGCCCCCGCACAAGTAATGGCAACATTTGTATGTCTCGGAGCCTATCGAAAAAATCATCCATGCTATCAATGTCAAGCAATAACGACATTGATTCCTCTGCTTCGTCCGAAGAGAACGATGGCGAAGATGGCGAGAGTGGATCTCGGCAGCACCGCCTTGCGAAGGCACAAGCCGAGATAGATCGAATCTTGAACAATCCCATCGACCCGCCCTTTGATTTCGAAAAAGAAATGAAAAAAGTTGCGAGCATAAGTCCGCCACTCATAAAAGAAGGCTCGGCCGAGTTTCAATTAGAGGAGCAAGTGAGCGAGGCCGAGGACCAACTCTACAAAGCAGTGAAAGCACAGGACTACGACGCGGCGGAGAAAAAATCGGCAGAAATATCGCAAACGCACGTCGACGACTGCGGTCTCGTGTTGCAGGCAAATGCGGCATTTTACAGAGCCTTTAGCGAGAAGGACATTCGGGAAATGGACCGCCTCTGGCTCAAGGATCGCTCCTGTGTTTGCATCCATCCTTCCTTTAAACCAATAACAGGAGTGAACGATATCATGAAAACCTGGAAGCGCATGTTCGAGTCCTCCGCAGGGAGTTTTCAACGGACTTGGATCGACCCCTGTGAAATCCAGCTGACTGTCAAGGCAACAACTGCTGTGGTCACGTGCGTCGAAGATGTATATGCTCGGCGTTTTGTTCGAGGGAAAAAACGCAAGTCGGAACTCGTCAACAAACTCACGGCGACGAACATTTTCCGAAAAGTCGGAGGGCGATGGTACATGACGTATCACCATTCTTCGTGGCATGCCGACAGCGAGGCGGCGAAGAGAGCTCTCAAGAGCCAGAACCGCAACAAAAAGACAAAATCGTTATCGTCCAAAAAAATATCGTCCCCGGATCCATTCGACGACAATCCTCTAATAAATCTTCGGAGCAAACGCAAAAAGAGGCACGAGGACAACGACGACGACGAGAGTAAGAGCGATGATCGAACCGAAATCGAAAGTATTCTAGGTATTGAAAATTTTGGTCCGATCTTGGGGGATGATTCCGAAGCCAAACAAGAGAGACCGACCGGTTCATCGAACTTGGACTTTTTGAAGGATTTAGGATTGGGAGGTTTGGGAGGAATAGATGGTATCCTAGGTATGGGTAGCACGGACGGCACTGGTCTCCCTCCTGGGTCTATCATTCGAATAAGTAAAGTCAACAATGATGTCGACAATGGCGATGATGACGGCGAAGAGATTGATGACTACGACGACGATCAAGACGACGAAGACTTCGACGAGGAAGATGAGGAGGAAACAACAACCAATCCAGAAGAGTTGTCTGTTTTCGAACTGCTAGATGAAAAGAGGAAAAAGAACAGAATGAAGGTTTCTGGAAAGCTGTCCTCCAAAGAATTACGGCAAAGGTGCATCGATGCGCTTCGAAAACTTGCAAACGATGGAAGAATTTCTCCGAAGCAAAAGCGAGTACTGCTAACAGATATAATCAGCTCATCTGCTAGAGGGGAAAAGAGCCTAGTGGTGCATGCTTACAAACTCCTTTGTGTGGACCCAACGGATGAAGAAGCTGCGGAGGAAGACTTTGTTGATCAATGCCAGGTGTTTGCTCAATCCTTCTTCGAGATCCAATAGAATACATCACTAAGGGATACGCTTGGAGACACACATGTGAAATCAGGGAAAGAAGGGTTATTATTTCGTGGGTTTTGGATGCAATGTGGAAGACGATTCGTCATAAAAACCACTGTCAGTGAATGAAATAAAAATGCACATGAATGACGAGTTCCAAAGAGGTAGTTCATTTTTACACAAAAACAACTGAAACAATTCGGAAATAGAAAATTATCTTATTACACAGCTGATGAACTCACGCTATCTAAACATTGCATGCTGCACCTTGACTCAGCTTTGTGCTCAACTAAATACTGGACCAAGGGGCTATGAGTTGCTTTCGTTTTGGAATTTACAACATTATTTTTGAACTTTYAAGGCCCTCTACCAATCTAGCAATTCATGAGCCCACTTCGAATTAGCAAACCACTATGCAGAGGAGATCTAGCCATGAAGTTCATCGTCTTCTTCATCACAGTATATGTTTATGAATGTTTGATAAGCATTGAAAAGTATGGGAAATATTCTTCATGAATTGAGGCTGGTCATGCCTCCATCACCCTTCCTCAGAGGGGGGGGGCCAACCCTCAGAACAACTATGAGCATTCTTCTCCTAAGAAGCCACAGTCCTGGCCAAGAACCTAGTGCCTCTCTTAGTTCAAAATATTAAATATAAAGTTAGACTTTTTTCTCCATGTATTGAGCAGGCAGCAGGGGCTGTAGTAGGTGCAAGATCAATTGCTTTTGCAAGAAGGCCTTCCTTTGCAGATATCCTTCAGCTTTTTWATGGAGTCACCCTAGATTGCCAGCTCTTTTCCTTCAGCTACCTCCAGTCATGTTCCAAGAAAAATTGAACTTATTGTTGCAGACATTGATCAAGCAATTGTTACACCAGGAAGAAGAAGCAGATTACACGTAGTACAGTACTAGTACTAGGGGGGCTTCTTCAGTTGATGAGTTTTTGTTGTTCTGTCCTCTATAAATACGACTACTACTTATTTGCCTGGAGTGTATTTCTTCTTTGTTTGTTAAAGCCCTCTTGATTTTTGCTGCAGAGCATCACTCCATTTTCACATTCTGCTCCCTGATTGCACTCTTGGCAGCCATCRAGTCCTGACTGAAGGCACAGAATTATTAGGAAGTACTTCATAATACTACAGTACGTACCTTACCGTACCGTACATCACTCGTGAAGTAGAAACAATTTTTTGAGACCCGTTGATGGACAACGGACGGACGAGAATGACACTCATGCGACTCAGTCGGTTCTTGGATGGAATTTACGTTAACAAATACCACCATTTTTTCTCCGGTGTTACAGTAACAGTAAAAAACATGATGTGCATGCGGTGGACGCTAATTGTAAATTCTAAATTAGATGCTCTCTTTTTTCTGTACTTTCTCTCTCCACAAGCTGTAAGGACACAGTTGCCGCATTGAGCGATGAAATAAAGCGAAGATGCCAACAATCAATTGTCGTACATCGCTAATCAGATGTCTGTTGACAATATACTGGCCGCTTGTAATTAGTGGCTTCGTACAGCAGAAATCAATACATTCCCACCGATCCCGATGCTCGCAGTCGCTTCCGTCTACAGATATCCATGCCACCTCCAATCTTCAATATGATGCGACACTCTCTGAACAGCCTTTTTCGGAACTATACGACGGGCAACTACCCGACTGGTTACTGGATAATTGCAAGGATAATGGATTTGAATTTCCTACCTTAATCCAACAGAGAGCCTTAGATTCTTTCTTTGACGATGATCCGAACTCAATGGTTATACAGGCACAAACTGGAAGTGGCAAAACTTTGACTTACCTATTGCCATTGCTCTCTAAGCTAGAGAATCGAGCCTCGGTCCAAGCAATGATTGTTGTTCCGACAAGAGAGTTGGGATTGCAGGTTGCAACAGTTGCAAAAAGACTTGTTGCACGCCGATTCATGGTCATGAGCTTGTTACAAGGGAGTCAGCTAAAAAGACAGAGAGCTTGGGCTTGGGCAGAGACACCTCAAGTTGTCATAGGAACACCGACAGAACTCTTGGATATGGTACAATATGCTGGACTACCTCGAATAAGTAGCATCAAGACTGTCGTCGTAGATGAGGTTGATGCTTGTCTAGTGCATCAATCAGGGACCTCTCTTCAAGGAAGTAATATCAAAGGCAATTCTGATGCCCGGACTTTATCGTCATCACTCCATGTTCTTCTTTCTAAGTTTTTGAGCCCAACATATGCGGATGACGGGGATATAGACGAAGATGATGTTATTGTCATCGCTGATGATTCAAACAAGAAACGAAAACGCAAGTTTCGACATAGACAGACCATCTTTTGTTCCGCAACCATACCACAGCATCGATACTTCCTCAAACAGTGCAAATCAAATCAGTGGACGCTGGAAGAACCTGTATATGTTTGTACAAGTCCAGGAGAAGCCCTACCACCTACATTAAAWCACGCCTACATGGTTTGTCAATCTAAAACGAAAAAGATGGGGACATTGAGAAACCTTCTCAAAAAACTAAATTCACCGACGAATAAAGTCATGATATTTGTTGACTCGACTCGACCTTTAGATTCAATCGGGAAGAATCTTTCCGACAATTTAGATGAGGGTATTTTGTATGAAGATAGGAAGACAATCCTTGATGACATCGAATCGAAACCAGTTGTGTCTATTTTACATTACGATGATTCACTGTCCCAACGAGCTGGTGCGACAAAAGCTTTCACAGAAGGATCAGATTTTCGGGTTATGGTCACAACGGATTTAGCAGCACGTGGATTGGATATACTTGGAGTCTCGCACATCATTCATTTCGACCTACCTCCGGATGCGGACACGTATCTCCATCGATCGGGACGAGCCGGACGTCTTGGGAAAAAGGGACAGGTCATTTCAATTTTGTCCGACGACCAAGAATTTGTTCTGAAACGATTGATGAATGCGCTTAATGTGGATGCAAAGTGTGTGGGAAGACAAAAAGCCAAGAAGAACTCATCATAGCTTTCGAAGAAGAATTTGTATTCGATGCATCCTTATGATGGAAATTCGAAAATCTCTGATGGTGTGGTCTTGCTGGGCTTCAATGAAATCGACGAAGATACTTGATCACTCGTTAACAACGGATTTGGCTCAAATTTTGGAAAGCCAGACTACTCTATTTTGTCACAACGTTGGTTTGACTACTAGCAGTTCTTAACGTTTAGATTTGAAAATAAATGTGATTAGCTGCATGTTGATGTTGCTTTGATAGTTGAGTAGTGGCTGGACGACATAAAAATTGTAGTCTCAAAACATTTCCACGTCAATGAACAATGTTAGCTAATTTATCACCGGAGCCGGGCTTATTTTTCGGAAGGAGTCACACCCTCAATAGATAATGGCTACCAACCAAGTAAGACTGTTCTCAACACTGAATACTACTAGTCAATTAGGCAATGCTCTACTATGGAAAGAAACAAAGAACAACACTTCTATTTTGACACTAGTGGAAGACTGGATCTTCTAAGAAAAGGTAGTAGTGTTTCGTGTTCAGCTTACATTTTTTTAAGTCACATAGACTAGTTTTTGTTGCATTGCCTGATGAAAGGCCAGAATAAATTACCAAGAGAGCTTGTTTTTGCTTTATGTCAATTTATCAGTTGAATAGACTTATGTGATCATTGTGGTGTACAAATTCTTATGCAGGAGGGTGATAGTAGCAGGCAAGAGAAAACTGTTGTTTTGCTGAAAAGACTACTATCGGTATGGTGAGTATCAGRAATTTTGGTATGCCATTTTTCCTTGAAAAAGGTGTTCATACAATTTTTGAATGATTTTGCTCTTTTTTGGATTTCCATGTTATTCCAAACAAGTACTGTGATTGCAGCACAAAGATGGATAATATTTGTTTGATTTATAACAGCACAACTACGTCACACAAACGGGATCCATGGTGTTGCGCATTTCGCGCGGTCTATACCCTTAAATTTTCTGGTCCTACCGTTAG